CCTGTCCTTCACCATCTCCCAGAGCTTGCTCAATGGACTCCTGTCCACTGAGTCAGTGATGCCATCCAACCATCTCATCCTCTGGCCCTCCTTCTCCTCCTGCCCTCAGTATTTCCCAGCATCAGGGTCTTTTCCAATGAGTTGGCTCTTTGCATCAGGTGGCCAAAGTATTGGAGCTTCAGCTTCAGCATCAGTCTTTCCAACAATTCAGGATTGATTTCCTTTAGGATTGACTGGTTTGATCTTCTTACAGTCCATGAGAGTCCAGGGGACTCTCGGGAGTCTTCTCTGGCATCACAATTCGAAAGCATTAATTCTTCAGCACTCAGCCTTCTTTATGGTTCAATTCCCACATCTCTACATGACTATTGGAAAGACCACAGCTTTGACTATACAGACCTTTGTCGGCAAAGTGATATCTCTGCTTTTTAATACACTGCCTAGGTTTGTCATGGCTTTTCTTGCAGTATTCACTTAGTATTCTTGGGCTTCCATTGTGGCTCAGCTGGTTAAGAATCTGCCTGCAATGCGGGAGACCTGGGTTCGATCCCTGGGTTGGGAAGATCCCTTGGAGAAGGGAAAGGCTTACCCACTCCAGTATTCTGGCCTGGAGAGTTCCATGGACTGTATAGTCCCTGGGGTCACAAAGAGTCAGACACCACTGAGCGACTTTCACTTTCACTTTTTTTTCCAGGGAGCAGTGTCTTCTGGTTTCATGGCTGCAGTCACTGTCCACACTGATTCTGGAGCCCAAGAAAGAAAAGCTGCCACTCTTTTCACTTTTTCCCCATCTATTTGCCAGGAAGTGATGGAACCAGATGCCATAATCTTAGTTTTTTGAATGTTGAGTTTTAAGCTGGTATTTTCACTCTCCTCTTTTACCCTCATCAAGAGGCTCTTTAGTTCTTCACTTTCTGCCATTGTGGTGGTATCATCCACGTATCTGAGGTTGTTGATATTTCTCCCTGATGTACTCCTTTCCCAGTTTTGATTCCAGCTTATGCTTCATCCAGACTGGCATTTCGCATGATGTACTCTGCATATAAGTTAAATAAGCAGAGTGACAGTATACAGCCTTGATGTACTCCTTTCCCAGTTTTGAACCTGTTCATTGTTCCATGTCTGGTTCTATTTGTTGCTTCTTGTCCTGTATATAGGTTTCTCAGGAGACAGGTAAGTCTCCTATTTGGTATTCCTATTTCTTTAAGAATTTTCCAGTTTGTTGTGATCCACACAATCAAAGGCTTTAGCTTAGTCAGTGAAGCAGAAGTAGATATTTTTTTGGATTCCCTTGCTGCTGCTTTTTTCTTTTTCCCTTGCTTTTTCTGTGATCCAGTGGATGTTGGCAATTTGATCTCTGGTTCCTCTGCCTTTTCTAAATCCAGCTTGTACATCTGGTACTGTTGAAGCCTAGCTTGAAGGATTTTGAGCATTACCTTGCTAGCATGTGAAAATCTAAATGACACATCTTTATCTATATTTATTTATATTCTGTTGGACATGTGTTAGTGTCTTCTCAATGTTGGTAAAAGTTAACTATTTTATAATTGAGTTCCCAAGTCCTTCTGTTTTTAAAATTTTAAGAAAATGTTCAGCTGAGTTTATTGAAATGTGACCCATATATACCTAAGTCACTGAAATCATCTTTTTTAACCCCCCCGCCATGTTTAATTAGTTCTTACCTGCTTTTAACATAAAAATTTTAAAATTATGTGATTAATGCATAAATATATGCTTCTAAAAATCTCAGAGAATGCAGTCCTAATGCAGAAAATAGTGAAGGTCTGCCTCAGATAACTGAGTGCGTGGACCAGAGTCTGATCACAAATGGTAGACATAAGAAGAGAGTCATAGGTGGTCAGGAACCCAGGGCTCCACCTGCCTTTTTCTCAAACATCTCTTGTTGTGGAACATGGGGCTTAGTTGCTTTGCAACGTATGTATGGCATCATAGTTCCATAACCAGGGATCACACCTGTGTCCCCTGCATTGGAAGCGGATTCTTAACTGCTGGACCACCAGGGAAGTCTGAGTGAATCTTAGTAGCCCTCTTGAGTAAGAAAAGTAAACACAGCAGTTTTCTGAACAAAGTTCTCTCAACACATCATCTTAAGCCTCATTTTTGCTTCTAGTAGCTGTATTCTAACAGCTGATTCCCTGTTTTTCTCATGCCCCTGAGCAGCCCATGGGATCAAAATGAAGTCGCTCTTATAGTTCACACCTCGGCACTCCAGTAGCTTTTCTGCTAACTGCTTGAGCTATTTTGGGGTACTACAAAGTATTAATACATATTGTTAATTTAATTACCTATCAAGTGAACGGAGATTTTATTCTTCCGAGGTTTTACATATAAGCTCTTTCCTGTCTGTCTTTTATTGCTCTTTCTAGCCCATTTTCAAAGATACCTCCCTCTGTTTTCCATAATACTCAGTATAAAAACTTGAGAGTATTATCATTAATAATAGCCATGTGTTCTGAGAAAATCATGGTGGCTTTTCTTCATGTTAAGTCAACATACGGTTTCAGTGGGTGGGAATGAAAAGTAGGGTGCTGTGTCAGTTTGCTCCTGGTGCTCGGGGTAACAAAATACTCCAGGCTGGGGATGGCGGGGAGGGGGGGGAACTGAAACAGCAGAACTCTATTTCCTCACTGTCCTGGAGGCTGGAGGTCCAAGGTCAAGGTGTCAGCAGGGCTGGCTGTGAGACCTCCCTTGGTGGCTTGTCTGTGCCATGTCTTCTTGCTGCATCCTAACGTGGTTTTCCCGCCCTGGTGACAATGTGTACACATTTTCTCTTATAAGGATGCCTAAGGGATTTAATCAACTTCCCTGGTGGCTCAGATGGTAAAGTGTCTGGCTGCAATGCGGGAGACCCGGGTTCGATCCCTGAGTGGGGAAGATCCCCTGGAGAAGGAAATGGCAACCCACTCCAGTACTCTTGCCTGGAAAATTTCATGGATGGAGGAGCCTGGTAGGCTACAGTCCATGGGGTTGCAAAGAGTCAGACACAACTGAACGACTTCACTTTCCTTCTGAAGGGATTTAATCAGGGCCCATTCAAAAGCCCTTGTTCTTACCTAATCACCTTGTTCTTACCTAATCACCTCTTTCAGATACAGTCACATAACAGAGGTGCTGAGGGGTTAGGGTTTCAATATATGAATTTTGCTGAGACACATTTCAGCTCTTTAACAGGGGCTGAGATCAAATGGTCACATGTTCAGTGCCCAGTTATCAGATGATGTCTCTGCCCTTGACAGATGTGTTCATTGACTTGTAATCTTTTAAAATTAAATTTAGGACACAGATTAAAGATTTATTTCATGATTGAATGTAAGAAAAATTGTTACTTTACAGCCTCCAGTTGGACAAGTTTTATATTGTATAACAGGATTTCCTGTGGGAGACACCTGAGAAGGGGGTGTGTAGGAGGCACTTCATTTGTTTACCCTGTTGCAGAGGTTACTTGTACCTTTATGTGAGGCTTTATTGCAAGGAGCATATATCTAAAAAACCAAGTGAAAGAGGAGAAAGCTTCCCTGTGGTTGCCCTAATTTCTTTTCAGCAGAGAGTAGTCATTTTTTTTTTATATGTTAATTCTAGAACCTTTTCAAGAGGCAGCAGGAGTTGGCACTCAAAGATAAGAAATTAGAAGCTAACTAAAGGTTTTCTTACTTTAATGATTTCTAAGACAATTACCAAATACATGAATGCAGTGAAAACTGATGAGTTAAAACCTAAAAGCTGTTTTTATGGCAACAATAAATTATTAATAGTAACCCTTATTAACGATTTACTCTGTGCCGGGCCTTGTTCAAGGTTATTGTGTTGACTCAGTCTCAAAATAACCCTGTTGGGAGCTATTCTTATTTTCTTATTTCACATATGGTCCCTGAGGCACAGAAAGGATTCATGGTCTTCCCAAGCGTATTCAGCTAGTAGGTGGTGGAGCTCAGATGGACCCAGGTGGTCAACCTTCCAGCATCTGTGTCCAGTCCCCGTGCCCCACTGCCTCTCTGAGGATCAGCTCAGTTGCCCAGAAACCCTCCTCTCTGTACTGACTTGACATCGTTATGCGGTTTGGGAAAGGTTCCGTTTTGTTTGTTTTGTTTTGTTTTTTTTGGTTCCTGGTAACAAAATAAGTATGTTAGTGGCCCACATCGCTTTCCAATGATTTCTTTAAGATCAATATAAATGCAGTTTGGAAAAAGGTTTTGCTTAACGGTAGGAGGATCCTGAGTGTAAGACTGAGCCATTGGTATTGAAAGGTTCTTCCTAGGCTGAAGTAGGATGTGGCTATACTCTCATTTTAGGAGAGCTAAGTGGATTTTTCAGTTCTGTTAAGGCTGGGATGAAATAGCTGAGTTAACAGCTGAGCTGTGAAGTCAGAGACTCCTGAGTTCCTCACTGGTCTCTGCCACCAGCAAGCTGTGTACTCTGAGCGCAGGGCCCTTGCAGCTCCTCTGTCCTCGGTGTGCGGTCAGATCTGCCTCCAGGACTTTCCGTGAGGATGAGTGAGAGCAGGTGTGTGTGGGGTCCTGGGTACCGTGTACACAGAGTAGCCTGTGTGTCTCGGCTCCTGCTGGAATGTGGTGAAGAAACTCACATCCACTTGTCCTGGCTTCCTTTTCTGCCTGGAGTGTCATGGCTCTTCCATCCAAGTTGAAGAGGTGGCTGTAGGAGCCGACACAGGTGCGCGGCTGGGCAGGGTTGGTCCAGCTCCGCCCTCCTTAGCTGTCAGACCCAGGCCGGTGGCTCCACTTTCCTCCTCTTCCTCCTCCTCTTACACCTGGGGAGAATTTGTCTCCTCAGGGAGGCCAGTGGGGGCGAAGTTAGATCAAGTGCTGGCTTTTCTAGAGACCACTTCTTTAAAGATACAAATCATTCTGTTTTGTGATGTCATTTTGCTAAATTATTAAATTGTCTAAAAATATCAATTAATACATTATAGAGCCCATTTTCCCTATATTTACCTAACAGTGCCATGTTTCTTCCTGTTGTAGGTGCTGGAGATCAGAATTTATTTACCTCCATTTACCCGACACTTTCCCAACAGCTTCCAAGAGAACCGATGGAATGGAGAAGGTATGGCATCTCCCTCCTTGTTTTGTAGGCGTTTGAGTGAGTGAAGCAGTAAAAGTGAAAGCCTGAGTCCTAAGGAGACTGAGAAGAAGGGCCCATAATCTGTGGGCCTTTTTTTAAGGAACGTGTTGTTTTCTGAACAAGACCTAGGATGATAGAAATGGGGCACATCTTTGGAGTCACAGGCCCCTCGTATAGAGGTGACTTCTGACTCCTGGTGGCATTTTGTTAAGGAGATGTGCACCTATATTCCTCAGTAGAGCTGGTGCCTCTGTGTCTTAACCAGGACTTTGTCACCCTGAGTGCCTGTGTCCTTCTTTTAAGGATGAGAAAGTGGACAGAAGGATGGTCTTTAAAATTAGGAGTGCAATCAGATCAGTCTTCCCATTGGCCCTGTTGTTAGTAATTGTTCCTCTAATGACTTGTTCTGAGGAAATAATTGACTTTGAATTATTTTACTGAAAAACTAACTTCTGGTAAGATTAGATATTATTTATAGAAAATGTTTGGATTGTTAATACTGTTTATTAATAATATTACTATTGTTAATACCTGTTAATACTGGCAATCTGATTTTAACCAAGATAAATGAAAAATTTCTTGTTGTTATTCATGCTCATGTAATTCTGATTCTTGCTACATTATTCCTTTCTGACCACTGGTTTTTACCCTCCTAACATGAAGAATTAACATTCTGGATGACTTTACCAGGCTATTTGTTGAATCTAGTCTAATCTTTGTGCCTGCTTAGTGTTACAAGGAATGTATTTATTTACCAAAATGTAATATAAAGAATGTACAGAACTGGGAGAATTCTCTTACAGAAAAATTATTCAACTATTGAGGAGGCCCAGTGTTGTGAATGAGAGAAAACAATTCAGCAAATGGAAGAGTTTAATAATATCTGAAGAAATGGAGTGATTGGAAAGGATTTCAAACAAGTGTACATTATTCAAACATTCAGAAAGATAAAAGAAATGAGAAATGGGGTTATGAGAAAAAAATAGAATAGAGACCCTGCATAGATTTAATACGCATATTCTTTTCTTCACCTCCTTGAAAGCTAAATGAGAGAAGAGGACTAGAAAGGCCTCAGTGTTTAAGGACAGAGAGGCGCAGGTGGCAGCAGCGCAGACGTGGGTATCTTTCTGGGAGCAGAAGGACGGGCAGAGGAGTGGGGGGGAGAGCCCTCTGTGTGTCTGCAGAGGGGACACTCTCAGAAGCAGGCGGGTCCCTGACAGGTGACGGGGCCCAGGACCTTGGGAGGCAAGGGCAAGACGGGTTGCAGAGGGCTGTGTGTGTATGTGTGGCTCTTTAGTATTGTTTGACATGTTAAAGTGTGTATATTTCGCTTTGCAAAAATGTAATTGATTAGATCTTGGGAAACAAAATTAAAGCAGAAACATGACTTCATGCACTGAACTTCTGTGTAGCTGAAGAACAGAGTGATGAGTTGGGAGATTGCACTTGGGAACTCCGGAGTTGAGAGCTGAGAGCCAGAGATGGAGGTCCGAGAGGAAAGCTGAGCCGTGAAGGCTGAGTCCATAGGTTTCCATGTCCGTGTAGTAGGTATTTCAGAAGTGACTGTGGAGTGGGTAGAGAGACGGGCCCTGCTTGAAGCACTGGTGTCCAGGCTTTCCCAGAAGTGAGTTCGGAGATTTCAGGGGCTGCTGGATGTCAAGCAGAATGAAAAAACCAAGCGAACAAAAAGCCACATCAGGAAATAGGGAGAAAAGAAAAATCGAGTCTGCAGTCTCTTACAGCATTTAAAATGCAGCCTAAGATAGAGCATTTAAGAGGAGTACTTTGACATAAGGGCTGTAACTTGACTCTCAGTTAGTTGTGTCCGACTCTTTGCTACCCCATACAGTCCATGGACTTCTCCAGGCCAGAATACTGGAGTGAGGAGCCTTTCCCTTCTCCAGGTGATCTTCCCAACCCAGGGGTCAAACCCGGGTCTCCCGCATTGCAGGCCGATTCTTTACCTGCTGAGCCACGAGGGAAGCCCCACCTTGACTTGAGTTCTAAGGAGACTTGAGAGTTGAGTTCTAAGAAGCCCCACCTTGACTCGAGAGTTGTGTGTTACTCACACAGCGGGAAGACTGTCTCAGCCGCCCCCTGGCCTTGGAGAGACAGGGTACTGGCTGGGCCCGGGTGTCCACACGCCACCACACGGTGCTGTCCAGAGCCCTGCTCCCCTCTTATACTCGCTGCCGCCGCAGCATGGAAATAGTTGGAAACATGCCGTCACCAGGAACATCTTCAGAGGTGTATGATCAGAAACTGTACTACTGCCTCTGAAGTAATTAAGGAATGTGTCTCAAGGAAAACACGTGTATCAGGAACATGAACCCTGAATTCACAGGGTGAAGGGAGCAGCTGCCTGAAAGCAAATCATAGCAAATATTTCACTATATTATGGTGTCAGTGCTTTTAAAAATTAAAAATCTAAAATTTCAGAATGTGGAAGAAAGCAGAAAGAAAACAGTGTAGTATCTTTGTCCTGTTCAAGGCGAGATAGACACTGTACTTTTTGAAAGGGAAATTTAAGTTTATGCATATTAAAAATTAAAATGTAAATAACAACAGAAAAGAAACAGAAGATTAAACTTTCAAGCTAATAGAGAAAAAGGATGGAAAAAGAAAACTTGATTAATTTCACCAAGGATAGAAAAAAACTAGCGTGAAATAGAAAATCCACAAGTTAAAGCATAATAACATTCAGTATGGTTGTTTTCAGTTTATTCATCATGGAGATTCCTTAGGTTAGACAAAGGGAATAAAATCCATCTGTAGATATTTAAGAGACACAACTCACTAGAGGTGGAAAATGAGGTATGGAAAAGAGATGTGTGTAGCCTAATTTATTTTTAGAAGTATAATAAAACAGCATCCATACTCCGTGATAGCCATCAACTAGATGCGTGTAGCTTGTGGGATCTTTGTTCTTGGATTGAGGAAAATTGGAGGATGGGACTTCCCTGGTGATGCAGTGGGTAAGAATCTGCCTTCCAGTGTAGGTTGATCCCTGTTCCAGGAAGATCCTACATGCCACGGAGCAACTAAGCCCGTGAGCCATAGCTACTGAGCCTGTGCCCTAGAACCCAGCAGCTGCTGATTCCACGCACTGCACCTGCGGAAGCCTGCATGCCTGGAGCCCGTGCTCTGCAACAAGAAAAGCCCAAGCACTGCAACCAAGAGTAGCCCCACTTGCGCAACTGGAGAAAGCCCACCAAGAGCAGCAAAGAACCAGAGCAGTCAAAAATAAATTTAAAAATTATTTTTAAAAATTTCCTTGAGATGTCCTTTAAAAGAAAAATTGGAGGATGGTGGTTACCGCTGTTTATGCTGTGCAAACAGAAACCTGTTCCTTTTCACCAGACAGTTCTCTCTTTTGGATAATGCAGTCTGTCGCAAAAATATTAGAGCAGTTTAAAGCTTTGGTAGTTTCAAACTGCACTTTTGACATTTGGGAAACTCTCTGCTTCTTTTATGGTGACTGTACACTGACATTTATTTTTCTCAGAAGTTTGTATTGTTGCAAATGGAATTATGAAGAGCTTTGATACATTAACTGTTTAAAATAATTTATAGCATCTTTTCAAATGGAACATATAATAATTAAAATTCAGGGTTAATATCACCTATGCACTTCTGAATGCATAGATATGATTTGATTGTTGTCTTTTTTCCTTTTCCTTCTGCTGAACTTTCTCATGTTTCTCAGTGACTTGTTCACAATTGTTGATAGGTCCTATGGCCGGGCTCCAAAGATGATTCACCTGGAGTCTAACTTTGTTCAGTTCAAAGAGGAGCTGCTGCCCAAAGAAGGGAACAAAGCTCTGCTGACCTTCCCCTTCCTGCACGTTTACTGGACGGAGTGCTGTGTGAGTATCCATTCAGGGAAGGTAATAATGGGTTGAGAACTCACAGGTCTGGGTTTCGCTGAGACAGCTCTACTTTTTGAAATTTACTGTTTTAATTTTCTTGTATTCTCTTTTCTCCATTCTTCACCCAAGTGTATGACTTTGCCATGGCTCATTTCTGCTCTGGCCCAGTGCAGAATACTCATCGTAATCCCCAGACACAGTCTCCAGATTACTTCCTATGTTTCCGGTTCTTATGGGCCATCTCGCTGTGTCCTGGTGGGCACTGGCTATTTCTAATATTTCCTATCAGCTTTGTTTTCGTAACACCCTGTACTCACCACATGGCTGTTATTCTCCTTGAGAGTCCTTGTCTGTCTCTGGTACTGGTTGGCAGGCTCCCTGTAGGCAGGGAACTGTCTCCTAACTCACCACCTGAGTCTGGTGCAGGAAGTGCTCTGTGATGCCCATTGAGAGAGCGGACACTCCTGCTGTGGGCACCCTGGCCTTTACTTGTACTTGCCAGTTCTGTTCTCATGAACCTGAATCCTTCTTTCATTAACGAATAGAAAATTCTGTGAGTCATTTGTTCTATCTGTTTCAACTCTAATAAAATAAGCATTTAGCAGTGTACAGAATACATGAATCATTACACATTGTGACGTTTTAACCTGGATCTGAGGATACGGAGTAGTTTTTGTAGTTCTGATGAGAAAGGACTGGACACTCACACCTGGGCTTCCTTCACCCTGGGCTCCCTTCACCCTGTGTACTTTTGACTTTACTGACTTTGTAGCCTTTCCCTTAGGCTAGCTTATGTGAGGTGTTGTCCACCAGGGGGGCTTGTTAGAGATGCGACGCTTGGGGTTTTATTGGACCAGGCACATAGGCAACCTCTGCCTGACACGTAGCAGTGCTCTGAGCTCCTGGGGAACACAGAGGTCAGCACAAGCCATGTGATGGGTGCAGTTGTGTGCAGGGAGGCACTCCTACGGCACAGTGACGGGAATCCTCCAACATCCAGGTTGGATTTAGCACCAGGCTGAATCTTCTTGACCGAGACATCACCACAGCCTGCACACACCTCTTCCCAACTTAACAGAAACCTGTGTCTGTTTCTCTTCTAGTGCTTTATAGTTCATTATCCTTATTTTGATGTTCAAGTTGTCTCAGGTTTGGCCAGTGAGAGTCACTTCAAACTGGCTCCTGTGGCCTTCTGAGCTCTTTCTAACTTTCGACACAACAGGATATTCTGGGTTCTTGTCCCTTTACTACCCCTGTGTTGGAATCGGGTGTTTTTTCCCAGGGCGTTGGTCCCCCTGGCATGGTGGGAGTGGCTCTGCTGTTGTGCCAGTTGACTCCACAGGGCTCTGAAAGCACGTGTCTTAGAAATCATGACTTGATACTGATGCCTCTGATTTTAGCCTTACCCCGGGGCACTGTCTTGCTTAACCTGTTCTGTGTGTTTTATCCACCTTGGCCCTGACAACAGGGGCACATTCACTTACCTGCTCAGGGCTACAGTATGCATAGAATAGTTTCAGAGTTGCTATACCCACAGGACAGCCTGAAACAAGGCTGGCTGAGAAGAGTTCAGAGCTGGTGTGCAGTGCGTGCTTTCTCTGGCCTGATAGTCCATGTTCAAACCTGGTTGGGCTGGTCACTCTCAGGGTCATTCTTTTCAGTGTTTGCCTAGTTGCTCTGGCTTGTTTATTTTTTCATGTGAACCTTAGTATTAAATTCCTTTTCTAAATATTTTACCTTTTTTGTTGCTATTTTCAGTGGGATTTTTTTCTCACATCATATCTTCCAGTTGGTGATTTTTTGTGTATATGGAGACTGTTGGGTTTTTTTTTCCATGTTAACCTTGCTGAATTTTTTTGTTGTTGTTTGAGTTTGTTTTGTCATTGATTCTCAAAACCAGTGTCTCCAGGCCCCAAAGTCTAGGGTTTTCCAGTCATCCTGTGATGCCACCTGCAGAGAGTCTTACTGCTTCCTTTTCAGTTCTTATGTCTCAGATTACTTTCCTGGTCTAGGACATTGTCTGTTAGTGGTAGAGACCGTGGGTTTCTTTTCCTTGTTCCTGATTGGTAATGCCTGTGATTGGTGCCTCCCCAGTAAGTAGGGTGCTGGCTGTGGGAATCAGGTGAATTTGAATCAGTGTGTGAAGGAACTTCCATCCGTTCCTGTTTTCTTGAGAGTTTTTTTAATTAGGAATACACTGTAGAACTCTGTTAAAGGCTTTGTCATACCTGGTGGAGATAATCATGATTTTTCTCACTTAGGTCTACTAATATGTTGAATTACGTTACTGGTAATGGGTATTTTTTGAACCATACTTGTATTCCTGGTATATTCCACTTGGTCAGAGTATTATTTTCTTAATGTGACATTGGTGTCTGTTCATTTTATTTAGGATTTTTTGCATCTGCATTCACAAGTGGTTGGTCTTTAACTTTTTTGTGTATTGTGTTTATAAGGTTTAGCTATCAATGTTATGCTTGATTCATAAAAATAACTTGATAGAGTTCTCCTGAGAAATCATCTGGGCCTGGCATTCTCATGGGATAGTTTCTTGATCCTGTTCTGTATCCCTTCCATGAAAGTTGGTCTGTTTTAACCATTTGTCTACTTTGATAAACTGTGTTTTTCTTGCAAATTTTACATTTCAGTTAAATTTTAAAATCTCTTTCCATTGAGATGTATGAAGCAGTCTTTTTTCGACTTAAAATGTGCTGTGTGTCAATAGTTATTTCTCAATTGTTATTTCTTATTTTGTATATTGGTGTTGTGTTTTTTTTTTCTTTCTTGATGAAATTAGCTAGTTTGATTTTTTCCCCCCTCCTCCAGAATCAGGATTTTCATTTGTTAGTCTGATATACTGTTAGTACATTTTCTATCTCATTAATTTCTGCTTTCATTTTTTTACTGTCTCCTCCTTTTTGTTTTCTTATAGTTTACTTTGTTCTTTTCCTAGTTGTTTTGAGTTGGAAGTACATTTATCTTCATTCTTAAATTTTTAGTGAAATAGGTCTTTAAAGATGTGAATTTAAATATATCCCAGGGCCACAGCTGACACCAGGTGGAGCAGACTAGCTGTAGACTTGGGAACAGTTAGTCTTCTGGGCTGCTCTGTTCTGTAGTGGTTTGTTACAAAGTCATAGATAACTGTTTGAAAAGAAAAAAACCAGAAGACTGGAGGTGTTTTGATTGGGAATGCCTTGAAATTGTTAATACATTCATCTGAGAAGAATTTTAATGATGATGCATCTTTTCCTCTGGGAACCATTCTTTATGGCTTTTTTGTGTTCTTTTTTAATGTATTGTAATGTTTTTCATGAAAGTCTTACATTTTTACTGCAAGATGTATTTAGTGTTTGTGGACATCATGTTGTTGCTCAGTCACTCAGTCATGCCCGACTCCTTGCGACCCCATGGACTATAGCACACCAGGCTTTTTCTGTCCTTCACTGTCACCCAGAGTTTGCTCAAACTCATGTCCATTGAGTCGGTGATGCCATCCAACCATCTCATCCTCTCTCGTTCCCTTTTCTTCTTGCCTTCAGTCTTTCCCAGCATCAGGGTCTTTTCCAAGGATTTGGCTCTTTGCATCAGGTGGACATTATAGATGATTTTTTTTTCCTCCTTAAACTTACATTTCCTAGTAGGAATCCTGTGGAGGTTTTTTTTTTTCTGTTTTAGTTTTGGTTATCATCTATTAAGAAAATTTCCGTGGGTGGAGAATCCCACCATGGGATTCCCTGGTGGCTCAGATGGTAGAGTCTGCCCGCAATGTGGGAGACTTGAGTTCAGTCCCTGGGTTGGGAAGATCCCCTGGAGAAGGAAATGGCAACCCACTCCAGTATTCTTGCCTGGAAAATCCCATGGTCAGAGGAGCCTGGTGGGCTACAAGTCTGTAGGGTCCCAAAGAGTCAGACATGACTGAGTGACTTCACTTTCACTTTTTCTTTTATTAAGAAAATTTTCTGGAGAAAGTTGACAACGTTTAGAATTTTAGATTTACAAGTAAAATTCTGTTGTGTTATTTTAGTGGTTGCTTTAGGGTTTATAGTCCCCACTGTAAGTTACACCTCCTTCCTTCAAGTCTGTTGTGCTGCTTGAGACAGTATACGGATATCACAGCACTGCCTTTCATTCCCCTGCCTCGTGTTACTGTGGCATACATTCAGTCTTACGTGTGTGGTAGATTGCACAGTACATCGTTGTTATTTCTGCTGTAAACCATCAAGCATGTGTTAAAGAAAATAAACCTGGGAAGGTGTGTCTTTCGTATTTGCCTGCGTGTTTACCGTTTCTGGGGCAGCCCCTTCCTTGTGTGGGTCCAGGTTTTCAGTTGGTGTTAATTTCTTTCTGCCTGAAGGACTTCTTTCAACTTCTGTATAGTGCAGGTCCATTGGTGATGAGTTCTTCTCAGCTGTTAAATATTTGAGGAGCTATTTATTTTGCCTTTATTTTTGGAAAATATTTCCCTGATAGAGAGTTCTTGTTTGAAGGTTCTCCCTGCCCCACCCTCACCCACTTTAAGCACCTAGAAGACTTTGCTTCACTGTCTTTTGGTTTCCATTGTTACTCATGAAAAATCTTTGGTTTTTTACTGTTATTCTGTACATAAAATGTCTTTCCTTTGGTGTTTTTCCCCCAAATTGATTAGTTGATTAATTAATGCCCGCACTGGGTCTTGGTTGCTGCCTTTGGGCTTTCTGTAGTTGTGGCAAGTGAGAGCTGCTCTCCAGCTGTGGCACGTGGGTTTCTTATTGCGGTGGCCTCGCTCGTGGAGCACAGGCTCCGAGGCGCTCAGGTTCAGTAGTCGAGGCTCGTGGGCTCCAGAGCACAGCCTTAGTAGTTGCGGTTCACAGGCCCAGTTGTCCCATGCCAGGTGGGATCTTCTCTTAGCAGGGGTGGGACTAGTGTTCCCTGCGTTGGCAGGTGGGTTCTTAGCCACTGGGCCACCAGAGAAGTCCTCCTTTGTTGTTTTAAGATTCTTTTTTTTTCGTTTATTTTTATTCATTGGAGGCTAATTACTTTACAATATTGTGGTGGTTTTTGCCATACATTGACGATTCTTTTTATCAGTGATTTTAAGCAGTTTGATGATGCTATGCCATGGTGGAGCTTCATTTCTTGTGCTTGGATTTTAGGTTTTTATTTTTCTTTTTTACTTCCGTGATTTATAATTATGATAAAATTTGGAACATTTTTGGTCATTATTTCTTCAAATATTTTTTCTGTTCCTCTTCTCTCCTTCGGGGACTCTAGTCACCTCTGTGTGAGGTCACTTGACATCTCCCAAGTCCTTGCATTGTGGACGTTTCATCAGTCTTTTTCTCTGTGTGTTTCATTTGGATAATTTCTGTTCCTGTGCCTTCACGTTAACTGATTGTTTCTTCTACAGTGTCTAATCTGCTCTTAGTCCTACCCAGTGTATTTTTCAGTTTAGACATTGTGGTTTTCATCTCTTTGAGTTCCTCAGGGGTCTTTTCCTTCTTTTAAAATATCTTTTCTGTCTTTGCTAGCATCAGTCTTTCTCTGCCTTCATGAACATATGAAATATGGCAGCAATAGCTATTTTAATGGCCTTATCTACTAATTCTGTTATCCGTATTTACTGAGTCTATTTCTTTTGAGTGATTTTTCTGCTTTTTATAGATCTTATATTCTTATTTCTTTACCTGCCTGGCAGTTTTTTATTGGATGCTAGACATTGTGAATTTTATCTTGTTCGGTGCTGTTATTTTATATAATCCCAGAAATTTTCTTGTGCTTTATTTAAGTTACTTTTAAATTTGATCCTTTTTGTTGTTCAGTCGCCAAGTTGTGTATGACTCTTTGCGACCCCATGAACTGTAGCCACACCAGGCTTTCCTGTCCTTCACTATCTCCTGGAGTTTGTTCAAACTCATGTCCATTGAGTCAGTGATGCCATCCAACCATCTCATCCCCTGTCACCCCTTTCTCTTCCTGCCTTCAATCTTTCCCAGCATCAGGGTCTTTTCCAATGAGTTGGTTCTTTGCATCAGGTGGCCAAAGTATTGGGGCTTTAGCTTCAGCATCAGTCCTTACAATGGATATTCAAGGTTGATTTCCATTAGGATTGACTGATTTGATCTCCTTGTAGTGCAGAGGACTCTCGAGAGTCTTCTCCAGCACCATAATTCGAAAGTATCAATTCTTTGGCACTCAGCTTTCTTTATGATCCAACTCCCACATCCATACATGGCCATATGGAAAAACCATAGCTTTCACCACATGAACCTTTGTTGACAAAGTGATGCCTCTGAGTTTTAATATGCTGTCTAGATTGGAGCCTGGTGGGCTGCAGTTCATGAGGTCACAAAGGGTCAGACAGGACTGAGCGACTAAGCCCAGCACTAGATTGCATATGTGCCCCCCACACGTGTGTTCACATAGGTGTTTACCTCCACATGTAACTCTCTGTGCCCATGCATGCAAACGTGGGCACACACACAACCCAGTTCCAGTGCACAGGGTCGGTTCTCATTCCTTCCCTTTCTGTGTGTGTGACTTTCTCCAGCTCACAGAAGCCAGGCACTCACTGTCCTCCATGTGTTTGCTGCTTTAACCATTGCTGTCGGGGAGCCTCCTATCACTGCTGTCCTCCCTGCCCCACTGTGTGGGTGCCCCGCCCTGGGTCTGGGGCTCATGCTCTGCCCTGGTCACCCCTCCCCATGGTACGTGATCCATGACCCCACACAGAGGCCGTATTGGCCTTGGACCCTCAAGCCAGCTCCCCGTCCTCCAACATCTGCACTGGATGCCCTCCTCGTTGGGCTTGGCTCTGGTTCTGCTCCCTGCTGGGGCCCCTTGTCACCCTTCCCTTCCCCATGATGGGGTTTTCCTCTCTTCACTGTGGTTTCCTGAGAGACCCTTAGCCCCTTGGGTTCCTCTTCGGCAGAGTCACTGAGCCTCTCTTGGAATGTTCGTTGTTTGCTCAGCATCGTGAGCCATGGGCTGGGCTCTGTCCTGATTCCTCTAGGACTCTGGGGGACTCTGTCCTGCCTGCTGCTCAGCGAGGGCTCTCTGAGAGTCCCTGCAGGCTGCCACCCACAGCGTCCCCAGGAGAGGGGCTGGTGTCCTCTTGGGGTGTAACTCCTCCCCCCCCCCCCCTTGCTGTGGGTTGTGGAGAAGGGTGCCTGGGAAGACCTTCTTGGAGCTTGTCATGCTGCCTCACCTCTCCCTGTCCAGTGGGCCCTGGGATCTGTGTCTGTGCTTTGATTTTGAAACTGCTGGGTCCAGGGCTGCTGCCCCCTGTCCTTCCGGTTTCACTTTCCAGGTGTCAGGTATCTGGGTTTTGACAGAATACCAGCCCTGTAAAACTTCTGGTCCTAAGCACTGCCATTGTGTGGAAAATAAGCAGTATGTGAGTGTGTTACTGTTGGATATTAATTCACAGAAATCAGAATTTTGTGGGATGGTTTTCCTTTTAACCAAAAGTTCTTTTTCAGATTGTAGTTGTTTCAGAGTTAAACTGAGGGCATAGCAGTTTTTAACATTTTTAAGTACTGCCTTTTGGAACTTTTCACTTACTGATTAAATGAAAGGGAGGGACTTGATACAGAATTTGAGATTTAACTCATTCATAGATCAGTCACATGAGTGTTATTCAAGAGAGACTAAAGAAATCCAGAGAAAATATGGGCAGGATAATAAGGAATCCTTCTCTTCAAAGAGGGAGAGAATAGACAGTAGACATTAATTATAGTTTTCAAAGATTTTTAAATACCTGATATTGAAATGAGTTAAGCATCTTGGTTTTGATTTATGCTCTTTATCTGTTGAGTGGATTCATGGAGCATAAGGTCAGTTGTAAACAGTTACAAAGCAAGGAGAATTTGTGTCTCCCTGCTTCTCTCTGGAGGAGAGCCGAGGCTGGGCTTGTTGATGTCCAGGGTAGAAGGACTCCTGTCTCCAGCAGGCTGGTGTTCAGGCCCTAAGTCAGGAGCAGCTTTGATTTCCAGGCCCATGTTGGCTCTCCTGTTGAGGCCATGTGAATGAGAAAAACTTCCAAAAGCCCTGGGTTGTCCGCTTTGTCTGGGTCACCTCTAAAGCTGCCTTGTCTCTGACATGGCCTGCGAGTGGCCTTGAGCTTGGAGTGGTTCTGGGGGCTCCTGGAGTGCCATGGGGCTGTGGAGGAGACCACGGGGAGGCCCCCGCCCCCAGATGGCAGTGGGCCTGCAGTGGGCCTGGCCGCTCCCCTTTCCTGTCACGGAGGGGCCGTGACCGGAGGGGACCCTGCCGTGTTTGGGCCCAGGGCCCTAGCCCTGCAGACCTGGGTTTTAAAATCCCAGCCTCCTTAGCAGAGTGTATCTCAGTGGGCAGCGTGCTTGGCCCTCTGCCTCCCCAACTCTCCCTCAGAGCGTTGGAGGATCTCCTCGGTGTCCCTGGTCTCAGGGACGACGCGCACCCGGACGTGGTGGGAGCCTGCCCTGGGCGCCCGCAGCTGGGACCGGCCACGGACTCTCCATGGAGCATCCCCGCCCCAGAGCAGGAAAGCGTGCTGCCGTCTCTGTTATTAGGCTCCTTTGCTCTGTAAACTACAGAGTGTTGATAAATCTGCGTTCACGGTGACTCATTTATTTTCAGGATACTGAAGTTTATAAAGCTACTGTAAAGGATGACCTCACCAAGTGGCAGAATGTTCTGAAAGCATATAGCTCCGTGGACTGGTTAATTGTGGTGGTTGAAAATGATGCCAAGAAAAAAAACAAAACCAACATACTTCCCCGAACTTCCATTGTGGACAAAATAAGAAATGATTTCTGTAATAAACAGAGTGACAGGTACGTGTGTGTTTGCTGTTAACCTCATGGGGCTGACATTTAGGTGAGATAGTTTACTGGCTTCCGGGTGATCATAAGTATTTGCTCTGTGAGTGCCTGCCCTGTGCCTGAAGCTTGAGCATGTGGTGGATGCAGCAGAGGAGACCAGGCCCCTCCTTAATTGTCTCCTTAATCGATTCCCTAAAAGAAAAATTGGGTAAAAGTTTTAGTGCATTTCCAGGCTATTGGTGAGTATTGCTGACACAGGGTCATGTGTTGTCTTTGCAGCAGCATCCCAGTGACAGGGAGGCCCCTGCCCGGAGCTCCTTGCCACGCCTGTGGCGCTCCACGCCTGCTCTGTGGATGCCGCTCTGCTCAGGGAAGCCCCCACCAGCCCAGACTTCATCAGCTGCTCTGGGTTCTCCTTTTCTCAGTTAACAACGCTTGATGGGGATTTCCAAAGCTTTGTTGTTTTTATTAATGAGGAGAAGATCTGGAAATAGTAAATGTTGACGGTCTTAATGAGAGATGGAGAGTGTAAAGGATGTATTGTCTGGTTGATAAGCACCAGCTCACTGAGGGAAAATATTGTTTCCGTGGTTGCTGTTTGTGTAGGTTTCTTTTTCATCCACCCCTGTAGTAGAGAACTCTGCATCTGCTCAGAAATAAACGTGGAGGATTGCAATCCTTAAGAATGCCTTAATGAGAAACTGCTGAGCCAGTAGACCCTAGCAGCTCATACAGTGAACAAATACACTCTACTCCCATGGGGCAGGGGGTTTAGGTTGAGCTGCCTAGACCCCTTTATCTTTCAGGGGAAGAAACAGTATCTAATGGGGTAGAGTGTGGGGAGTGGGGTGACTGAATCAAGGCCAGTTACCAGTTTTAAAATTTCCCTCTTGGTACTCATTACTCATCTGGTGGGCTGTCTAGACTATGGCTGTTTCACCCTTTGTCCTGTGGTCGAGGATAATCCTCAGTCCTTCCTCCAGGGGGTATGATGGAGCCCAAAGAAAATGAAACTTAAAATCTGTTCATTTGCCATTTCTCCTCAAATATTTCTAGAGGAGAAATGTTCAAATTCATAGCATCAATATTTAGAAGTTATTTCTGAGTTCAAATTTACTCATCTCTCTAGATTATATTGTTTTCAAGGATAAAGTAAGTTACCTTTTCCAGCCTATTGGATGAACAGGTTAACTTTTCCAGATCCACTGGAAACACTTGTAACTTTTTGCCTGTGAGATTTGTACACCGTGGATACAAAGTTTTTTTGTAGTGAAATTGTCTCATACCTTTGTTGTTGTTCAGTCACTCAGTCCTCTCTGAGTCTTTGCAACCCTGTGGTCTGTAGCCCACCAGTCTCCTCTGTCCCTGGGATTCTCCAGGCAAGAATACTGGAGCGGGCTGCCATTTCCTTCTCCAGGGGATCTTCCTGACCCAGGGATCGGACCTGAGTCTCTAGCGCTGCAGGCAGATTCTTTTCTGTAAGAGCCACCAGCAAAGTCCCATAAGTTAAGCCCATCCTTCTAAGCCTTTATTTACTGTTTATTAAGGCTACTCTCGAGCTCACAGTCCGGTGGGAGAGACAGACTAACAGTGCAAAGTGTTTCCAGGGTGCACTGACTACACTGGTCATGGAGTCGGTGGGGCTGATCTTGGAGCAGCTGGGGTGGGGGCTGGGGAGAGGGTCAGTGAGGATGTGTCAGCTGAGCAGGGTTATGTGGGGTGAGTAGGAAGGTGTTGGGTAGAAAAGCAGGAATGCCTAAGAAACTGAGTGGGCTTGAACTAGAGAGAATTGGAATCAGAGCTGGACAACTGGGCTAGTCCATGTTGTCACGATCCACAGGTACCATGTTAAACATCTGCATTTTAGTTTGTCAGTCACAGGGAACCCAAAGAGGCTTTTGAGTGGCAGGGCACCTGGGGTTTGGGAACTGAGGCACAGCCATCTTACTTCCCAGTGCACCCTGCAGACAGGGTCTGAGTCTTGTGACTCATCATAACCCCCCCATCCATCCCACAGCACCCCTCTTGTAACAGCACTGACTGCTCAGGTGGCCTTAGACCAGCTCACGATGAAACCATTTTTTCATCTGATGTCTCGTCACCTGCCTGATGTTTTTCACCAGTTACAGAAGGAAGAAAGGGAGAGGAGGGAGGAAGCCGGTTTGCGTCCAAAGCACTGGTCACTGTTGGGCAGTGGTTCTGTGCCTGGAGTGTTTTCTGCACAGTCTGTTCATGTCTTCACAGGTGTGTCGTGCTCTCCGATCCCTTGAAGGACTCCTCCCGAACTCAGGAATCCTGGAATGCCTTCCTGACCAAACTCAGGACATTGCTTCTTATGTCTTTTACAAAAAACCTAGGCAAGTTTGAGGATGACATGAGGACCTTGAGGGAGAAGAGGACCGAGCCAGGCTGGAGCTTCTGTGAATATTTCATGGTGCAGGTACCTGAGTACATAGAGTGTACTTTCCCTCTCTTTCCCTCCCTCTTCATTCTTGTGAATAAGGCAGCTCTCTTAGGGTCATTCATATGGACATAGCTTATAAGACCAAATGACAGTGTAGTGGCCAGCTTCATTCTCTTGGCTTATTAAGGCGCATTGGAGAGTCTCCTGAGTAATTTCTGTGTCAGCTGCCTCGCTGCTTCAGAGCTTGGCATCTAGCCTTTTGTGAAGTGACCGTATCCTCAGAGCAGTTCTGGTTTTGTTAGTGTCTCGGGCCTCCTGGATGTCTACCATGGACCTGGCTTAGGCTGTGGAGCCCAGCATTGGTGATGACCCTGACGATAAGATGTCTGCTGCCTGCCTGGCACTGTGGTTAAACTGCTTGAGTCCCAAGTATGTTTCCTCCGTAGTTTTATAACTTTGGGTTCCAATGAAAGATTGTCTTAAGCTGGTTTCTTTACTCTGGCTTACAAAAGTGTTTAGGTTTCCAAAGATTGTGGTCTATAATCAGTTCTCTTGTTTTTTAAGAGGAAGAGTGTGTTAAGTGAACAAAGTGATGTGAAACAGAGGAGCTTGAGGGAGGAGACCCTCCTTGCACTGCAGAGGGTCCTTGTTCTTTGTTCACCATGTTTTGCCTGAAAAAGCATGAGTTTTATATTTTATAATTTTCATATTTAAATATCACTTGTATATTAATTACTGAAGAAATAATGCACCTTGAATAAATAACTCTAATTAGAAATTTTAAAGTTTGTCTCTTATTCTGATGCTTCTGTCGTGGTGATATTTGGATGATTTGGGTAACATCAGGGAATTTGAACATGTTCATAATTCCCTGTATGACTGACTATGACAGAACTTTCAGATTACCCTGTCTCTTTACCCTTCAATCTTATTAAACTTATTTCCTAAGAGTAGTGACAAGGAAAGAGAAGAGTCCAAATGAATATAGTGGTATTGGTTTAGAATTAGTGAACTCGTGGTTGGATAACTGGATGGCTGGATAGATAGATTCAGAAATACTGATGTATGTGTAGGTGAGGGTTAATATGTGTGCATGTAAATGTTGCTTTGCTGTTTCCTCTGATGGGATCTGGGAAAAAATGACACCTCAGTAGCAGTGAGCAGACTTAGTGCTAAGATCTTGGTTTCTAAACTGCATTCTCCAATAAAAGTTGCCACATCCTTGTGGACGTGATTGGTTCCAGGGCTAATGTAGGGAAAATAGCAATATTTTGTAAAAGCAGAAAGTAAGGAGGTGCTCAGGAAAAAGGTGGAGGTCTGTCAAAGGAGCACACACACCACCTCCAGGGGCCTCCTGACACCCAAAGCGGGAGCAGTGTGTGCAGCAAAATGAGTAATGACAGACCAGAGATTCACCCTGTGGGATAGAATTAGTATCCTTGTGTCTCCATAGATATAAATAAGTAGTTGGTTTAATAAGTAAATGAAGGAGAAAATTCCGCTGTTCCACAGAGCAGAATTCTAATTAAAGAGCATGTGTCTGGGGAGGCAAGGAAGTACCAAGGACGAGAGGCTGAGCCGTCAGGCCTGGCAGGTCACAGAGAGACTCCAGGAGTCATGCTGGCCTTTTCCTGCTTCTGTCTGTGCACGGTCATTAACTTGATTTTCTTTTTCTTAGCATAAACATTACTCATGATGCTGCTTGCTTTTCTCTCTTGTGATCTTTCGTGGCTTCTTGTTTCAAAACATTGATTTATAATTTTGTGTTTTCTTTTATAAACTTTTTTTGGGTGACTAGGAGGAGCTTGCCTTCGTCTTTGAGATGCTGCAGCAGTTTGAAGATGCCCTGGTGCAGTACGATGAACTGGACGCCTTGTTTTCTCAGTATGTTGTCAACTTTGGTGCTGGGGGTGAGTAGTGAAGTTTTAGAAACAAGTTCTTTTCTCACCGTAGCTTTGCCCACTTTTAACTAGTATGGAAGCTGTTGTTATTTACCTAATGATTAAATCATCTTCTGTGTTTTTTAAAAAACAGATTATGCAGGATATATTCCCATGGTTGCTATAGGGAATGAATTGAGAGTTAGGTGTTAGTCACGCTTGTGGAAAGAATCTTGAGGAATGAAAGTGTTGAAGGAGTTGTTTTCAGATATAAAGTGTCATTTCTACAGCTTGAGCTGTCTAGGGATGCTCCTGATTCTGTGCCTGCTTGTTAACATAGTGTGGGGATCTTTTTCTTCGGTTAAGAGGTTGTCTGTGTAATATTTGAGTGTTCACTACAGTGAGTCTTACATGACACCGTTGTAAACGGTGTTCATCTTTTTAAGGATGTCTTAAAGTTTTCTAAAAATATGAAATTAGCACAGTGACCCATGTACAAAGAAAAAAGTTTGTAATTGTGCTCACTGTTCTTTGCTTGGTATTTATTTTGGTAGAAATGGCGTCACGTTATCATGACGTTTGTCTGTAGCTTGTTCTTACTAGCGGTCCATCGCAGGCATCTCTTTAGGCTGACAGATGAGACACTAAGCTGTTTCTGCCAGTGGCTGCAGAGTGCTTCGTGGTGTGGATTCCTGAGACTTGATTCAGCCATCCCGGCGCTGGACATTTGGGTTGTTTCTCTCTTGCTCCCACAAGCAGTGCTATAATAGATGTCTTTATCGCGGGTTCTTTTGGGAACCTTTGTCACAGTGTCTGAAGAAAGGCGTGATTCCCAGGAGCCATTGTCGTGTCTGCTAGGAGACCTGTAGGGAGTGAGGTGCAGGGGCCGCCCCCTGGCTTGTGGGCCCCACCCTGGTTCTCAGAGTAATGCGGTGTCACCCACTGAGGCCCACTTCTGTCAGTTTTCTTGCAGTTCAGCTTTGGATTTCTTACTTTGCTGAGACACAGACAGAAACATATAACTAAAGCAATTTACTAATAGATTTTGAAAACTTAAAGGGAGTAAAATTACATTTCTTATATCTTACATGCCCATATTATACATATATATATATGTGTGTGTGTATATATATATATATATATATATGTATGTGTCTCAAATAGCTTACATGTTTCTTACATTACATTTCACATAGTTTCTTTGTTCTCTCAGTTTTAAAATAAGCCTGGGGCAATTTAAAATCCAAAAGTAAGCCTGGACCAGCTTTTACAGTGAAGTGATAAGGGGGTTCATTTTTGTTCATTCAGACACATACTTCCTGAGACCCCTCTCTGTGCAGGCCCTGTTCTAAACACAGTAGGGAACACAACAGACTTCCTTCTTTGATGGAGTTTACATGAAAGGGAGACATGGAAAAGCAAGCATGTCACTTAGTCATGTAGCGAGGGTAGCAAGTGCAGGCTGGGCAGAAGATGCAGGTGTGGGGGAGGGTGGCGGTATACTGTCAGAGGGGGGCCTAGGAGGCTCTCCGAGAGAGGCCTGACCAAAAGTGGGGGGAGCCAGGAGAGTGCTGGGGGTGGGGCCCCAGCGGGGGGATCTGCTGAGGAAAGGCCTGACGGCTGGGGGGACACCTCACTGTATGGGCAGTGAGCCGCTGACTCTTAGCTCAGTTAGTGAGGGACGCTGTTGCCGTTGCTGGCCCTGCAGCCGTGAAACAATGCCACCATACCAGTGTAGATGTGGACGTCCAGGGAGGTGGCTGTGAGAGAGGAAGGTAGATTAAATTTCAATTAGATTGAATGGCCCTGTTATTGTAGACTCTTGTGTTTAATTTAAAACCATATTTGAGTCTTTGAGCTATTAGAATCGGGGAGCCTTGTTGGAAATCTTTGACAGTTAGAGGATGTCCCCTCTGCTTCCCACTACTACGTCTTCCTCATGCCTGCAGGCCCTTCCTCCGGGAGCTGGACTCAGGTGTTGACAGGGTTGAGTGGCAGACAGGCAGGAGGCTTAAGTACGTCAGGAAGAGTGTGGACATAAAAAGATAAAGACTGTCCTGTGGCCAGGCTGCTCCCCCGCACACGGTAGGGAGGAACCCCATAGCACGCTCCCGCCTGGGCCTCATGCCTCCTCCCGGGTGACTGATTGTGGAGCCTGAGGTGTCCCTGACCCTCATCCCGGCGGCCCGATCACATCCTGGCTTGTTCACGACCTTCGGGGCCCGGAATAGTGTTGTGCCTTGCGGCCTCCGTCCTGTCCCCTGATGCCAGGTGCCGAGTGGGTGTCCTTGTAGTCACCACCATGTCCTATGTCCCTTGTCGGGTCCCCCACAGCCTCGAGGGGGGGCTGGTGCTTCGGGCCGCCCGTCGGTCCCCTAGGGCTCACGGTCCCACGCAGTGAGGTGAAGGAATCTGCAGTCAGCGCCTTTCACGATGTGTGTTTGTCTAGATGGTGCGAACTGGCTGACTTTTTTCTGCCAGCCGGTGAAGAGCTGGAATGGATTGATCCTCCGAAAGCCCATAGATATGGAGAAGCGCGAATTGATACAGAGGCAAGAAGCCACCCTGTTAGATCTGCGCAGTTACCTGTTCTCTCGCCAGTGCACCCTGCTCCTCTTCCTGCAGAGGCCGTGGGAGGTGGCTCAGCGCGCCCTAGCTCTGCTGCACAGCTGTGTGCAGGAGCTGAAGCTCCTGGAAGTGAGTCGTCTCCTTTCCCCGTCACCCGCGTCCCGACTGTCGGCGTAGCAACCGATTGAGTGACTGCTAGAAAGTGCACCTTCTGCCCTCAGCACAGTGCAGTGCACAGTGGCCCACAGCGAGCCTCCCAGATCAGTGTCTCAGTATAATTTTTAAGGTAACCCTGGCTTGTTCTGTGGGAGCTGGGCCTTATTGATCAAGATCACTCACCTGGGGGACACACAGAATCAGGTTTCGCAGGTAGTGTTTGTTTTCTTTCAGAGCTGTCTTTTCAGATACATGAATTTGCACATGAGCATGCCGGTAACAATGTGAGTGACACACAGCAAGCTGTGCACATTAATCAGTAGCACACAGTTTAATGGAGGTATGTTACAAACACATGTGTGCATGCGTGTATGAAAGAACACAGTTAGCTTGAAGGTGTTGGTTTGTAGTGAAACACTTGTTTTTCTAGATTAATATCCCCCAGGGCTCTGGACTCTCTTCCTGCCCGTAGTGTTGTAAACATTTTAGTGAGGTAGGGGAGCTCTAATGACTGTCTATTCTGGGGGTTCTCACCTTTTTTGTTTTAGTGACCTCTTTACATGGAAAAATGCACATATACACACTCCACATGTTACATACACTTTCAGAGGATTCTTAGGTACCCACCCCTCCTCCCCAGTTAAGAACTGAGTGGGTGGTCTAATTCCATTTTATAAAGGAGGAAAGTGGATGTGGAAGTGGTTAGGTGACTTACAGGTAACATAATTAACTTGTCACAGACTCAGATCCTCCTGGCAGGCTGCAGTCCTCTCTGTTGGGCTCCACACCAGGGCTCTGGGGGCACAGTTAATGAAGACCCAGGGCACTGGCAGTAAGGGTAGTTTTCATATCGTAGTCATTTCTGTTTTATGTTCCCTAAAAAGCTAAGTAACAGACTCAATAAGATAAATTATTTTGCTAATTTCTAAAGAAGAGATGCCTAGCCTAGCTGAGCCACAAACTTGAGAATTTAGGACTTTTTATCAAATTATTTTTCTTCTTTGCACATCTAATCAAGCATATGAGAAAAAAGAACACTTTCCACCTTGAGGTGATGTTCTTGTGGCCACCTGTCACCAAGTAGGTTGAGATAATCTTCTTTGGCTATTCCACTCTAACTGTACAGACCCCAGGGCTGAGGGGATTGCTTCATTAATGGGACAGGGCTGCCTGTGTTCATGGGGCCTGGAGATTTACTGAGAGATTTTCTCTTGTTAGTGGATCACGGGCAAACATGGGGGTGTATTAAGAGCCCAAGCAGTTCAGCCTTTGCACTTTCAAATTGGGGTCACCCAGGAGGGCGCTTTAGGCCTCAGTGATGGTGTTCTCACTGGAGAGGGCATGTGGGGTGTCAGGCAGAGAACTCCTCTCTCTACTTTCTCATCTGAGATTCTCGCTCTAGGTTGTTGTTGGGAGTTGGGGGTGGTCCTTATATCTTAAGGTAGTTTTGCGGTTGGCAATAAAGTGGATAAGTTTATTCTTAGAATTTCTTTAAATTTTATGGAGACAATCAAAATTATTTATTTTTTTTGCATATTTGATTCCGCTCTCAAAACTAGAACTCATTTCCTGTGTCTGCTAGCTTTCTTTCTGGTGATTGTTGTTGACAGTCATGTCCATGGCCAGAGGCCAGCGTAGAGCCTTGGGTTCCCCCAAACAGAGCTGGGCAGAGCCGCAGCTGCAGAGCCAGTCCTCAGGCAGCTTGCAGGTTGGGCCAGTATGTGGTGCTGGGTTGGGTTTGGTCATTTATCCTTTTTAAGCCAAAAGCATATGTATTGCAGCCACTTTGTACATTTCTTATTGTGATGTTTCTTTTGCAGAAAACGCCTGTGTTTGCTCTTTGTGGTTTGTGAAGCAAGTCCTGGTGACTTCCTTGTTGGTGCCTCAGTTGATTTATAGTATCTTCTCTGAGAGCAGGAGACACTGAGGTGGCCAGATGCCACCTCCGTGCTGCGGCCTGGGGTCATCACTCCCGGCGGTGCTTGCTGAGGCCAGGGGCCAGCTCCCGGCTTGGCAGTGTGTAAACGTGGAAAGGGTACCTGCCCACACCGCTGCTGGAGTCAGGAGTAATAGCCCTAAAGTTGCATCAGGTCTGTGGGAGCTCAGATGACTCCGTCAACAAAGAGTATCTCTTTGTTGTCTACAACATTTAAACCACCCCACCCGTTTACCAAAAGTCTAGTGTATTCCCTGCGTAAATTTGGAAAACAGACAGAGCTGCAGAAGAAAGTGTCATTGCTTTTTCTAAAGTAAGAGGTTCTCTTTTTGGTCTGTGGCCTTTCTGTGTGTAGAAGGACTGTTTGGACTTTGAGATTGTTCAGCAGTGTCTGCCGTTGCAGGAGTGTGTATCCTTGTCTGTCACCCTTGTTCAGTGCATTCACACATAGGATGGCTAGTTCAAGGCTGCACTTGTCTTTAACACTTTTAGTGTACCTCATCAAATTGCCTTCTAGTAAGATCATCCCATTTTTAGTTACAGTAGTAATACTCTTCTCCTGCATCTTTGGTAAGAAAAAAAGTAATAAGTGTATATGTTTTCATCTTTACCAGATTGGTAAGTGAGAACTATTTAAGGAAGATATTTTCTAGAATGTCGTTTTATGTTTGTTACAATGACTACCCAAAGGATTTCTGTGTTAATGCGTTTTTCTTGGTATCGGCTTGTCCTTTATCAGCATAGATTCTGATTATGTTCACAGACAGGGCTGGCCAAGAGGATCAGGACTCTTCAGGACCTAGAGACTGGCCAGCGCCGTGCGTGAGATGCCCACGCCCTGCTGGTGTGTGAGCAGGGCTGTGTCTGGGAGAAGCTGCAGGCTGACCAGGGTGGAGAAGGCCCACCATCCAGACCTGCCAGCTGGCATTGGCATTCCTGGGTTCAGGCCCCACGGAGGACAGAGCAGAGGCTTTACTGAGGAGTGACCCTCAGGGCCGTTGAGTACTTGCTCATCATGTGACCTTGAGCCCTGAGGGAGGACCTGAACTGTGAGAGGAGTGGGAGTGGACGGAGCAGGAGGCACCCGGGGAAGGTGTTGATATTGATAAGAGCCAGTGAGCCTCAGGAAGAGGGAAAGAGGGTTAGAGAAGGAACTGCCCAGCACCATTCAGAAAGCAGCTGACTACACACAGTGGTGAGGGGAGAGAGGACCCACAGATGAGGAAGAAACGAGTCCTGCTTGACCTCAAGAAACCCACAGTTTGTGCACAGAGCCAGCTGTGTGAGTGGGCTGTCAGAGCCCAGAGCTGCCGGGCCATCAGAGCAAGCTGTTCCCGGGTGGGGTGGGTGGGTCGGGTGGAATTAAGGAGAGAGGGGCAGCTTGCATGGGCTCATGGACACTGCCTGACGTGTCCAGGGGTGGGGGTCAAGAGGTGGTCTTGTGTGAGCTGGATTTTAAAGTTTCATCCATTCAGCAGTTACTCGTTGAACACCTGTTTTGTGCGAGCCAAGCACTCACTCTGGGAACTGTTTTTAGCAGCGAGCACCACAGACCAACATCACCCCTCCTCACCCCGTGAGCTGAGTCAGGACCCATCAGGTGGACATGGCTTGGGTGGCGGGCAGAGAGAGTGAGTTTCAGGCAGAGAACTCACTGCTGAGAAAGAACTCTTGAGGAGCTTAGTCTTGGTAGACCTTAGGACTGAGGCAGGGCATGGAGGTGAGGCTCCAGAGTTCTTGGAAGCCAGGTTTGAAAGTGTACATCACCTTGAGAGTTGACTTTTATTCTACAGCTAGTGGGGAGCCACCCTTGGGTTGAAAGCTGGGGTGCTGTGAGAGGTGAGGGCAGAGAGAGGCTCCTGATTAGGAGGAGATGTGGAGAAGAGTTGGAGACTCGGCTGAGACCTGGGGAGAAATGTGAGGTCGGAGCAAAGGCACTGGGGTAGACTTTGAATAAATGGAATATAAATGGACTCAATGAATAAATGGGTCTGAGTCTCTGAATCTTACACCATCCACAAATAATTATTATTTTATGAAAGATAAAGCAAGAAAGCTTCTGGAAGATAATATGGGAGAGTATCTTTATGACCTTGAGATTAGCATATGTTTCTTAAACAGGACAGAAAGGCTTTGGCCAGGAGGGAAGAGTGTGGAAAACGGGCAGCCTGGAAATCAGGGCCTCTCGTCATCAATCAGCACCACGGAGGGGGGTGACAGGGCAGCCAGGAGGGGACAAAGGTCCATAGGCTGTATAGTCAAGAAGGACTCTTAACCCAGAGTATGGGAAGAACCCCTACAAATCAGCTTCAAAGACTGACAAATCAATAGAAAATAGGCAGCTGGCTAGTAAGTAGATGAAAAGGTGCTCAGTGTCATTCATTATAGAGAAATGCAAACTAAAATAACAGTGAAATCTACCTCCCCCCACCCCAAGTGGCTAAAGTGGAAGAGCTTGATAAGTGTTGGTAAGAACAGGGAGCACCTGGCGTTCTTACCTTGACAGGGAGAGTAGGAATGGGCACCCATCTTAGGAAAGCTGTTTGGCAGCCTCTGCTGGAGCCAAACCTGTGCTGCCCGTGAGCTGGTGATTTGTCCCCGCTCTGTCCAGGATGCAGTGCAGGGACACTCGTGGTGGCCTTACTGTAACTGCCAGACCCTGGAAATAACCCAAATGTCCATCCTGTACAAGGGAAGCTGTCACTGCTGTCTGTGCGGACAGCAGACGGGGATGTGGCGGCAGAAATCAACGAGCTTGGAGTGGATGAGGCTGTGAACGCAGAGTCTGGCTGGAGGAGTCAGACACAAGACATGCCTGCATGTTGATTTTGTGTGCATGAGTTCATGAGGAGGCACCAGTGGCGTGTTGGGAGGTGTGTGGTGGGCATGGCCCTGTTGTGGTCCATATGGGACACTGGGGTTTTCAGTATTTGCATTGTTTTAAAATATAGGTTTAGAAAAGACAAAAGAATGTCTTTAATTTTATACTTGGAAAATGGTTCAGACAGCTCTTGCCATGACCAATAATACTGATATCAGAAAAGGAGAGAGGCTTGAAGAAAAGCTAAAGAATGTTTATGAAGAAATTAGTTTTAAAAAGTCTGTTGTTCACAAAGGAGTTTATCCAGAGGGCCCCGAAGTCTATGGAAAGGCACTCAGTGTCTTTCTCGTTAGGGTGCGTGAAGTGTCCAGATGCCGAGAGTGCCGCCGGGTTCCAGGTGGACTGGCAGAGCCTTGAGCTTGCCTAGGGCTTGTCCCTTGTGGGAGGCAGGTTTGCTCTTTGTCAGGTGTGATTGACGTGGGGCACTGGGGTGGGTGGCTGTCAGAAAAACTCAGCCTGCCACCATCTAAAGATACGTGGCTTTCAGGTGAGACCTCTGTGGGCTATTGGTACCTCTCAGCTTTGCCCCCGGTGGAGTGCCGCAGTTTGGGGGGGGGAGGCATGTGCTCTGGACAGGGTCCCTGAGCTGCATCCCACCGGCCAGCTCTCCGCATCCCTTTGAGGTTGGTCCCTTGTCTGGACAAGAGAGTCATACCACTTTATCACCGTATGAAAGTTGCTTCTGATCATGTCATTATTTTCTGTACTGATTTTTTATTTAAAGGACCTAAGTAGTTTGTCTGCTTTTTCAAAGACTGGGCAATTTAGCACGTATGGGAGTGTTTAATGGCATTCTCTGGATCTTTCCGGTTGGTGCCGGGTCCTTCTGTTTGTGCTCAGGGTGTGTTGAAGAAGTCTTTCTTACAGGAGTTGATCTCGTTAGCTTGTGCAGCTCCTCCCCTGTCAACTGATGTGGGGTCACTTCTTAGTCCCCGTTGTGACTAGGACCAACTGGCGGGTCTCACCGGAGCTGGGGCCCCAGCTGTGAGACGCCCCATGACGTCAGTGCCCCGGAAAAGGCAGTCTGCACTGCCAGCTGTGGGTGTGAATGTGCTGTCAATTGTGAGACATTCCTGTTTCAGAGACCCTGAAGTGTAGAGGAAAGTCCTCCTTCGAACCCATCACATACAGTAGATACTTCTGAATATCTGACAGTATAGTGTTTATTATATTCCCAAGCAGCAGGAGTCCATTTTTACAAATGTAATTACACCTAAAAAATCAATAGCAGTTCCCAAATACCATCAAATATCTACTTAATACTCAGATTGCTGTGTTGCTATATGATCTGAAATGTGTTCCAGTGGTCATCTGAGGTCTAGCTTCCCACCTTCAGAGTGTGTGCTCTTTAAACTGAGAGGTGACCAGTTTCCAAACCTAGAGTAAGTGCTGACAGTCAGCCTTCTTGTAGGCATCTTTAATAAGCTTTTGAGTACACTGCTGAGATCACACCCCTGCCAAGGCCCTCCGTCTCGTCGGGAGTGTGAGCCACTGAGTGCCTTTGGGCACAGGTGGCCCTTCCTCCTGTAGCTCAGCTGCTGCCCTTGTTGTTCTGCCCCTTTCTCTTCCCCGTGGTCGTGCAGAGTCTGGGTGGCTGCCGGGAGGGGCTTCCCCGAGTGCCCTCCTCAGCGCCTGCGCCTGTGCCCCACAGGTCTCCGTGCCGCCCGGCGCCCTGGACTGCTGGGTGTTCCTGAGCTGCCTGGAGGTGCTGCAGAGGATAGAAGGGTGCTGTGACCGGGCGCAGATAGACTCGAACGTTGCCCACACCGTGGGCTTGTGGAGCTACGCCACGGAGAAGGTAGCTGCGAGTGCAGAGGGAGCCTGTCTGGGCTGTGCCCCCGGGGCGGGGGTGGAGTTCGCTGTTGGGGAAGTGCTGCACACGTGGTCCCTCCTTGGGGGGCTCCGGCTGCCTCAGGGGCGTCTGTAGCAACATGGATGCGGTGGGTCCCTGCCAGTGTCTCTGACTCCAGTGGACGTCAGACACTTGGCTGTGCTCATGCTAAAGATGGACTTCTGCCCCGGGAATGAGGGTGCTGGAGACAAAGCAGGGTGAGCGTGAAGCCTGTGCAGAAATCAGGTGAGGACAGTGGTCCTGTGTGGGCAGCAGGAAAGCCCGGTGGCAGTGCAGACAGAGTGGGAGACCTTGCTGGCTTGCGAGTGACCAGAGTCAGAGGTACTCCCAGGATGATCACGTAGAAGGTTTGAGTTTGAAAGGATCATAGCAAGATGTGTTTTTATATCCAGACAAGAATCTTTTGGGTAGGAAAGCTAAATTTTTTGTGCTTAGATGGATGTTAACTTTAAATTAGTAAATTCTCTACTGGTTCTTATAGCAGATTAATTGAAATTTGGGATCTATCTCAACAGCTGAAGTCCCTGGGCTATCTGTGTGGACTTGTGTCAGAAAAGGGACCTGACTCAGAGGACCTCAATAGGACTGTGGATCTTTTGGCAGGTTTGGGAGCCGAGCGGCCTGAGACAGGTACTTTTTGAAATGTTCCCCAAATCACCGAGAACGTGGGCTGTGCTTGGCACGTATAATTCAGATTCTGGCAATATAACTGCTCACCATTTGGGAAATTACACTCATTATCAGCTGACCAGATTAAGACACAGGATATTTTACTCTTTAATCACATAAAGAGATGTCAGAAATAGTTTAAGAAAGTATAAGGGCTCTTAAAACTGTGTCTGAGTTTCTGGCAGGCTTACATTGAGCTGGTCAAGACTTTGTACAGCCCTCATGCAGTTTAAATGCACCAATCTCCCCCAGTTACAGGTGATTTATTTTTCTGATAATATGGCCAGACAAGTCCTTTTATTGAGTAAATTGCTCCTAGGTGATAGAGCACTTTGAAAGGAGCATTACTGATTCTTTTAGCATAATGATAAGTGTGAGTTAGCAGGGCTATTGCTGACTAAATCACACCTAGTGACCTGAGAGGACTCCTGCTGACTCGGATCAGTTCATCAGGGAAAGTGTGTGATGTGTGTGTTGCTCTGTTTCAACCTGAGAGCACTTCACAGCATTCTGAAAGTAATTCAGTTTATTGTAGGATTTGTAATACATGCTTAAAGACTTCTAGCCTCAGTTAAAGATAAAAGCATTGCACAAAGTGTTTAGATTACATCATGAGTATGTTAACTAGACAAGAACGTGAGTAGTAGTGTGGTTTCAGCTGATATGGTTGTGTTGGTAGTTTCCACAAGCATCAGACAAAGTCCTGTACCTGTGACATTTGCGGCTGAACATAAAGTCATGACTGGATGTAATGAAGATGAATAAGGACTCTTATTTCTTTCTGTTTAAGCCAACACAGCTCAGAGTCCTTATAAGAAACTCAAAGAAGCATTATCATCAGTAGAAGCTTTTGAAAAGCACTACTTAGTAAGTATTTCAAGTGTTGCTTGTCCACCGGTGGCAGAAAGCCTATCTCTGTGAGATTTTGCTGCATTTATAGTATTTTGGATTGGGAGTGAGCTGGTGTCTGGGACCTCCTTGCTGGGCTAAGTTCCCTCAGCCCTAGGGAGTTGTGGATGCACCTGAAGTAGTTGGTGGGTTGGTATCCACAGTGCCATAACTAGGCATAAAAGCATCCTTGGATATTTATCGTTCTGTTCCCCATGGGATTGCTCCTTCAGTGGAGCATAAATTGTAAGAAAGGCTAGTGAATGATTTTCTGTATACAGAGGAACAGTTTGAACCTGAACAGGGCTTATTGTACCTGATTTTAAAGGACTTAAATTCGGGCATTCTTAGAAAGCAGTGCAGTAGAAGTTCAGTGGACCACCTGCGTTCCCAAGTCATGGTTAATTGAAGAGCATCTGACAGTTGTCTCTGTTACTCAGAGAGTGAAAAAACACTAAAAATGTTACCTGCATGTGGAAAGTACACTGAAAAAAATTATTCTATCCCTGCTGAGTTCATGTTTCTTTGCTTATTATGTTCATAGTTTATATACAAGTTGATGACTTTGTATAAATCACTGTTTTGTAAAAACTCAAATAACACAGAAAGATCTTGAGTAAAAAATTGTTATATTAATAAGGAAGTCTTTTGCTTCAGCTTTGGGTAAATGAATGTCAGGTCTGTGTAGCATTAAATTTGAAGTACAGAATTACTCGGTCTTTGCTTTTCCACAGGACTTGTCCCATGCCACCATCGAAATGTTCACGAGTATCGGGAGGATTCGATCTGCTAAGCTCGTTGGAAAGGATCTGGCAGAGTTTTACATGTAATTGATTTTGAACTTTTCTCTGAATTTCAGACATCTCCCATGTGTAGTAATAGGTTTGTTATGTAGGAGTTAATATGAAGTGTACCTAACTTGGTAGAAAGAAAATGTAAATTGTTAACCAACCATCATCATTTTTTCAGAAGATTCCTTCTGAATACCAGAGTTTAGTTTATTAACCATAGTAATTGTTTCTAATCTTTGTGTTTCTTTAATCAGTTTAGTGAACTTTTACATAAATGTTACACACATGTAGATAATGTGTGCCCTGTTTTATGCAGTATATGGTGTGTGTTCTACATCATTTTCTCTGGGTGCTCGTAAGTGTCCCCTCGAGGTCAGTGACGTGGAGTATGTGCATGTATCACCTCCAGGAGAGAGGGCTGAGCTCTGAGTGCCTGAGAGCCGGAGTGTACAGAAACAGTGAACGTTTCTCATCTGGCTCCAGCTTCCAAGTTGGATTCCAGAGAAAAGACTCAAAATGTGGTGTATTTCATATGTATTTGGTAAATAGCCTGTCAAAGAGAAGAACCCTGGCTGGCAATGCAGCTGCTAATTCAAAGCACTGGAAAAGATACAAGTTATGAGGGAAAAGATGGTTGTTTTCTCAAAAGAAATATGTGTTTGAAGTGGTATCTGGATATATACAGTTTGTAATTTTATTAAATGAAACAGGAAAGAATAATTTATTGTAACTGGTTGAGTAGGCAGGGAAGGGATTAGTAGATCATCTAAGTGAACATCCTGCTGTTTTGGTGTGGTTGGAGCAGCCAGCAGTCACAGAGCCGAGGTGGGGTCTCTTGAATCTCCATCTGGTGTACTGAGGACTGAGTTATTATTGGTTAGTGGAATAGAGAAGCCGTGCCCTCAGATGCTATGAGCTCAGCCCCCTGAGGCTGGCACTGCAGTGGGGTGACGCTGGCCTGCTAACGGGAGACTTGGGTCCTGGTTCTGGTGTCACCATGGACTAGCCAGGCGGGTGGCCTTCGGCCTGCGTCTCTGGGGGCTGGGTGGCAGTGGTCTCCCATCCTGCACTACAGTGTACAAATCATTGGCTGGAGATACTAACTGAAGAAGGGTGGAAAGTTCTGGCCCCTTTAAATGACAGGATGAGAGAGGACCAGAAAAGTCTGGAAAAACTGGCACATGTAATTTGATAGGCTTGAAATTGAGAATTTGGGAACTCTCACTGTTTCAGAGTAAGGTCCTGAGGACTAAGATGTTCTCCCAAGATGCCAGGAGAGCAGATGCTTGTTCATTGTTGGCCTTTATCCTGCAAGATCAGCAGTCCCAAGCCCTCTGGGAAAGGCCAGGGCATCCGTGTTGTCACTGAAGCTTGGGCAAGCTTCGTTAATTGTATTTTAAACTTTGGTTTGTTCTGAATATCTTGAAGGTTTAAATTGGGCCTGGGAAGATGTTCTTTTATGTGATATGTGTTGCTATTTAAATCCTTCATAGTTCTCTGTAAATCTTTGAAACCTGCTCAGTGCTTTGGCCTGAGTTTTGGAGTTGGCCCAAGCTCCCATTGGTTGGTCCATGGAAACCACTCTGTTTTGGTGTGTCTTCAGGAGCTAGGGTGGGTCCAAGCCCAGGTTTCTAGCTTCCTCCATACCTGCTTCTGTGCTGGTGGGCAGATCCTTCCCCTTCCTTCGTGCTTGGCGGCCTCGCAGCAGCTTGAAGTCATAAGTGACGCCCTCACACTCTTATCCAGAGACTGAACTCTGAAGGCCCTTCAGCTGGTGTAGGATGCTGGACAAACAGCGTGTGTGGGGGTGCCAGCCTGGCGCGTCTCTTGGGTCCGGTTATGTGTCCTGACTGTGTGTTCTTTCTCACCTCGGGGGCTGGGCGGGGGCAGTGGTCAGAGGAGGACTCTGGATGGCACCAGTGTCGTGGTGTCGCCGAGGTCACCAGGCGTGGGGAGCAAGCCATGAAAGGTCTGAGTTTGTTGATCATCGTGACCCATTAGGAAAGCTTCTGTTTGTTGATTTGCAAGGAGGAAGAAGTCTCCTCAGAAGGCAGAGATGTATCTTCAGGGAGCCTTGAAAAATTACCTGGCTGAGGGCTGGGCGCTGCCAATCACACACACAAGGAAGCAGCTCGCCGAATGTCAGAAACGCCTTGGACAGATTGAGAAGTATCCTTCTAAGTCGAGTACATTTGTGAAATAGGAAAATTGCTGTCTGTTTGTATAGCAGCAGTGCCCACAGTCGCATGTCCATAGGTGCGTGGAAATTAGGAGAGGGAAGCCTGCCTTGACATGTGCCCCTGTTGGGTAGAAGCTGGTCAGGTGTCTGCCTGCCTGACTTTTGCGTGAGTCCCTAGGACCCTGGAGGAAGGGGCGCACCAGCCGGCTGCACCCCCTGGGACTGGAGCGGTGTGTGTGGTGCCCCCCCCCCCCCCCCGACGTGGCCCTCTCCGGCCCCTTGACTCTGCACTCAGCTACCTTCAGACCAGCAGCCTCCTGGCCAGCGACCAGCACCTGACCGTGGATGAGCGGGAGTACTTCTGCAGAGAGATCCTCAGTTTCGCCAGCCAGCAGACGGACAGCCCAGGTGAGACTCATTTCTGAAACTTTGTTACAGGAATATCCCTGGTGGGCGAGTAGTAAAAACTTCACCTGCCAGTGCAGGGGCTTGGGGTTCAGTCTTGATATGGGAAATAAGATTTCACATGGCCCTGGGCCAGAAAACCCAAACCTTAAAACAGAAGGAATGCTGTGACAGATTCAATAAAGATTTAAAAAACTTTATTATGAAAAATGTCAGATGCCCTAGAAAAGCAAAAAGAATAACACTGTATATACCAGGTGATGTATACTGACCGCCTAGATTCTGCAGTTGCTAGCATTTTGTATAGCACCCGTGTGTCTTTATCTTCCTGCTTTTTTCTTTCTGCTGAACTTTAGACCTGCTACAGACCACAAGGACCACTCCACTTTGGGACAGTGTAGCATCTTCTGAAAATAAGAGTGGTCCCCTAAACCCGCTGCCCACAGAAGGACAGTGTTCTGGCTTGGGCTTCCAACTTAGCCCTCTTCAGGTCTACCTCATTGTCTCAAACAGGGTTTTTACAATTATTTTATATTAGAAATCACTGGCCTGTAGTAGTCCAATCAGGGATCACATACTGCATTTGATTGTTACATCTCAATTCTTCTTGACCATCTTCCCATCTTTTTTTTCCAGACACCGACCTTTTAAAATGTCACAGTTTTACTGAGATAGAATTCACATATCATGTCATCCCCCATTTGCAGTGTGTAGCCTAGTGGTTTTTAGCCTAGTCACAGATATGTGCAGCCATCACCACCGTGAAGTTTAGAACACTTTTACCCCTCAAAAGCAGCCCGCCCCATACTCATTTCCTCCCAACCTTCTCCCACCCCCACCTTCTCTCCCACCCCCACCCCGCCAGGTTCCTGGGAGTCACTAGCCTGCCTTCCGTCTCTGAGGATACGTGGTACGGGTATTTCACGTAAATGGAATCATACAGTGTGTGGTTTTTTGTGACCAGCTTATTTCACACAGCACATTTTCAGGATCCGCCTGTGTTGTAGTGTATGTCAGCGTCTCATTCCCTTCAGTGGCTGAATAACATTCCGTTGGTTGGAGGGACCGCACTCATCCCCTCAGCAGTTGCGGGTTGTGAGACACTGACTCCTGGAAGTCACTGGGTCAGGTGTCTCATAGACCATCTGACCTTCTGAAATGTGTTTCCTGTGGGCGTGTAGATCTGACAGACTTTCCTCCTGAGTGCTTTAGCGAATATACTTGATACGCGTTGCAGTGTGGTAAGATTAGGTTCATGGTGACTTTCAGCTTCTCGCACTCAGTTCATCAGGAGGAGGGTTTATCTTAAACAGTCACTGTCACCATCAGCTCGGCGGCCATGACAGAATGCCACAGTCTGAGTGAGTTCCTTCTGGAGGCTGACTGCCGAGGGCCACACGCCCTCAGGGCTGGTTCCTGATGAGGCCTCCTCTCCTCCTGACTTCTCCTTTCATGACCAGGGGTGCAGGAGGGGAGACAATCCAGGAGAGAGATGGATAGATTCAGAGACAGACAGGGCTGTCTGGTGCATCCTTCTGTAAGGGCCCGACGGTCCCTGACCTCACCCAACCCTAATTAACTCCCCCCGGGGAGCCACTTCCAGTCACCATCGCTCCGTGGAGTAAGGCTTCAGCCGGAGAGCTGGGGGGGCCACATGCTGGCCACAGCTGTTGCTGACTGCTGGGAAGTCAGTGTGCCCAGCGGTCTTGGCCTCCGGTCGACGTGGCCCGTGACTGCTGGGTGCGCCCCTCACACGCAGTCCCCTGGAGGGGCTCTCAGGGCCAGCGTGGCACAGGGCTGTGTGCTGCGTCTGCTGTGTGTGAGACCGTGGACTTCCACTTGTCCCCTGCTCCGTGGCCTCTCCGTGAAGAAGCTCTCCTGTGCCCGTCCCTGCTTTCTTGTGATTTTATACCATCGCTCTCAGCACAGCCTTCAGTTACTGGGTGTTTATAAACACCTCCTGGTCAGTCCAGCGGCCTGGTGGGTCCTCTCGACACAGTGCTGGTGGAGGGTGCAGTGGATTTGCCCCTTTGGTGCCCGAGGGCTGGGACTCACTGCCGTCCCGACTTGCTGCATCCTTGACTGAGCTCCCAGAGTGGCACACACCGGGGCTCACTTATTCCAGATGTAGGGGGAACTCAGGCGTCTTCACTAGAGAACTTTTTGTGTGGGTGGGAGGGTGGTGGACTTTCTGAAACGGCTCTAGGATTTGGACTTTACAAATCTCATTTTGAAATTGAGGAGTTAGTTGACCTGTATTTCTCTTGGGTTTGCGAAAGCAGGAGTTAGAGACCTTAAATTTCTTCAGGTTTTATGATTTCCAGGAGGTATCCGGGCATGTGTTTCTGTTCTGCTTTTTACAAATAACTGCTTTTGACAGAGTAACTCGTTTTGGTGTGTGAAGATGGCATGAGGTCGGGAAGGTCCAAACTGTCTCTGTCACACGTCACTGCTTCCGGCCGGCGTGACAGTGACTGTGTCCTGCTGTCTCTGAGCCTCTGACAGTGTGACTGGGGAGTGAAATGTGTACTGTGCGTCCACAGGTCACAGGGTTGCCCTCCCTATGCACTCCTTCGCACAGCTGCGCGACCTCCGCTTCACCCCTGCCAACGCCGTGGTCCACGTGGGTGGCGTCCTGTCTGTGGAGGTAACTGTGTGCAGTCAGATGCCCATGCCCATCCCTGTGGAGCAGATCGCCATCCACGTCCACTTCAGCATTGAGAAGAACAATTACCGGAAGACCGCCGAGTGGCTCACCAAGCACAAGATGGCCAATGGGGTTGTCAGCTTCCCGGCGGAGGCCTCGCCCTTTCCCACATCCCAGAGCAGCCTCCCCGCGCTGGAGCTCTACGAGATGTTTGAGAGGAGTCCTTCCGACAACTCCCTGAACACCACAGGGATCATATGCAAGAACGTCCACATGCTCCTGCGGAGGCAGGAGAGCGGCACGTCCCTGGAGGCATCTTCGGGCCTGGCTCTGGAGGACGGGGCCCACGTGCTGAGGTGTGCCGGCGTGACCCTGCAGCCGGGGCCCAACACAATCGTGTTCAGGACGCAGGTATGTGCTGAGCAGCAGCTGGCTTTGGGGCGGTCAGAACTGTGGTGCTTGCAAGCACCGTCTGGAGAAGCTGAGCGTCCGGTGGTGGCCTCTGCTCCATTAGCCTGGCTCTGGTTTATCCTTACAGAAAAATAGACTGGTGTTTTGAAAAAAATCTTCTATACTTGCATAGTTGTAAGGCAGTCAATAAGTTGTGCATAAAGTTCTTAACGTAGATAATTATTTGCATTCTCACTGGATTTAGACTTTTTCGCTTTGTATTAAAATGTATCCTCATTTGTTAAAATGAGGATGTTTCAAAGAGGCAGCACTCTAACGTGAAACTTTCTTTTCCTTTTGTGGCCACTCAGATGGATGTCAGTCTCTTCTGCCCACTCGATACAGATCTTCCCCCCACCCCCCCAGCGCAGCGTGTTCTGTTAGTTCCTCTGAGCCTGCACAGAGGCTGGGTCAGTGGAACGTACGGCTATTCGCCATATATGTTTTCAGTCTAGTCCTGGAGCAGGTCTTAAATTTCACGCTCCCTGTCTCCATTGAATACCTTTTCCAGAAGAGAATGCCACAGATAAAGTTAAATTGAGAAAGCACTGTTAGAAGCATCAGGTCAAACTTAAGCATCAGTTACTCACCCAGACCTCTACTAAGAGATTCTGAGGGATCTTTTGAAGAGCCGGAATGTAGACATGTTAGCACAGAGCAGCAGGATAAAGAGGGTGAGAACAGCGGTCCCTTCGGAGGCTATGGCTCAGCCTTCCCTTGAGAAGCTCGTTGTCAGGTGGGGACGATGGTGCCAACGTGTGTCTCGCCCGTAGGCCAGGGAGCCGGGAACGTACACGCTGCGGCAGTTGTGCGCCTCGCTGGGTCCCGTGTGGTTTGTGCTTCCTCACATCTACCCGCTGGTGCAGTACGACGTATACTCACAGGAGCCGCAGCTGCTTGTGGAGCCACTGGCTGGTAAGGGGGCCGGGGTGGGAGGGGCACTGTGCAGGTGTCTGAGGGCCTGGGGTGGGCGGGGCGTGGGACCCCGTGCAGGTGTCTGAGGGCTCGGGGTGGGCAGGGCGCGGAACCCTGTGCAGGTGTCTGAGGGCCCGGGGTGGGCAGGGCGCGGGACCCCGTGCAGGTGTCTGAGGGCCCAGGGTGGGCGGGGCGTGGGACCCCGTGCAGGTGTCTGAGGGCCCGGGGTGGGCGGGGCGTGGGACCCCGTGCAGGTGTCTGAGGGCCCGGGGTGGGCAGGGCGCGGAACCCTGTGCAGGTGTCTGAGGGCCCGGGGTGGGCAGGGCGCGGAACCCTGTACAGGTGCCTGAGGGCCAGGGTGGGGGTGGGCGGGGCGCGGGACCCCATGCAGGTGTCTGAGGGCCCGGGGTGGGCGGGGCGCGGGACCCCGTGCAGGTGTCTGAGGGCCCGGGGTGGGCAGGGCGCGGGACCCTGTGCAGGTGTCTGAGGGCCCGGGGTGGGCAGGGCGCGGGACCCTGTGCAGGTGTCTGAGGGCCGGGGGTGGGCGGGGCGCGGGACCCCATGCAGGTGTCTGAGGGCTGGGGTGGGCGGGGCGCTGTGCAGGTGTCTGGGGTGGGCTTTGCTCCTTTACTGAAGGGAGTCACATAAGAGGAGGGTTTCTCCTGCATTGCACTCTGGCCTTCTGCGACCGTGTCCTCTATAGGTGACACTGTGGGGAGCATCGTGGAGATTTTGCCTGGGACCTGTGGCTATTTTGTTCATCTGAATATTTGCTTCTCTGTAATTGCTACTTTCATATTTACTAAACATTCCATATCAGAAAATACAAAAAATAAGAAAAAAGTTGGCTAAATCAGCTGATGTCTGCTGCAGAGAATTTAATCAGTAAATATTACAGTTTCCTGCTTAGAATTCCAAAGCTAAATGCTAGATTTAGTTACGACCTATGCTGTGATCAAAAGTCTTCTCCATTGAAAGTGTTGATTAACCTTGACCCCTGGCATGGCATTTGAGAATTCAGTGCTGCTGTCCTTTTTGTTAAGTTCTCATACTAGGAGGACTTGGTATAAACGAATTATTGAAGACGACATGGCACTTCAGTAAAACACTAATGATTAAGTGTCTCAGTTAATGGCTGGGAGCAGTGTATTTATTTGCTCATTTCTTCCATTTGTGGAAAAAAAATCAAGGAAAGCTTTTTTGCTGTTTAATCTCTCCAGACTCCCCGTTTTTATGCTTTTAAACTACTCCCTTGACTTCCTGGAAAGGCCCTCAGATGTGGAGCACAGAGTCTCACAGATGACTGTTCATCAGAGAACCTTTTGTGAGAAAGGCTGGGCCGTGTGGCTGGGAGGTGCTGGCTTGCGCCTCCACCCTCCTCTGGGCCCTCACTCCCTTACCACCTCTCACCTCCCCCTCCCTGTTTCTTGTCAGCTGTTCCTCCTCCTTGTGTCTTGTCTCTTGCTTCTTCCTTCGGCCTTCCCTGGACCCGATTCTCACAAACCTCAGCCCATTCCCTCCCCTCCATTTCCATCCAGGAGAAAATGTAGCTGTATCTTCTGCCAAGCTGCTGCTGAACCAAAGATCTGGAAGAGGCCTGACCTGAAAAAGCCAGAGGAAAATCTGAATAGCAGCAGCACATGTGATTTCATTAGTTTTTTTCTTTAGTGTGGTTATTATCTGATTCTCTCTTAGTAACTGACAAGCAGGTACATTTTGAGACCCTCATAGACATGGTTGCCACCATGACCCCTAGCTTTCTGAACTGAGGTGGTGATGAGGTTCCCCCACGCTCACAGATTCTCTTATTCCAGGCGAGGGCCCCTCAGCTCTGCAGTCTGTGTAATTGAGATGAAAAGTGAGGGTGGACGGATAGACGCTGAGTGAATGGATGGAGTATTTAGAATGAACAGATCTTTTCTAGTAGAGAAAACACACTGGTCTAACTTACAGTAGGCCTTCCATTGGTCATCTTGGTTGATAGCAATGCTAATTGCTGTCTTTTTCCCTTTAGATAGCCTTTTGGCTGGCATTCCTCAGAAGGTCAAGTTCACTGTCACTACTGGCCATTATACAGTAAAAAATGGGGACAGCCTCCAGCTCAGCAACATAGACGCTATGCTTATCCTGTGTCCTGAGGAGAACAAAGCTGTGATCTATTCTAACACAAGAGGTAAGCGGCGCTCACAGGTGAAGGTGGGCCTTTGGCCTTGTTGCACACCATCAGGCTCTAAGGCATTGCCATCTGTGCATCCTCAGGTGGCATCCAAGGACCTGTCTCCTTGCAGCTCTCTCCTAGCAGCGTTCCACCTATAGGTGGACAGTAACCCTGCCCCTAGACGTGGCGTGACATTTGAGGGGATAGACATACAACTGTGCAGTGCCCTTCGGCCAGGCGGTGTGGACCTTGCTATAGTCTGTGATGCAGCATTACCGCCTGGCTTGTGCTCCCTGGTGATGCCTTGGTGGCCTCCAGCCTCCTTCCACACCCCTCAACTTTCCTCTGCAAAAAGCAAAAACAGATCAATCTTTGAAGGCACTGGTTGGAAGCCCTAAAAAAATCCCATCTCCCACAGTCCCCAGCCTTGAGGTTGGAGACGGAAGGATTCAACACTCTTCCTGAGTGGGGGTTGGTCTGGTGGTGGGATGGGGTGGGGCCACCTCACAATGGGACACAGGCCATCTCAGGTGTCTCTTTTCTGTCTTCAGACTGAGCATAGTGACAATTCTCTGAGCCCAGCTCGACCAGACAGCTTTCATGCAGTGCTGCTTCGTATCAGGGGATTTTGTTCCTGATTTTCCTGTCTCCCTCCCTCTGTAATCCTTCCTGGTTACACCCTTGCAAGTGTGTACGCGCAGCAGGAGCTGGGCTGGAACTTCACTACGGGGCCGTCATCTACGAGAGGAGAAAGGAGCAAGGAAACGGAGGCACTGTGTTAAAGGTGACTTTTTCTTTTTCCTAGAAAAGGTTTCTGACGCGCTGCTCCGGGTTCAGTCATCCGACAAGGTCACCAGCATCAGTTTGCCGGCTGCACCCACGTACCACCTGATCGAATTTGAACTGGAAGTTCTCTCTTTACCTTCGGCTCCAGCAGCAGGAGGGGAGAGCACCCTGCTGGGGGTGACAGAGCCCCATGGAAAGCATAAGGACTCGCAGAAGACTGGCTACTGCATGGCTACCACGGACCACAAAGTAAGGAGGGGCTGGAGCTGTGCGGCCTATGGGGGGCAGCTTCTGCCTGTCCTTGATTTGAAGACAGCACATTTGGAATGGCTTCTGTTGAGGGGGCAGATTTCCCAGTTCCTAACACCACAGGTTCTGGTGGGGTTTAGCATCTATATCTGTGAATCACCCCTCCTTAGATAAGGGGTACATCTTGCAAAGACAGAGGCAAATAGGCTGTTAACTTTTCTGTCCCACCTTGAGGAAGGACAATTTACTGTAAGAGATACAGGTTTTGTTTAGAAGGCAGTAGGTTTGCCTCTGTGGTCCGTTTGTCCTGGTGATTAGGCTAGATGGCGTTCTGTGTCTTGGTGTGCTTCACTTTTTCTTCCCTGAAACATCACATCGTACTTAGCAAGGAAGACGTGCTATCATTTTATCCTTTGCTATGGGTATTTGTTGATAGTTATTTGAGAGATTCATAGCTTTAGTCCTAAGTCCACAGTCCCTCAGCCCACAGAACCTGCCCTAGCATCATGCTTACTCTGATTTTGTCCATGTCTCGTAACACAGATATGTGTTCTGAGGGCTTTTGAACAACCCAGGGGTTGAAGTGTGTACTTGTGGTCCCACGGGACTGTCTCTCTGTCATACTTTTAAAAGCTGCTTGCTGCCTGAGGGTCTAGCTTCCAAACAGCCTGAAGGTAGTTGCTGAGATCCTCCCTTTGGGACATTGACAGGTCTTGGCACATCCTTAGCTTGTGGAGCCATTGAAAATATAATAGGCTGCTTGGGCAAGCACAGAGACAACCAAGAGCTGGGGCAAAGTGGAACGTTTATCTCCTACATGAGGCTTCTGTGTCAAGACTGGGAGAGGTGCCTGCTTCATCCACTGGGTAGAAACTGACACAAAGTCAGGCAAAACAGTGGAGCAGAGGAGTATGTTCCAAAATGAAAGAGCAAGATAAGACCTCAGCAAAAAACCTTAATGAAACAGAGATAAGTAATTCATCTGATAAAGTATTCAAAGTAATGGTCATAAATGCTCATTAACCTGGGAGGAAAATAGATGAAAACAGCAAGAACTAATAAAGAGAAGGCATAAAAAAGTACCAAATAAAAGTCTCAGAGCTGAAGGGTACAATAGATGAACTGAAAAATACACTAGAGGGGTTCAGCAGCAAACTAGATGTCAGAAGGGAGTGGCACAATATATTAAAATGCTGGGGGGGGGGGCGGAAACTTCCAACCAAGAATACGTGGCAAAGTTGTTATTCAGAATTGAAGGAAAGATAAGAGTTTTCCAGACAAGTAAAAATTAAAGGAGTTTATCACCACTAAACTGGCCGTGTAAGAAATGTTAAAGAGATTTCTTTAAGATGAAAAGATACTGTTAATTATAGTAACAGAAACACGATGGAAAGGTAATGGATTTGGTAAAGGTAATGGATTAGTCACATAACGCTCGTGTGAAGGGTTTTTTAAGAAGTGAAAGTAGCTATGAATGCAATTATCAGCTGAGAGGGATGGATACACAAGATAAAGAGATGTAGAGTGCAATCATCTCAGAAGCTCACACTGGAGGAGGGAGTTAAAGTGCGAGTTCAGAATGAGGCAAACTTAAGTTGCTAATCAGCTTACATAGACTATTATAAATATAATCTGTTATATATAAGCCTCATGACAACCACCGAGCAAAAACCTATAGTTAAGTATACAAGAGACAAAGGAATGTAGATATACTATTAAAGAAAGGCATCAAACCACAGAGGAAGTGAGCAGGAGAAGAAGACAGGAACCAAGACGAACTTTAAAAACAGCCAGAAAAGAATTAACAGAGTGACAACAAGCATCCCCTATCAACAGTTACTTTGAATATAAATGGACTAAGTTCTCCTCTTAGAAGACAGAGGAGCTGTATGAATTATAAACCAAGATCTGGGGCTTCCCTGGTGATCCAGTGGCGAGGACTCTGCGCTCCAAACGCAGGGGGGCCCGGGTTTGATCCCTGGTCAGGGAGCTGGAGCCCACGTGCCACAGCTAAGAATTCCTGTGCTGCAAATGAAAACCCCACGTAACCGCAACGGAGACCACACAGCCAAGTGAACAATAAATAAATAAATATTTTTTAAAAAGGCCCATCTTTAAGTTGCCTACAGGAGACTCACTTGAGCTGTAAGGACACACAAGCTGAGAGTAAAGGGATGGAAAAGCTGCTCCGTGCCAGTGAGAAGGAGTAGCTACACGCGTATCAGACAAAGGGGGCTTTAGGACTGTTAGTAAGAGACAAGGCTGGGAGTTCGGTGACGGTAAAGGGGTCAGTCCATTCAGAAGGTGCCATTTGTAAGTACTTAGGCACCCAACATAGGAGCACCTAAAATATAAAGCAAATATTAACATATTTAAACAAAGAAATAGCAATATAGTAATAGTAGGGGGCTTTAATGCTCCACTTACATAAATGGATAGATCCCTCAGACAGAAAATGAATAAGGATGCATTGGCCTTAAGCATGTTAGACTAGGTGGATTTAACAGACATTTACAGAATATACCATCAAGAAACAACAAAATACACATTTTTCTGAATTACACATGAAGTATTTTCCAAGATAGAGTATATGTTGGGCTGCAACACAAGCCAGTAAACTTAATTGGATGGAAATCATATCAAGCATCTTTTCTAGCCACAGTGGTATAAAACTGGAAATTAATTACATGAAGATAACTGCAAAATGCACACATATCTAGAGATTAAACAACGTGCTATTGAACAGCCAGTGAGTCAAAGAAGAAACCAAAAGAGAAATAAAGACCTACCTTGAGACAAATGCACATGGAAATGTAACATATCTGAATTTCTGAGATTCATTGTGAACAGTTCTGAGAGGGAGAGTCATAGCAATAATGCTTTCCTCAAGAAATAAAGTCTCAAACAACTTTAGACCTCAAGGAACTAGAAAAAGAAGAGCAACGCCCAGATTTAATAGAAGGAAGGAAATTACAGATGATCAGAGGAGAAACAAATAAAATAGAAACCAAAAAGACAATAGAAAAGATCAGTGAAACTAAGAGCTGGTTCTTTGACAAGATAAAATTGACCAACCTTTAGCCAGACTCACCAAGAACAAAAGAGAGAACTCAAAATCAGAAAGGAAAGAGGTGTTAAAGCTGACCTCACAGAAATACAGTGTCGTAAGAGACTACTATGAATGCAGAGTTCCAAAGAATAGCAAGGAGAGATAAGATAGCCTTCTTCATGATCAGTGCAGAGAAATAGAGGAAAACAATAGAATGGGAAAGACCAGAGATCTCTTCAAGAAAATTAGAGATACTAAGGGAACATTTCATGCCAAGATGGGCACAAGAAAGGACAGAAACGGTATGGATGTAATAGAAGCAGAAGATATTAAGAAGAGGTGGCAACAATACACAGAAGGACTGTACAAAAAAGATCTTCATGACCCAGATAACCACTCAGATGGTGTGATCACTCACCTAGAGCCAGATATCCTGGAACACAAAGTCAAGTGGATCTTAGGAAGCATCACTATGAACAAAGCTACTGGAGGTGATGGAATTCCTATTGAGCTATTTCAAATCCTAAAAGATGATGGTGTGAAAGTGCTGCACTCCATATGCCAGCAAATTTGGAAAACTCAGCAGTGGCCACAGGACTGGAAAAGGTCAGTTTTCCCAATTCCAAAGGAAGACAGTGCCAAAGAATGTTCAAACTACTGCACAGTTGCACCCATCTCACACACTAGCAAAGTAATGCTCAAAATTCTCCAAGCCAGGCTTCAACAGTATGTGAACTAAGAACTTCCAGATGTTCAAACTGGACTTAGAAAAAGCAGAGGAACCAGAGATCAAATTGCCAACATCTGTTGGGTCATACAACCTACCAAGACTGAATTATGATGAAATAGAAAATCTGAATGTACTGATTACTAATAAGGAAATTGAATCAGAAATCAGAAAACCCCCAACAAAAGTCCCCAAACCAGATGTCTTAACTGGTGATTCTACTAAACATTCAAGTACCAGTCCTCTCAACCTCTTCCCAGAAATAGAAGAGGAGGGAACTCTTCCAAACTCATTTTATGAGGCCAGCATTACCCAGATACCAAAACCAGATAAGGACACCACAAGAAAAGAAAATTACAGACCAATATCTCTGACAAACATAGGTACAAAAATCCTGCACCAAATACTAGCAAACCAAATTCAACATATATTATGTACCATGATCAAGTGGGATTATGTGCTCTTGTTGATAGATACAGAAAAGGCATATCAAAATTCAACATCCATTTATGATAAAAAATTATCAACAAAGTCAGAATAAAGGGAATGTACCTCAACATAATAAAGGCCATATATGATGGGCCTGCAGCCAATATTGTACTCAATGGTGAAAAGCTGAAAGCTCTTCTTATGAGATTAGGAAAAAGACAGGGACACTCGCCACTTTTACTTAATATAGTATTGGAAATTAGAGCAATTAGGCAAGAAAAATAAAAGTCATCCCTGTTGGAAAGGAAGAAATAAAACTCACTATTTGAAGATGACATGATATTATATATATTGAAAAATCTAAAGATTCCAACAAAAAAACTATTGTTTGCTTAGTCTTAGTTGTGTCCAACTCTTTGTGACACCATAGACTGTAGCCTGCCAGGCTTCTCTGTCCATGGGGATTCTCCAGGCAAGAATACTGAAGTGGGTTGCCATGCCCTCCTCCAGGGAATCTTCCCAACCCAGGGATCAAACCCAGGTCTCCTGTATTGCGGGTGTATCCTTTACCAGCTGAGCTACCAGGAAGCCCCTTTTTATATATAGAAAAATCTAAAGATTGCAACAAAAAACTATTAGAACTAGTAAACAAATTTCATGAAGTTGCAGGATACAAAATCAATGTGCAGAAATCTGTTGCATTTCTTTACACTAATAAAGAGCTGTCAGAAACATTAAGAAAATCCTGTTTTCAATTGCATCAAAGAATAAAACACCTAGGAATAAATTTGACAAAGAAGGTAAGAGACTTGTGTATTGAAACTGAAAAGACATTAATGAAAGAAATGGAAGAAGACACAAATAAATGTAAAGATATTGCATGCTTATGTGTTGGAAAAATTACTACTGTTCAAGTGTCCATACTACTCAAGGCGATGTACAGATTCAGTGCAGCCTTTCTCAAAATTCCAATGGCAATTTTCACAGGAATAGAAGAAATAATCCTAAAGTTTGTGCAGAACCACAAAAGTCCCCAAATAGCAAAAGCAGTCTTGAGAAAGAGGTACAAAGCTGGGAATAACATGCTCTCTGATTTCAAATTACATTACCAAGCTATAGTAATTCAGTGTTTATGATACTGGCATGAAAATAGACACATAGATCAGTGGAACAGAATAGAGAGCCTTTAAATAAATCTTTGCTTATATGGTCAATTAATTTATAATAAAGGATACAAGAATATATGTTGGAGAAAGGACATTCAGTAAAAGATGTTGGTAAAACTGGAGAGCCACATGCACTGTACACAAAAATAAACTCAGAATGAATTAAAGACTTGAAAGTAAGGCCTGAAACAGTAAAACTCCTGGAAGAAAGCGCAGGTTCTTGACATAGGCCTCTGTGATGATTTTTTCAATCTGACACCAAAAGCAGTAAAAGCAAAACTAAAGAAATGGGGCTCCATCAAACTAAGACGCCTCTACCCAGCAAAGAAACTGTCAGTGAGGTGAAAAGGCAGCCTGCTGAGTGGAGGACAGTATCCCTAGATCATATATGTGATAAGTGTCTATATATAAAGAACTCATACAACTTAATTACAAAAAAAAAAATCCCAATTTTAAAATGGGCAGAAGATCTGAACAGACATTTTTCCAAAGAAGACATACAGAAGGCCAACAAATTCATGAAAGAAATGCTCAACATCTCTGATCATCAGGAAAGTTTAATCAAAGCCACAATGAGATCACGTCTTATACCTGTCGGAAGGGCTGTTCTCAGGAAGACAGCAGATAGCAAGTGTTGGCGGAAAGGTACCCCTCCTGTATTATTGGTGGGGGATGTAAAGTGGTGCAGCCACTGTAGAAAACAGTATGGAATTTCCTCAAAAAATTAAAAATCGACCTGCCATACAGTCTCGCAATTCTACTCCTTGGCATTTTTCTGAAGACAACAGAAACACTAACTCAAAAAGATATCTACACCCCCATATTCATTGCAACATTGCTAATAGTAGCCAAGATATGGAAGCAAACTAAAGTGCCCACCAATGAATGAATTAAAGATGAACACACACACACACACACACACACAAGAATATTTTCAGCCATAAAGAAGAATGAAGTCTCACCATTTGTGACAGCATGGTAGAGGATGGATCTAGGGCATTCTGCTGAGTGAAATAAGTCAAAGATATACAGTACGTGATCTAACATATGTGGAATATGTAACAAGCTCATAGATGGAGAGTAGGTTGGTGGCCGCATGAGGTATGGAGAAGGGATTGAGAAAAAAGGCTGAATTTTTTTTGTTACTTATTTTTGTTTTTTGTTACTTGTGCAAAAAGAAGTATATGCACAAAAGCAGTAAGATAAAAGGCTAATAAATGCAGTCATTTCAAAAGGATTATGGCATCAAATATCAGACAGGGCAGCACCTGAAGAATAATGTTTTAATTTTCCGTCCTTGGAATTTCTTCCCTCCTTACCTGATACAAAGTTCAGAAAGTAGAGACGCGACTTATGTATATCAATATGTGCACGCTCTTTACTCAGTATATGCATTTGTTCCATGAGGGAAATAAATAGAACTTTGAGACCTGGTTTCTGCCCTTAAGAAAGTTAGTATCTTGGTCTCCACGATGTCCTCAGATTGATTGGTTTTCAGTTATGTGGTTAGTGTCAAGTGGATTAAGAGTTTGGACAATTCGTTTAATTTTATAATAGTTAATGATTGATTAACATCATCTGCACATATGTGACTAAAAGCACTTTGTCATAACCTCCTGCATGTTAGCGCATTTAGTGTTGTGGCCACGTGTATGTGAGAATAGTGTGTGTATGTTTGGGGGGGTGGTATCTGCACTTTCAGCTGTGGTGTCTGCTTGGGAGCCATTGAAACTGCTGGTGACTCACTTTTCTCTCCTTCCTTTGTGGTATGTTCAGTGGGGTTTTTCTTTCTGAATAAGGAATGGTAAATGCATTAAATGTCTAGGAAATTGGCAGCCACCACAGATCTGGATGGCTAGGGGTGGCAGTGGCTGTCCCTGTGACAAGTGGTCTGAAGACCTGTTCCCTGTTTCTCCTCAGGTGTCCATTGATTGCCCATGGTCCATCTACTCCACCGTCATCGCGCTCACATTCAGCGTGCCCTTCAGGACCACGCACTCCCTGCTGTCAGCTGGGACACGGTAAAGGACCGCGGGCCCTGCTCCTTTCCCAGTCTCCCCCACACACAGGCCCTGTTGCTCAGAGCTTGACTTTGGTGACACTGACCATGTTTTATCACAGCCATAATGCTGCAGTCCACCTGTCAAATTCACAGTCATTCCCTGGATCCTAAGTGCCCAGGCCCTATTCAGGTTTCCCCAGCTGTCTCAGGAGTGAGTTTGTACAGCTGGTTTGTAGGATGTGGGATCCAGACAAAGTCCCCTCTGTTTCTGAGATCCCTTTTTATACCTCCTTCCCTGTTTTCAAGACACTGGCCCATCGACAGACCTGGGTCAGCTGCCATCCTGGATTCCACTGATCACAGCCTCATGGGTTTGTGTAACTAGTTCCCTGTCAGCTGCCATCTCTTACCTCAGAGGTGGGCTTTTCAACTTCAGCTCTTCCGATGCTCCCTTAGGTAACCCCACGTGGTGGGTGTTTGGCAGCACCCCGGCTCCCCCACTTTTTGCAAGGGGCACTCCTCACCCTCCCCACCCCCAGTGTGAGAACCACAGATGTCTCCAGACATTGCCCCCGGTTAAGAGGCGCCGCTTTGGAGGCTTGACCGCGTTCAGATTCAGTGTCTGAACAAGGAAGTCTGCGGGTGTCGTTCCGCACTTCGTCTGTCTGGGCATCAGGAGACGTGGTGTCTGGTGCTTGGAAACACCAGCAGTGGACTTTGCAGGTGGTGCCAGTGTAGGGGACACAGGCTTCATCATGGTCTGGGAAGATCCCACATGCCACGAAGCAACTCAGCCTGTGCGCCTCCACCACTGAGCCCGTGCCCTGGAGCCGGGGAACCACAACTGCTGAGCGCACGTGCCCTAAAGCCCATGCTCTGCGACAAGAGAAGCCTGTGCATCGCAGCTGGAGAGAGTGGCCCCTGCTCTCCACAACTCGAGAAAGCCTGAACAAAGCACTGAAGACCCAGTGCGGCCAAAAGTTAATTAGGAAAAAACAAACAAAAAAAGACCAACAGTTCTACAGATATTAATGATTCAACAATACTGTAGATATTAATGGTTAAAAACACCAATGACTCTACAGAGAATCTGAGTTGTTGGCATTTGGGACTGATTTTTCAATATTTCTCTTATGTGTAACAGAAATTCAAGTTAGCTCTACTTACCTAGTTGAGTTTGTTACAGTTATGCTTCTGTTTTATGCTTTGGTTTTTTGGCATAAGGCATGTGGGATCGTAGCCTTCCCCACCCCACCCCCCGCCCCAGCATTAGAAGGTAGAGTCTTAACCACTGGACCACCAGGAAAGTGCCCCAGTGTCTTCTTAACACAGGTAAAGTGCATTTAATAAAGTTCTCAGGCTGATTCATGTCAATGTATGGCAAAACCACTACAATATTGTAAAGTAATCAGCCTCTGATTAAAATAAATAAAGGGAAAAAAAGCAGAAAAAAAAATAAAGTTCTCAAACATCAGAATCTATCTTTCTTCTTTAGGAAATACGTTCAAGTATGTGTCCAGAATTTGTCAGAACTTGACTTTCAACTGTCAGATAGTCATCTTGTAGACACCCATGATAGTATTGACCTGCGACTAATACCGCTAAACACGGAATCTGAACAGGTAAGCTCTCAGCAGAATGCAGAGCGAGAATAAGAGTGTGCTGGCGTTGATGGAGCTGACCATGTGCAGGGAGGGGCCACGCAGGTGGTAGTGGGACGCGCACGCCCAGGAGGAGCACCCTGACATGCACGCTCAGGGTTCTCTGTGGGCTAAGGGGCACAGCTCACAGAGGAGGAAACAGATTGTGTTTTTAGCAAAATTAAATCTTCCGCTTGTCAGACTCCACGCACAGATTTACTCTAAGCTCTTCCTTGAGTCTCATGGTGATGCATGGACGCCATCACCCCAGCAACAGTGGCTGCTGCGTCCTGCCCACAGTCACAGGCTGCCTTGCCCAATGATGGGCTCTTGGGTGTCAGGGTAGCTTCGTAAAGGAGTCATGTTCGTGTTCATGCTGCCTGGCTGAATCCTGGCCCCGCCTTTCTGTTCATTTGTTGTGTATGTTTTTAGACAGTCAGCGCTGAGTGTTTAGAAGATCAAAGGTTTTCTTAAGGTTTTCTTACCTGATGTCTAGCATTTTCAAAGGGCTTTTCCCCACATTTGGCCCACTTCAGTGCTTCCTGAGTCTGTCCACACTTACAGATGTGGACTTGATGCCAGAGGTGGCGCCAGTTCTTTTCCCCACTTCACTTAGTGGTAGATCATAGTGATTGTCATGGCGTAAAGGTGTCCCTGTAATTGTTTGATGACGTTTCCCACTTTGGAAACATATGGGATACTGTGTACCAAGAGATAGTCTTTACCCCTGTGCTGTGGAGCTTATGGAATCATAAGAAATCAAACCCTTTGACCAGTTCTGGACAGTCTGCGGGCAGGGCCTCGGGAGGTGCTGGGAGGCGGGGCTGCGGCAGCACACCATGTGTGTCAGGAAGCGGGCCTGGGGACAGCCTCCCCACTCCCTCCCCCTGGCCTGGTGGGGGCACACACACGCTTGCCCTGAGCGTCTGCGGAGTGTGTGTACCTGCGTGTGCATGTGTGCGTGCACACAGTGACAGCTGACTCTCTTGCAGTGCATCCACAGCAGGCAGGCCGTGTTCTTTGTCTGGGAGCTGAAGTGGACACAGGAGCCTCCCCCGTCTCTGCACTGCTGCTTCTCCATCGGATTCTCCCCAGCTTCCGAAGAACAGCTGTCTATCTCCTTAAAGCCCTATACCTACGAATTTCAAGTGGAAAATTTTTTTGTATGTATTGCCTAATTTTTTTGGTGGGGTTCTGGGGTGGAAGCATGGAAGGTGATGTCATATTCTTTACCTTCTAAAAATCAGACAGACAAACTCTTCCAATATAATGAAGCAACCTGTCATGGAAAAGAGCTAGCATTCAGGGCATGGAGGCAGCAGCCAGCTGTGGTTAGAGCCCTGGTCCTCTCAGGTGCCGTGTCTGCCCCTGGGGCCCTCCTGCGCGACCCCCGCTGAGCGTGAGCATCTCCAGAGAAAGGACTCCAGCCTCTCCTCCCTGTTGTCTCCCTTAGTTTTTTAAAAGAAAGCAGGTTTTCTTTAACCTGCACATTAGGTGTGGAGCTAAAAGCAGCCTGGAGTTAGGTGAGTCAGGGCCATCGCGTGATGTTTGTTTAGTGAGATGATTGGGTTTGGCGTTAGGTAACCAGAATGTGGATACACAACTTTGTGGTGTTTTCCTCTCTTAATGATGGAGATTGTCAAGCAGCACTTTATTTGAGAAGGTGTTTGTGCGCATAGCTCTTGATATTAGCAGTTTTCTTAATACCTCCTTCTGACCAAAAGACTATCTAAACCCACCTGTTTTCTTGAGTGTTCCATATTGGCCTTAGAATTAAACATAGCCACTAGCGTAGTTCATCATTTTGTTGGACAAGCAGATGCCCCTTTGATGTGGTGATAGCTGTTGAACATTAGATTATTCACATGGTGAAGAGTCTGCAGAAACTTAATGTGGTTTGCTTACTGCCAGTAACGATGAACTCATTAGCAGATTCCACTGGTACTTTTTTGCCTTTTTTGCTTCCTTTTCAAATTGAGCATAGGAAAAATTTTCCCTTAGAAAACTGTACAAGCTTAGTAAAAAAGCCAGAGAAAAATACCTGGTGGATTGCTCCCTTCAAAACTGGTGTTCTGAGAATCAGAAATACAGAATTATTATTTTCTTTTTTTAAAGTTTCATTTCTGTACCATGAAGTTCCCTGGTGGTACAGATGGTAAACAGTCTGCCTGCAATGTGGGAGACCTGGGTTTGATCCCTGGGTCAGGAAGACCCTCTGGAGAAGGAAATGGCAACCCACTCTAGTGTTCTTGCCTGGGCCATACTGTAGATGGAGAAGCCTGGCAGACTACAGTCCATGGAGTCACAAAGAGTCAGACCCGACTGAGCGACTAGCACTTTCACTTTCACCATGAAGTTCACCATTTGGGGTGTTCGCTTCACTGAAGTTAGTATCTTGAAAGAGCTGGGCCACCAGCACCACGATCGTATTCATTCTTCCGAGAAGAAAGTCTGTGCCCATTCACACGCCCCCTTCCTCCTCTTCTCAGCCCTGAGCTACCCCTCTCTAGATCAGGGTGCCTGAGCCTCGCCTGTGCAAGGACAGTCACACTCAATGTGATCTTCTCGAGAGTGACTGTTTTCACGTGACATGATGTGCTTGTTCAGTTTGGAGAGTGTGTTAGGACCCCATCCTTTGTTACGGCTGGGCTCCAGCCATGGGCTTCCCAGGCCGGGCCTCTTCCCTCCGCCCCGCTGGTGTGGCCGTTCTCTCCTGTGGCAGTGGGACTGCCAGCACGTGGAGGGCAGGCCCTCGTCCCGTGTGCAGGTTTGGGGCCTTTGTCCTGGGTGGTGGGCAAGTGTGAGCAGGTGTGACTGTCAGGTAGGAAGGTCACAGAGAAGGGAACATTGTGGAGAAGGTTCAGGATGGACTTAATATGGGGTAGTTCCAAGGAACTCTGTTCATTTTGCTAGTTGTGGTAATGGCGTTGTGTCTTTTAGTGACGCATCTGAAGTGTCCAGGGAGACGTGGCAGGTCTGGAACCTGCTTTACAGTAGCCCTGACAGATACATTAGTGTGTTTTGGTGGGGAGAGGAGGCTCATGAAGCACCACACTGGTCCGGGACCTGGTGACAGGCCTGTGCAGAGTCACCAGGCCAGCCTCTCTCCTCCTGAGAGGCTTGACCATGTTCACATTAGGAAGATTTTAAGGCTCTTGGGGTGGGACTTCCTGAGGACAGGTCTCCACAGGGACTCAGTCAGTCAGAGGGAGCGAATGCACAGCTGCTCCTCTGGTCCATTCTCGAAATTTCGTCTGCAGGCAGCACCGTGACGGCCTCAGAGAGCCGTCATTCACATTGTTGACTGTCTCCTTTGCCCTCTGTCCTTTCTGGGCCAGACCTTGTACAACGTGAGAGCGGAGATATCCCCGCCTCCGGGCATGGAGCACTGTAGGACGGGCTCACTCTGCTCCCTGGACGTGTCCATCACGCGGCTCTCGGACCTCCTAGAGGTGGATAAGGATGAAGCCCTGACGGAATCTGACGAGTATTTTTCAACAAAGTTGATGTATGAAGGTGGGTCCGGAGGCTTCTTTCCCTTGACTTGTGTTCGGCCCTGTTGTTTACAATGTGCAGTGCTCCTCATCTGAAGGGAGAAATTCTAGAATTGAAAGAGCACGTTTGAATGTCCCAGTGTACGATGTGGCCCTGGGCTCCCAGGGTGTGGAACCTGGTTCCTGCAGAGCTGTTCCCCTGAGAGGTGTTGGAGCAGCTGTGGGCTCGGGGCTGAGCGCGCAGCGGTGCCTGGAGCTGCTCTGTCCTCTGCCCGTGAGTCAGGCCCCCCTCGCTCAGCAGGCCGGGCGTCCTGTGCTCATCTCCAGCCCTGTCCCTCCAGCCTCCTTTCACCCCTTCTGCCCCGCCCCGCCTCCCAGACACCCCTCTACAGCCCTCCTCCTCGCGGGCCTGGGCTGCTGCTGTAGGATTCTCAGGTTTTGGTGTCAGGCCCTTTATGCTCTAAAAATGGTTAGGGAGGCAAGTCTTCATTTACTTTCTTTAAGATATTAGGAGAGCCATTACATGATAGTACTCCTGAGAAAGAACTTTTTTCCAAAACAATAAACACAGCAAGAAGAACGATGTTTTGCTGTCTTCACATCTCTCCAGTGTCTGCCTCCCGGAAGGTGCCTAAGTTTTTCCCATGTGCTGCGTTCAGTCTGGTGGAGGCCATGGGAGCCTCCTGTCCCAAGTAGATTCGTAGTTGGTAAAGGAGGACTCTTGTTACAGCCTTCAGAGGACTGGGCCACTCCTCTGACCTTCCGCTGACGCTTGCCACGGGCCGGTTTCTCACAGGCCAGCTGCGGCTGGACTCTGAGATGTGTGAGCAACTCACCTGGTGTTTTCCCCCCGTCCTGCATGTGGAAAGGCTCTCAGCTGGGCACTGTTCCTCCCCTCACACCTCAGGTGTTTGTGAAACATGATTGCTGAGTTGTGTGGATCCACTGCACGTCGGCCCTTCTTGCTGTTGACAGTCGCGCGTTCACACTGGTTCTGGGCTCATCACGGCACTCTGAGTTGGGACACTCCCACGCTCACAGTGGCAAATGCACATTTCGCAGGATGCTGAGTTTCGGTCAGTTTCGAACTGTACCACGGGCAGCCTCTTCCACGCACCAGGCTTGTGCTGTTGATTTTTAAGAAGGCCTCTGCCAAATGCCTGAGACTGAGGAGCTCGCTGCCGAGGGCTGCCAGCCAAGTGCCCGGTGACCTGTGCTGGGCCTGGGCCTGTGTCCCCTGGCACAGGAGGCGGGGTGGTGGGTGCACGGACCTCTCACTACTGTTTTGCAACTTCTTGTGAGTGTGTGATCATCTCAGAGTTAATGTTAAAAAAAAGACGTGTACGAAATGGTTGAATGAATTAGATTTTGACTGGTGCGTGAAGAACATCCTTACTGGAAGCAGCAGTTTTTTCCCCTTGAGTTTGTAGTGGTGCTCCGAGTGCCAGTGGGGCCCCGGCTAACACTCAGGCCTGTGGGTTTCCCACCAGAGGGCATGCCAGCACAGTGAGGACGGGACACGTGCCCTCATGGGTGCCCTGAGGACCAGCTCCGAGAGCCGCTGCTCCAGTGTGTCCCTCCCGGATGCCGCTTTGGCCTCTGCACATCCTCAAAGCTCCCGTGGCCTCAGTGGCAGGAAGCTCGCCCTGCTGCCCCTCCTTCCTCGTCGGCCTTTGCTGAGCTGATAAGGGTCCTGCCCTACGTGCCCGTGGGTGGCTGCTCGTCCAGCGTTTGACTTGCACTGAGTTACATCAGTCACGGTCTCGCAGCGACCCTAGCAGCGCCTGCCATGTGTGCAGCCTCCCCGTGGTTCCCGAAGAGGAGCTCCGTGCTTCACATGTACCTTTTCTTCCCCAACCATTGGGGGCTGAAGTGAGCGGCAGTGCTGGGACCAGATGCGCTGGTCAGTACCATGTGTGATGGAGGAGCCAGCACCCAACCCCATCCTCACCCCTGATGCCGCCTCTGCGGTGCTGGTGGGAGGTTACACTGCACTTTCAAGGGGGTTTCAAGGCAGCATTGACTGCTTACTCACGAATATGAGGAGAAAGAAGCCATCTTCCCCTGCGTTGCCAGCCTGTACCTTCCTTTCCCAGAGGTGTTCTTTGAGATGCAGCTCCAGGGCACCAAGCTATGGGGCAGACCCCCACTTCTGGACTTCACTCTGGAGCGTGGACTGGCTGCCTCTTCCTTTGGTGTGAAACCTGGAGGTCCTTTCTGGGTAAATACGCTGCTTTCCCTCTTTGTTTCAGTTGTAGACAACAGCAGCAACTGGGCAGTGTGCGGGAAGAGCTCTGGAGTCATCTCCATGCCCGTGACAGCTCAGGCCACGCACCGTGTCCACATGGAGGTGATGCCGCTCTTTGCAGGCTACCTGCCGCTCCCCGACGTCAGGCTATTCAAGTACCTCCCCCACCACTCTGCACAGTCCTCACAGCTGGATGCGGGTAGGGACCCTGTTTGGTAACGGACGCAGCATGCCCTCGGTGCAGGATGTGTGGCAGCTGCATGCTGTTCAGCAGCCCCACACTCGGAACCCGGGTGCTCTGATGCCAAATGCTTGGTCAGGGTCACTCGTCCTGGGCCCCTGCTCCTGAGGGTGACCCACCCGGGACCTGTGTCCTGGGGTCTCAGCAAAGGCGTGGCGGCTTTGGACATCCTTGTGCCCTGAAGGGCAGCTTGGGAGGCGCGTAGCTCCCCGGGGTGGGGAGAGGCCACTGCAGAGCAGCCTCTGCCTCACTCACTGTTTGTTTTGCAGATAGCTGGATAGAAAATGACGGCCTGTCGGTGGACAAGCACGTGGACGACCAGCTGGACAGCGGCAGTGTCAAGAGCAGGGGCAGTGTGCTCTCAGCTGCCAGCAGCGAGCACAAAGGCCTGCCCATGCCCCGGCTCCGAGCACTGCCCCCCGGCCAGGCCTTCAACTCGAGCGCGGGCACGCAGGTCCTGGTCATCCCCAGCAAAGACGACCACGTTCTCGAAGTCAGCGTCACATGACGCACAGGGCTCACACAGTCCGCGGGCCAGGTGTGTGCGCGCCGGAAGGACCCTGACTCGATGGCGGCCTTCTTGCTCTATCTGCCTTGTGTGACTCTGCCTGGCCCTGGGAGCGTCAGAGAAGTCCCCGTGCTCAGCTGGCGGTTTCCTGTCACCCAGGGTGTCAGAGGCCGCTGACTTTCTCACCCCTGCCCCGTGATGTCCTCCAGGTTTGCCCAGAGCCCTGCCCCCTCCCTCCTCCTCCCTGCTCCCTGAAGAGCTTTCTAGAGCCCACTCGCCTGAGCAGCCTCTCATCTGCCAGTTCCTCACCTGAAGCCCAGGTGTCTTTCAGATGGACACACACAGGCCCTGTGGACTTGTCAGTGACACGTATGCCTTTCTGGCTGCTCAGTTTCTGGACCAGGTGGGCTTGTATGTCTCCTCAGGAGGAAAGCACAGCCTTTTACCCCAGATCATCTGGTTGTGCTTTCCTAGAATAACTCCCTTTCTAGGCAGGGGGTTGGGGTGAGGAGGGAATAAAACCCCTTCTGTGCCTTGGGACGTTAGACTGGGAGGGCCTGGAGCATCCAACAGCTGGAGCCATTTTAAAGGTACTTAAAGACTAGACCAGGGCATAAGAAACAACTCGGCACTGAAATAATTTAGGAATAAACATTTCTGTAACCCTTTCTCCCCTTTCCCCCCATGTGGATTAGGTATCATAGGCACTTGGAATTAAATATATATTTATTTTAATTATCATTTTATATGTGGGGGTTAATATGTTGTGTTTTTCTCTCACCTTTCAAGTCTTTACATGTAATTGTTACTGTATAATCAGTATTTTTCTTTTGCACCTTAAGTCTCAGAAATTAAGAGGTTCCATTTAAATGACAATTAGAGGGGTCTTCTCAGCGTATTTCTAGTCTGGTTGTATGAGGGCAAGAGTCTTGGACTATTACTCTGCTGCCTACTACGTGGCAGTCATGCCATACAAATGGGTTAATTTGCTTTAGGTTGTACATTTAATTGTACATATGGTTGATTTATTATTTTTAAAAATACATACTAACTGATGTTTATGTATAAGTTGCACCAAAAATCAAGGACAAAATAAATGTGTGTTTGTTTTTATTGGTGTGAAAGTCACAGCTTGTAAATAAGTGTTGTATGTATTAAACCTTTTCCAGCTCTCCAAAGCGATGTATTTTTGTACATATGAAATAGAGAACTCTTAATTCATTGGGAAAGTGTGCTTGGAATTGAACCTGACCAGATTAATGCAATGAGTGTAGTCAGTCCAGCAGAGGGTGGTACCTCATGAATAACCTCACAGGTGTGAGCCTAAAGGAGGCTTCTGCAGCTGCCACTGTCCCTGGCTGTCACCTCCTGGTGGCCTGGGGGCTGGAAGGCACAGGGCAAAATGAACAGAGAGCAGAGCATCACAGTCTCTTTAGTACGTGGTCTTCCAGCTTGTTTAACGAAGGTGGTGATCCTTGCTCCCCTGGTTTTCATTTACAGAAACTGCAGAAATGTACAAAGAAGATAAATACTGGTACATTTAATTAAATTTTTCAGAAATTTACCTTCCTTATGTGCAGTTTAAAGCTAATAAACTAAGCAAATTAGAAGTTCAGAATCCAATGGTAGTTTACAGTTTCTAACATGAGTTTGTTTTATTGTAAAAATCGATGATTGCCCTACAGATCTGCCAAGCCCAGTGAATGAAGAGATCTTTGAGATTTTGTGTCGGAAAAGCCTCTCACCCATCTGCATGGTGAGCCTCAAGAGTCCAGGATGGCACCCTCCTCCATGTATGACCTTCCGGAGGGGGATGTGGGTCTGTGCTTCCCGATACCCAGTTGACTTTTGCGCTGGGTTCTGATTCCACTATGAAATTCTCTAATTACATACATATTCAGAAGGGAAAAAATGAAGTGGAAGTACAAAATATTCATGGTGGTTTCTTATGCCTGAAGATTGAATGACATGAAATTTATCACAGGTTTATATTTTTCCTTGATTACCCAGAAGATCTTTTGCAGTCTAAGTTACATGGGTACCTCTGTTGTTATTTTTTTAACATAAATGAAGAATGTCACCTAAAACTTTTTTTTTTAGTCTAAAAGGCTGTAACTGAATTTTTGTTGTGTTTAAAATAAGGTTTATGTGTTTGAGACAAGCTGGTTTTGTAGGTAAAAATGTAAAGCCAGGTATCGAATGTGCATCCTAAGAAACAGTATGCAGCCATTTTACAGATATCTGTGGAAGATGTAAATATTAGCAAGTGGAAAAGGAAATAAGTTATAATTTTGGTGAATTTCATAGGGTCTCCTATGACTGGAAAAATTATAACTCTTGTTTTAATATGGAAATTCTTGTATTTAATCTGAAAATGATTTCTACCTGCAACTCCATTATCAGCTCAGCCTCTCGTGGGCTGGGTTCTCATACTGGTCTTAGGTGATGGGGCTGGGTATCCCAGAGTTGGCAGAGAAAAGACACACAGGCTTCTAGTCAATTCTGTAGTGTTTAAAATAAAACTGAGTTACAAAATGAAGTTAAACACTCCAGGTGTGTATATGAAATGAAAACTTGTACTACTTTTTATAAAACAACAAACTAACCTGATCTAAATGTTTTATTGTCAACTGTAATCTTTAAAATAAATCCTATGTGATTTTAAAATTTGATTTTTCATGAAAATGCCCCTTTCTCTAAATGTATTCACCCTGTGCACCAGGCTGTAAGACCTGAGAGTGTGGTCAAGTTGGTTTGCTGGCGTTCAGCGGCTGGAAAAGGTGACAAGTTGGTGACTTTGATACTGCAGGTATTAACTCCATTTTCATAGTTTACTATGAAAGTCATTTTTCACATTATTCTGTAATATATTGTTAGACTAAAGCCATTGTATTAAGACTGTTTAAAATGTAAGCATTATAATTCTGAAAATACACATTTTAAGAAGAAACCTGCTGTTTTGGACTTCATTCTTATCCTGTGGCATATGAAAATTGAGTGTGTAAAAAAGAATATTCTTGTCTTCTTTCCCTAATCCTTGTTCCTGACTACTAAACATTAATTATTTTGGGATAGCATTAAGGGTCCTTTCTCACAACTTACTGCCCAGTTGTTGTTTGGTTGCTAGGTCGTTTCTGACTCTTGCGACCCCGTGGACTGGATAACCTGACAGGCCCCTCTGTCCATGGGATTTTTCAGGCAGGAATACTGGGGCAGGTTACCATTTCCTCCTCTAGGAGATCTTCCCGACTCAGGGATGGAAGCTGTGTCTCCTGCAGTGGCAGATAGAGTCTTTACTGCTGAGCCACCAGGGAAGCCCCTCACTACCCAATAGCACACTAGAAGTAAGACATCTGGGTCTAGAGAGTTTTTGAGGTTTTTTGTAGACATATTTGCCATCCTACAGTTTGACTTCTTAGACAGCAAGGACATCAATGCAGTCAATCCTTAAGGAAAACAACCCTGAATATTCATTGGAAGGACTGATGCTGAAGCTGAAGCTCCAGTGTTTTGGCCTCCTTTGGCGAAGAGCTGACTCATGGAAAAGACCCTGATGCTGGGAAAGGTTGAGGGCAGGAGAAGGGGTGGCGGAGGAAGAGACGGTTAGATAGCATCACCAACTCAGTGGACATGAGTTTGAACAATTTCTGGGAGATGGTGGAGGACAGAGGAGCCTAGTGGGCTACAGTCCATTGAGTCACATTTGGACACGACTTATCCTCTGAACAACAGTCTGACAAGGTAACTGCCTCTGTCATATTTGGAGCCTTCACTAATACAATTTCTTTTCTTCGGAAAAGGTTTTCCATTTACTTAGTCTTGCTGCTTTGGCCCCTACTTAATGACCTAGAGCTTTTAAACAAATAAGCGTAGGATCGGACGATCGAATCGGATCTCGCCCTCTATGGTGCTGGAATGGTTTGTCAAAGCAGCCGTGCAACCCACCCCAAGCCCAAGAGGACCCGAGCCTGACCTGCGGGGTGCGGAGCCGCGGGCTGGGACTCCGCCTTGGGATCCTGCTGGCTGCAAAGAACCCGCGCTTGGGGGCGGGGTCGGTGGGTGGGGCTTCACCTCCGGGGCTGGACCTGCAGCCAGGAAGCCACCCTTGGGGCGGGGCCGGCTGGCTGGGACCCAAGCTCGGGTGGTGCCGCTCCTCCAGGCCTCGAGGGGGCGCTGTGGCGTGCGACAGCGCTCCCATCCCGGAAGTGCTTGCTGCGGGCCGAGGGGCGGGGCGCAGAGGCTGCAAGCAACACACGTGTGGCAGCCGGGATGAAGTTCGCATACAGGGTGAGCGCGGGCCAGGGGTGGTGAGGGGTTCTTAACTCGGGGTCCGGATAGAGTCGCTCCTCGAGACTGCTCCCTCGGGGCCAGGGAGCTGGGCCTGGGTTGACTGGGTCAGGCACCACCGACCTGTTCCTCACCCGGCAGCCTGAGAGAGGCCCGGCCTGGGGCCGCAGAGCCCCGGACTGGGACGGAGCGGCGCGCGCAGACGAAAAGAGCGGAGCGCTGAGGGAGGGTCACTCCGAGATCCGAGCGGGGCGCTGAGGGAGGGTCACTCCGAGATCCGAGCGGGGCAGCGGAAGCCAGCCCGGACGGAAGTCCTGGTTCCCAGGCTCCGCAGCTCGCGCCGTGGGGAGGACGCGGGGGCAGAGGGCGGGAGCCGGGTGCCGAGCTCACCGGACGCGCTTCTGTATCTTCCCCGCGTCTCGGGCCCCTTGGCACAGCGGGCCACCTGTGTGTCTGGAGCCGTGAGCGTTTGCGTGGCCCTGCCCGCTGCTGCCACTGCCCTGAAGGCTGTTCCTCCGCAGGTTTGTCGTTTCCAGCCTTTCTCTCTCTGTCAGGTCCCAGCTCCTCACGTCCCAGGCTTGGCCTGGCCGTAGTAGCCTCAGGGGGAGCTTCCTCAGGTCCACCTCACACACACGCTGCCCCTACCCAATCTGGTTTTCCTGCTCAGAATGCTCCCCCACTGTGACCCCCAACCTCCCCCACCCAGCTCCTCTCGGGGTGCCTTCCATCCCCAGCTCTTCAGGCCCCGTCGCCTCCGGGGGTACCCAGGGCCTTGCCAGCCTGCAGCTCCAGATGCTCCTTGGAGATTCCTCCTGTCTCAGTGGCCCACACACAGGTCGTGGGACCTGCAGGTGGTTGATGGTTGAATGAATGATTGAATGGATGGGCTGCCAGCAGGCTAGGAAGCTTTCTGCCAGCTGTTCAGGAAGCCTTGAACCCCACATGGAGTTGGAAGGCTGTTCCGTCAGCAGTTCTCTTCCTGCAGCACAGGTCCTGTCCTCCCCACCCTCCAGCAGACACCTCCTATCTGGAGGCTTCCCTGCGCTGACCCTGCCCTTTGTCCATGCCAGCGGAAGCTCAGAGACCCTGGGGACTGGGCTTATGTATTCTTTCTTGCTCGGGGCCGGATTGAGAGGTGCCCAGGAACTGTCCTGGGAGGAGAGGGGTGGCTGGAGGGACCCCGGGAATAATGAGGGAGCCTGGAGAGTCTGCACCATCTCCTTGACCAGAAGTCTCGCTTCATCGTTTCCAAGAGTTGTATTTTCTTTACATAATAAAGACAGTTTTGTTTTCTTTTCAGTTTTCAAATTTGCTTGGGACAGTCTATCGGTGTGGAAACTTAAATTTTACCTGTGATGGGAATTCAGTTATCAGCCCTGTGGGAAACAGAGTTACTGTGTTCGACTTGAAAAAGTAAGTATGCTAAAATGATCTTAGCAATAGTGATCCTTGTGGTTTGCAGGTAAAAACAGCGTTTTCCTCACCTGTCTAAAGCACACCTTTTACTTAAGACAGCCCAAGAGAGGCCTGCGGATTCACATAGTGCCGATGGTTCAGCAGTGGGACTGGCTGTAGGGATACTGGTTTTTCCCTTCTAACCTCTCCGCTGGGCCCTGTGTATTGAGGTTGCACCACTTGGCTGAAATATCTGGTAGAGGATGCCTGGGCATGGGACCAGCCCTGGACTGCTGCCTGGCCATCACGCTTAGGTTCACTCTGTCTCCACTGAGCATGCACGTGACTCTGTTCCTATCTTCTCAGACATGTGTGGCCTGGGTGAGACCCTCCTGTTGCAGAGGCTGCCTGGATCTCTGCAGCGTTCAGTTTTTGCATCTATAAAATGGGGACATAGTACTTGCTTGTGAGTTGTTTCCTGAAGTGCAGGGCCAGTTCCTTGCAAGTCATTGCTGCTGTCAGCTGTTTAAGTGACATGTGGCAGGGGCACTCCAAGGTCGAGGCCTCATGGCTGCTGAAGAAGAACTGGAAAGTGATACGATAAAGGACAGAATTAGAGTGTGATCCAGTGATTATTTATCTTTACTTAGTTTTCCACGACTCCACATTTTTACATTCCTGCAGAAGGCCTTACTGGGCGTGCTGTCCCTGAGCTTACCCTCTTATTGGGCAGCTCGGTCGTTTCCGGTTTCCTGACTGTTTACATACAGTCATTTTGGGAGGCCCTAGAAGCAGAACTGACATGTTCAAAACCTATTTTTAAGGTTTTTATGTGTTCTGTGCAGGGGTGAGGGCCGCTGGTCCAGGCTGGCCTGCCCCCGCCCCCTGTCCCTTGACTGATGTCACAAGCATAGTGGCTCAGCTCTGGTTTTTGTCTCCCAGCAACAAGTCCAGCACCCTACCCCTGGCCACTCGCTACAACATCAAGTGTGTGGGGCTGTCCCCGGACGGCCGCTTGGCCATCATTGTTGACGAAGGTAACTGCCTTGACTGGGGGGCAGGCGTGGGGGTGTCCAGATGACTAGAGGCCACCACTGAGACCCTTGGGGGTCGAGGCCCACACAGTCCCTGCATAGCCTCAGCGGCCTCTGTGTCTGGGCCTGGGTGGGCCTCGGGTTAGGCATGTGGGGCATCCTCCCTGGCGGTGTGCTGCCCACACCGCAGGGCCCAGGGCCAGCCTTCAAGGCCTGGTGCTGCGTGCTGGGTGTGGAGCCTCACTCTGCTCTCCCTTCCCTCAGGGGGCAATGCGCTGCTGCTCAGCCTGGTCTGCCGGTCTGTGTTGCACCACTTCCACTTCAAGGGTGCTGTGCACAGCGTCTCCTTCTCCCCCGACGGCAGGTGCGCATCTGCGGGCGGGCTGGGAGCCGTGGAGCTGCGTTACTCACGTGCTGGGCTCGGATGGCCCACCATCTGAGCCACAGGCAGCCCCTGAGCTGTGAAGGAGCCATGGTGTTGGGTGGCACTGGCCCCTGGCCCCAACGTCCACCATGAGGATGATGTGGCCAGACCTGGCCTGTTCTTGGACAGGAAAGGGGGCTTGATCTCGGACTGCTCACACCTGGGCCAACCTGGCTATGTTGGGGAGGAGGCGCTCCAGTGGTCGGCTGTGAGCCCCGGCTCCGTGTCCACACCCTGAAACCCAGTAGAGGGCGTCCTGGGCCGGGGCCGTCCGAGTTTGTCCTGATCTTGGCGCCCACCTCCCAGGCTGGTGGGAGGGCCTGAAGGGGCGTCTGCTCCAGGGCAGAAGTGTGGTGTGACCTAGAGTCTGTCCATTTCTTCCCCGAGTGTCCACTCAAAGCAGAGGGGACTCGGGGCCGGTGAGAGGCAGGGTGAGGGTTAGGGCCCCAGGTTTGCCTCCTGTGGGAAGCTGGCCTCGGGGCAGGAGACATGCCGTCTCCAGAGTTCTGAACTGGGCTCAGGACCTGCCCTGGTGTCGGATATTGACGACACCCGTTTCCACGGCAGGAAATTCGTCGTCACGAAAGGCAACCTTGCTCAGATGTACCACGCCCCTGGGAAGAAGCGGGAATTCAATGCATTTGTCCTGGACAAAACCTACTTTGGGCCGTATGACGAGACCACGTGCATTGACTGGACAGACGACTCCCGGTGAGGCCGGGGTGCTGGACACAGGAGGGGCCTGAGGGGGCACCTGTGAACAGTGTCTCATCACGTGGGGTGACTTGTCACGTCCCCGGCTCTCTTTCACTTGGCCTCTCACAAGCCTCATGGGTGGGTTGGATGCAGGCCTGGCTCTTGAGTCTGAGTCAGCTCTGCCTGGCCCTGGTCACTGGAGAGCAGAGCGAAGCATGGCCCAGAGTGAGGACTGCCTGAGCCAGCGTGCCCAGCTTCCAGAGCAGCCGTGGGCGGTGGGAGCGCTGGCAGCATCTCCCAGTCTGGCTGCCCGGGCAGTGCTCTCCCCAAGCTGTCCCCAAAGGTGTCTCAGGGGCTGTGTCTGCTGCCCTGTGTTTGGTGAGGGGGAGGGAACGGGGGACACGGCTGGAGGTGGCTGCCACTTTGTAGGCCAGGCCAACTATTCCCATGTTCTCTGGGCCGCAGTGCAGGAACACAGCCTCAGGCTTACTGTGTCCGTGGGAGACCCTGGTGGACTGTGGGCTGCCACAGCCAAGAGGTCGTGCCGTTCTGTATGGCCTGGGCCCACTTCTGGCTCTCCTCCTGCCAAGAGCACAGTTGGTTCCGATTGGGGTCAGGGAGATGGGAGGCACAGGGTCCCCCAGGCAGCCCTCTGTTGGGCTCAGTGGTCGGTCCTTGGGCTCCCCGGGCCATCCCCACGAGAGACTTTTGCAATGAGGGGCAGCGACACAGGTGCAGTGAGGCTCCTGGCCCTGGGAGAAGCACAGGTGGACCCAGCCCCTGCCCAGGGCGGATGCAGACCCAGGCTGACCTCAGGTGTTGCCCCTGTGCCCTGGGGACACTGTGGAAGGTGGACACCCGCGAACCCAGGCCGAGCTGTGACCCCCTGTCCCCCAGGTGCTTTGCAGTCGGGAGCAGAGACATGTCCACATGGGTGTTTGGGGCCGAGCGCTGGGACAATCTCATCTACTACGCGCTGGGGGGACACAAGGATGCCATCGTGGCCTGCTTCTTCGAGGCCAGCAGCCTGGACGTACGTCCCCATCGCAGCCTTGAGTGGGGTGCTGGGCCCTCCCCTTGGACGTGGGGGGCCATGGCAGTCAGACAGGCTTCGGCAGCACGGGGCCACGTTCTTGTCCCCGTGGCCCAGGTGGGTGTGGGCTGGAGGCTGGGGAACCCACCCAGGCTCACACGTCTTCCTCTGCAGCTGTACACGCTCAGCCAGGACGGCGCCCTGTGCATGTGGCAGTGCGACACCCTTCCTGAGGACCTGAGGCTGAAGGCCCCCACAGGCTGGAAGGCAGACCTGCTGCAGAGGGAGGAGGAGGAGGGGGAGGAGGAGGAGGAGAGGGAGACCACCGTCCGTGGGAAGGCCACACCGGCCGCGGAGGAGCAGCAGGGGAAAGTGAAGTACTCGCGGCTGGCCAAGTAGGTGCCCGTCCTGCACCGGGGCGGGGGGTGAGGACCGGGGGCACTGCAGCGCAGCACCAACCTGCTGTCCTCCGCCTGCCCTGGGGAGCTGGGGTCTCTGCCTGCCCTGGGGGTCCGGGGCGGAGGCTGGGGTGAGGGTGTGGGACCAGCCGGGCTCTCTGGTCCTTCTCCCACAGTTCTGTGTCCCTATCTGTTTAGATACTTTTTCAACAAAGAAGGAGATTTTAACAATCTGACAGCTGCTGCATATCACAAGAAGGTCCACCTCTTGGTCACTGGTTTTGCTTCTGGAATCTTCCACCTTCATGAGCTCCCAGAGTTCAACCTCATCCACTCTCTGAGGTCAGTGCCTCTGCTGTGTGTGCGCAGTTGTGTACGTGTGTGTGCGGTCGTCTACCTGTGTGTCTGTGCAGTTGTGTACATGTGTGTGTGTGGTTGTGTACCTGTGTGTGTGTGGTCATGTACCTGTGTGTATATGCGATCGTGTACCTGTGTGTGTGTAATCATGTACCTGTGTGTGTCTGTGCAGTTGTGCACATGTGTGTGTGCGGTCGTCTACCTGTGTGTGTGTGGTCGTGTACCTGTGTGTGTGCAGTTGTGTACACGTGTGTGTGTGGCCGTGTACCTGTGTGTGTGCGGTCGTGTACCTGTGTGTGGTCATGTACCTGTGTGTATATGCGGTCGTGTACCTGTGTGTGTGTGCGGTCGTCTACCTGTGTGTGTATGCGATCGTGTACCTGTGTGTGCTGTTGTATACACATGTGTGTATAGTCATGTACCTGTGTGTGCAGTCATATACTTGTGTGTGCAGTCGTGTGTACACATGTGCTCTCCGTCTGCCAGGCGGGCAGGGTGGGTGGAAGCCACACCATGCCTGCCAGGACCGGGGGCTATGGAAGGACCGGGAGGCCTGACTAGCTGCATGGTTGGCTTCCCAGAACACCCATCCCCCTCTCCATCCTGGGTTGGAGGGGTTTGGGGTGCTCTGCCACCCTCCATCTCAGACGTGCTGCTCCCACCCTGAGTCACGGGGAGGTGTGTGTGGGTCATGTCGTTCTTATCTTGTTTTCATTTTCCCTCCTGTATCTTTGGAATGTGGAGGAAACTGAAGTGTTGGTTTCACGAAGCCACAAAGCTCCGAGTGTTTGAACATGGGGTTTAGAAGCTCTGAGTTTTCTGTTGTTCTGAGTGAAGTAAACACAGTACCCGGCTGGGGAGGAGGTGGGTGCCGCCAGCCAGGAGACCTGGCCCCGTCCTGGCTCGATCAGCCACCCTGGGGTGGGACGGAGGCCTCGCTGTGCTGACTGGGTCCCGTGTGTCTTCCCAGCATCTCGGATCAGAGGGTTGCATCCGTCGCTATCAACAGCTCTGGGGACTGGATCGCCTTCGGGTGCTCAGGTTGGTGCCTGGGTGTGTGCGGTCCCGAGTGGAGCTCCTCCTCCCCGGGAGAGGCAGGAGCTGCCTCTCCTGCCCTGCCCTGCCCCGCCCCACCCACTCCTGAGGCTCCGGGGCCAGGCTGGCAGGCCGCTGGCTCACTGTGAAGAAGCAGCCGATGCAACCTTGAGAACAGAGGCTTCTCTGAGTCCTGAGTCCCGTTGCCGCCTGGAACTCTTAGCCTGTGGCCCCGGCCTCTGGAGGCCATGTGGGAGGCTGGCTCTGGGTCCCCGTGTCCAGGCCCAGATGGGAAACGGGGGTCACGAGCGGTCTTGTGCGCCCCGCAGGCCTGGGCCAGCTGCTGGTGTGGGAGTGGCAGAGCGAGTCCTACGTGCTCAAGCAGCAGGGCCACTTCAACAGCATGGTGTCCCTGGCCTACTCCCCCGACGGGCAGTACATCGTGACTGGCGGGGACGATGGCAAGGTGTGCTGGCTGCATCCTGTCTGGGTGGGGGTCCCCCTCCTGTCTCTGTTCTGCTGACCGGCTGAGGGGGCGCCGCACTGATGGCCTGGCCCCGATAGCAGGGCCCCACCCGCGCTCCTGAGAAGCCATTCACAGGCTCTCCGGGGTCAGAACCAAGAGCCTTATAGCGTCTGTTTCCCTTCCTGACTTAATTTTCTGTACACGGCTTGGGTCTGTGCTGCCAGCAGCTGCTCTGACACAGGAGGCCCCCTGCATCCCTTAGTCCTCACTCACCGGGGCACCCACGTGGGCTGTCCTGAGCCGCGGCCTCCCTGCACAGGTCAAGGTGTGGAACACCCTCAGTGGCTTCTGCTTTGTCACTTTCACGGAGCACTCAAGTGGAGTCACCGGCGTGGCCTTCACCACCACTGGCTACGTCATCGTGACCTCCTCCATGGACGGGACTGTGCGCGCCTTCGATCTTCACAGGTGACTTCCTGTGGGGACCTTGGCTCTGTAGACTCCCCCTGAGCTCTGGGCTGTGAGAGTAAGGTCAAGGGGTCGGAGCTTGTCAGGAAGACACGGGTGAGGGCATGTGGCCCCGGAACTGTCCCAACCGGGCCGTCCTCCCACAGGTACCGGAACTTCCGCACCTTCACATCCCCGCGCCCCACCCAGTTCTCCTGCGTGGCTGTGGACTCGAGCGGGGAGATCGTCTCTGCTGGGGCACAGGACTCTTTCGAGGTCTTCATCTGGTCCATGCAGACGGGCCGGCTCCTTGATGTAAGGGCCACAAGTATGGGAGGGGCCAGGGTGTGGGGAGGGGGCCTTGCTGACGCAAGACAGGTGGGGGACAGGGGTCACATCCGGCACAGGTGGCACTGTTTACACGCATTCCCTGGCCCTACCAAGGTGGGGTTCCCTCAACCCCAGCCCAGGGGCCGTGGCCTCTGCACACCAGCATCCAGCAGGCGAGTCTGGCCCCAGGGTGGAAGGCCCCCGAGGGTCTCAGGTCCTCAGAGCTCTCTTCTGATTGGCCACAGGTTTTGTCCGGCCACGAGGGGCCCATCAGCGGACTGTGTTTTAACCCCATGAAGTCGGTCCTGGCCAGTGCCTCCTGGGACAGGACGGTGCGTCTGTGGGACATGGCGGACAGCTGGAGGACCACAGAGACGCTGGCCCTCACCTCTGACGGTGAGTGGCACCCGGGGGAAGGCCCAGTCTCAGTCACGTACTTGGATAAACCCAGGGTCCCGAGCGCATGGGCTGTCAGGACTGGCGGCCCCAGAGTTTCGTGGGCTGTCGCGGTTGGCAGCCCAGTCGTGTGGCTTGGCATCAGGCACCCCAGCAGAGCGAGCGAGCGAGCGAGGGCCCTACTGCAGCTGGCTTCCCTCCCATTCCCGGGAGCGAGGCCTGACCCCACTGCCTGCCCGTGCCTAGCCTTCACAGAACCCAGTCGTTGGCCCCGGGGCCCTCAGTCTGCAGTGGTCTAGGCTTCCTGCTACCCCACACGGCTCTCATTCAGGCTTGAGCCGTTGGGTCCTGCATCTTCTCGGGGCCCCTGTACTGAGCCTGCCTCCAGCTAGTCTGTTTCTAGCCTGCCCATGGCCTCCACGTGGCGCCTCCTGCCCGGACTCCGTCACCACGCTGCCTGGCTCGGTCATGCTTATGTGGGTCCTGCAGCCCTCAGACCCTCAGGGTGCCAGGCTAAGCGCAGGGCAGAGTGGCCCAAGGGCTGGAGCCCGGGGTTTTCCCCGGCTCTGATTATACATCTCTTCTTAGCTCTGGCCGTGACCTTTCGCCCTGACGGTGCCGAGCTGGCCGTGGCCACACTGAACTCACAGATCACCTTCTGGGACCCCGAGAACGCAGTGCAGACGGGCTCCATCGAGGGCAGGCACGACCTCAAGACGGGCAGGAAGGAGCTGGACAAGATCACTGCCAAGCACTCAGCCAAGGGGAAGTGAGTGCCCGGCGGGGCGTGTCCCAGAGCCTGGGGGCTCCCTGGCTGGGACCCCAGAGGGAGCGGGTTGTCCTGGGGTCCATGTGGGTTGACAGGTGTCCATGTCCTCACACCCTGAGGATGAGTGTTTGTGGGTCCTGTTATCAGGTTCAGGGGTGCATCCCTGGCAGTCTACTGCCCAGCAGGCCATTTTTCAAAGAGCCTGCACCATTCACACCCACCCGGGGCAGGGGCTTCGGGTCTCCCCACATCATGAGCAGAGCTCTTCACTCTGTTTTACAGTCGCAGCTGCGCTGAGGGGTAGGCGGGGTGGGGTAGCCATGCCTGGGGCTTGGTGTCCTCCGCGCACTGGTCTTTCTGGGCAGCTGCTTGTCAGCTGATGGGCCGTCCTTGTGTGTGGGCTGTCTGCAGACTCAAGATACGAGGCCTCATCAAATACACAATCTGCAGATACCTCCTCCCCCTGTGGCTTCTCTCCACTTTCTCTCGGGGACATTAATGTGAAGCACAAACAATTTTAATTGCGACGAAGGCCCACTTGTTTGTTTTTTTTTGGTCACTTGAGCTCTTTATGTCATATCTAAGAATTCTTGGCCAAACCCCAGGTTGCCATCTCAAGTCCTGGGAGCCAGCCAGGGCAGCGCAGGCCTGAGCTCTGGTCCTCTATGTAGCTGCTTTGGGGGTGGTGGGCGGACTGACCCGTCTCCGTGCTGACTTGAGGTGGAAGTGCCCTGACGCAGCCCCGCGGTCCTTGACCTCCTTCAGGGGTCATGCTGCCCGCAGGGAGCCGGGTGACGGGGCCGCAGGGTTTGGGCAGGAGTCCTGGAGGGGGTGGGGGCCATTTGCCCTCTGGGTAGTGACTAAGCCTGCACGCCCTCTGCCCAGGGCCTTCACCACTCTGTGCTACTCCGCGGACGGCCAGAGCATCCTGGCGGGAGGGATGTCCAAGTTCGTGTGCATCTATCACGTCAGGGAGCAGATTCTCAGGAAGAAGTTCGAGATCTCCTGCAACCTGTCTCTGGACGCCATGGAGGTGAGTGAGCTCCGGGGGTGCTGCAGGGCCCCGGGGATCCCTGGGTGGGATCCCCCGGCTCCGTGGTTCCCAGAGATGTCCGGCTTCACCTGGAGGTCTCCTCACACCCTGGCCCCACAGGCAACCTGGGGACCCTCCAGAAAGGTGTGCTTGCCTGGGTTCATGCGTCCTGGCCCTTGTGCCGGGTGAGGGGCTTCTCCGTGCTGCCGCAGCCCACCCCTCCGAGGTGTTGGGGCTGGGGTGTCCTCATCATGTCCCCAGGACAGGCCGAGGCCGGTGGTGGCAGAGGCTCCCCACGTGCAGCTCCCTTGCAGGCTCGTGTGCACCCTCTGTTCAGACATTGAGTTATGAGAACCTGCCTTCCACAGGCTTGACTGTGGGCCCCGGGCTGTCTTGTCTCGGGCTCCCTGTGTCCCGTGTGGGTTCCAGGCAGGACTGGGCCCCGTGTTGGTGGCGCAGGGGGAGGTGGGGCACATGAGTGCACCCTCTCCACCTCCCACAGTGGGACGTCTGGGTTTCACCCTTCAGGAATTTTTGAACCGAAGAAAAATGACAGAGTTCGGCAACCTGGCACTCATTGACCAAGACGCTGCAGAGGAGGGCGGGGTCGCCATCCCACTGCCGGGCGTGAAGAAAGGTGAGCAGGGGGTTCTCTCGTGTCCCGCGGTCAAGCCACGGCGGGCCGTTCTCTCCCCGGCCGCTCTCCTGGCTGACAGCCGCGTTGCTCTCTTGTCGAGCCTATAGTGATTGACGTCCAGGAGCCTGGCCTGGGTGCCCCTGTGAGCAGCTGGATGTCTGGCTGGTGCCCAGCCCTGTGCCTTGCTCCTAGTGCCTGCCCCCAGGTGGCCAGAGAGGAAGCCTTGTGTCAGGAGTGCGGGGCCCGAAACCATCTGCCTGGCAGCCCTGGGCTGGCTGGGGCTTTCCCTAGGAGCAGGGGGGCTGCTCTAGGCTGGGCCCGAGCCCACGGGAGTGTCCACACTGAGGGCTTGCCTGTGGAGGCCGTTGGCAACCCGTGAAGCAGTACCTGAGGCTGTCAGCGTGGGCCTCCCTTTGTGGGGGGTGGTGAGGCATGTGCAGCGCTGTCAGTAGGGGGATCTCTGTTCCCAGGTGACATGAGCTCCCGGCACTTCAAACCTGAGATCAGGGTGACTTCACTCCGCTTCTCCCCCACCGGTGAGCCCTGGGCATCGGGTCATCAGGGTGGGAGAGGTGGGCTTGGTCCCGAAGGGCTTCTGGGCCTGTCACCCTGCTCCTGGGGCTGGCTCTGGGCACTGTAGTCCCCCTGGGGTCAGATGTCATCTGTGTCCTTGCTGGAGGGTAGCTGTGGCTGCAGACGTGCCTGGTGTGGGGGCACGGAGGCAGGCGGCTCCCCCGCCCCCCAAGGTGGTGTCCCTCTTGGGCCTCGGCCCCTGCCCGCCACCCCTCCCCACCCCCTGCCGTCTGGCAGGGGCGGAACAGAACAGGGTCTCAGGGGCTGGGGTTTGCAGAGGCCATAACAGAGCCCCAGGCACCCCTTCCTGAGGGGCCAGCATCCCCAGGCTCCCTCCACACTTGCACTCGGGGTCCCAGATGTATTCAGGACCTGTTCTTCAAAAAAAAGGGGGAAAGTGGAAATAAATGTTCAGGAAGCCTTTCTCAAGTCTGCTTATTGTTCCAGGGCGCTGCTGGGCGGCCACTACCACCGAGGGGCTCCTCATTTATTCCCTGGACGCCCAGATGCTCTTTGACCCATTCGAGCTGGACACCAGCGTCACCCCTGCACGGATCCGGGCGGCACTGCGCCAGCGGGACTTCACCAGGGCCATCCTCCTGGCCTTCCGGCTCAACGAGAGGAAGCTGCTGCAGGAGACCCTGGAGGCGGTGCCCTGGGACGAGAGTGAGCCTGGGCTGGAGGAGCGGGGGGGCGGGGGCCTGTGTTCACACGTGCCGGCCGGTTCTGCATGTGCAGAGGCCATGAGCTGTGAGACCGTCTCTCCTGACGGGGTCTTTGCGGTCTGAGTGCGGCTGTCCTTCCCTCACAGTCGAGGTCATAAGCTCCTCCCTGCCCGACTTGTACGTGGAGAAGGTGCTGGAATTTTTAGCTTCATCCTTTGAAGTGTCTCGCCATCTAGAATTCTACCTCATATGGACTCAGAAACTGCTCATGGTGCACGGACAGAAGCTGAAGTCCAGGTACACCCTGCCTGCTCACCGTGGAGTCTGGTCACTGGGTCCGCTGGTTGGGGTGGGGGTGGCAGCCTTTACCCGGGGACAGCGTGGAGCGAGTCCCAGGGGCCTTGGGCAGCGGCCCGCACTAAGGATCTTCTCTTTCCAGAGTGGGGACGCTGCTGCCGGCGGTCCAGTTCCTTCAGAAGAGCATCCAGCGCCACTTGGACGATGTCTCCAAACTGTATGTGATGTCTCCTGGGGGGTGGAGGCAGGGGGGCTTTCACTGTCGACGGCTGGTCCAGCCAGGGCTGCTCCCCATGTTGTCTGACCTGGGCACAAAGGGCCCCTGAATCGGTCTCACTGACATATGAGTCCCATGTGTCCTCACAGCTGCGACTGGAACCGCTACAACCTGCAGTACGCGCTGGCCGTCTCGAAGCAGCGGGGCCTGAAGCGGCCCTCAGAGCCGCCGGGCAGCGAGGAGGAGGCAGACACGTCCGAGAACGACGATGACAGTCTGCATCTGCTCGGGGGAGGGCCTGGGCACGCGGACGGGCCACTGGCCTAGGGCCACACCCCACAGCTCTGGTTGGGATGCTGGGCGAGGAGGGACCGCCACCGCAGGGGCAGCCACCCGGAGAGCCGGAGCCCCAGCACCGGGGCTTGCTCCGCGGCAGGCACCAAACACCGCCATGGGGTCGGCACTCTAGCTGACGGGTTCCCGGCGGGCACAGCTCAGCACTCAGGGCCCGGGAGCGTCTGCTGTTGAAAACACCTTGCAGAGAGGCTGATGGGCCAACGTGTGTAGATGCAAACTTTGTATGAGGATTTTTATATTTTTAATATAAAGTTTTGATAATTTTAGGGATGAAAAAGACATGTATTTCTTATGTATTAAGGCTGATCTCTGAATTTGAAGTGTTTGTAACGTATCCTGGGTATGACTGTTGTGCTGGCACCTCCATGCCAGCGAACAGGTGAGCTGGGCAGGTAGCCTGGCCACCAGCCCCATCTCTCTGCACAGGGTTGGGGCAGGGAGCATCCGCTGGACTCTGAGGTTGGAGATGGCCTGGAAGGGCTTCCCAGGGAGACTTGTCGGACCTGCTTGCCAGCTCCAAGGAGGACTCCATCCCGCAAGGCTCCTCAGGAAGGGTCACCATGAGGGCAGTCCAGATCACAGCCAGGCGCCTGGTCTCTCAGCAGTGACAGCCTCCAGGGTCAGGACACAGGCCCCAGCCTGCAGGTCTCCAGAGGTGTGGCCAGGAGTCACTGGACTGTTACTGGGAAGAGAAGCAGGCAGGTTCTTGCATGTCGGGTGGGACCGTGTGTCACCTTGCGGTGCTCTATGTGCTTGTGAAACGTGTGTGCTACCTCCAGAGGAGTCATTTCTTTTGTAAATATATCAGATCCTCTTCCATGATTGGGTCTTAAGCTATAAAATAAATACATGGATGGTTATGTATGTTCAGACACAGATAACTCATCTGTAAGCTATCCCCGTGGTCCTGAAAAGAATTCGGCCAGGCCATTTTCTCCTCTCTCCCTGCTGGTGGTTGTCACCCACCAAGATTCAGACACAATCACTCTGAATCTGTCAAAAGCCGCTACAGCAGCAGGTGGTGAAGAGCGGTGTAGGGTCTGTCTTCCCACCCCCATCTAGGCGTCAGGCTCCCCCACTAATAATAAAAAGAGGACCGAGTAATGTAACCTTGACCTTCGTCTAGAGGCTCCCCTAAACATCACTCCTGAAACAAAATTCCTGTGTTAATTTGACTTTCCCTTACAGGCGGCTATACAGTTTTAAAAAGATTTTACGTATTTATTTTGGCGGCGCTGGGTCTTCCCTGCGTATGTGGGCTTTCTCTACTTGTGGCAAGTGAGGCTACTCTCCTCGCGTGGAGGATTCTCACCGCGGTGGCTTGTCTTATTAGAGCACGAGCTCTAGGCAGGCAGGCTCGGTAGTTCGGGCACGTGGCTTACTTTCCCCCCGACAAGTGGGATCCTTCCAGACCAGTGATTGAACCTATGTCTCCCTCATTGTCAGGCAGATTCTGCACCACTGAGCCCCTAGGAAAGCCCACATACCACTAGACAGTTCCCTTAACGATGTACTTAAATGCCTCCCTACAGAGCTCGGACTTGCTGTTATCCGCACCCAGGACATCCTAGCAAGTGGATGCCAGCCAAAAGCTAACCTTACAGCTTGTCACCTGTTCTACAGAGGGGGGTCCAAAATGAGTCAGCAAAGGAACTGACCCAAACCAAAGATGGTCAAGCCTTCCAGGGTGCTCCCAACTTGCCTGGGCAGCCTTAGAACATGCTGGCTACCAAGAGCCCATCGAGTGTCAAGCATGGGTTCAAGTAAGATAAGTGTAACAGGTCCCCAGACAGGAATTACTTAAGAGTTCCCAGTGTACAGCCACTGTGCCTGACAGCTCGACCAGCAGGACCCACAACTCCAACCCTCCCTCTGGGAGCAGCCTGCAAAGTAGCGTCACCTATAGCCTTTCAGGACAGAGACTGCGCTCCCTGGTGTGAGCTCACACCGCTCACTCTTTCATTACAGAATAGTTTCCCTTTGCTTCTGAACTGAACTTGGTCTCCATCTACTGGCATAAGTGACAGCGAGCAGAAGGTGGCGCCTGACTCACAAGGGTCATAACGTGTCACCCCGAGACAAGTATTTTTCACCCAGGAGAGCAGATAAAAAGAGAGCAGGCCTCAGGGTTGATGATCACGGGCGCCGGCTTAGCCCGGGACGAGCTCACCATGGGAAGGGGGGCCTATTGGAGATCTACCTGCCTCTGTGGAGGAACTGGCTGAAACACCAGCCTCTGGTTAGACTACAAACCGTGGGGAGTTGTGTAGACAGCGTGGTGATGGATAACAGAGCAACCGTCAGTTCTCCTGGCAGAACAAGGTGTCTGTGGCTGTCACACCTGCTGCTACACGTGGACACCGCCCGACGAGTGGCCACGATAGAAAGGAACTACAACAACTGGGCAGCTGGGGACACCGCCCTGGAGGCATGGAGTTCTATAAGGACCTTCCTGTAAGTTTGAGTGAAATTGGCTTTATCCGCTGGTACTTCTTTAGTCACAGCACTATTGATTCCTCTGTTTGGGCCTGTAATTCTTAACTTTCATATCAAGTTTGTCTCCGTAAGGCCACAGGCAACCAAGTTATTCCTCTTTGTCAACCCCTGTGTCAACCCTGAGCCTGTAGATAACCAATCCCTCCAACAATCCAGTTTGAATACCCGAGAATGTGTACAGCTCCATTGTCAAACTGTTTTATTTCCCAAGCCCTTGCTAGGCCTACACCCCTTAGCAACAGGAGGCAGCTAGAGTGGTAGTTGCCTCCATCCCTGAAGACAGGAATGACCCAAAGACAGGTATGGACTAAAACCACCCCCTGTAAGTTACAAGGCCCACGATGTAGAAAATGATACAGAGAAAACCAAGCCTGTTTACAGGGGTGACTGTGTGGATCACAACAAACTGGAACATTATTAAGGAGATGGGAATACCAGGCCACCTTACCTGCCTCCTAAGAAACCTGTGTGCAGGTCAAGAAGCAACAATTAGAATCAGACATGGAACAACAGACTGGTTCCATATTGAGAAAGGAGTACATCAAGGCTGTATAGTGTCACCCTGTTTATTTAACTTATATGCAGAGTATATCATGAGAAATCGTAGGCTGGATGAAGCACAAGCTGGAATCAAGATTGCCGGGAGAAATATCAATAACCTCAGATATGCAGATGACACCACCCTTATGGCAGAGACTAAAGAAGAACTAAAGAGCCTCTTGATAAAAGTGGAAGAATGAAAAAAGAGCTGGCTTAAAATTCAACATTCAAAAAATGAAGATGATGGCATCCAGTCCCATCACTTCATGGCAAATAGATGGGGAAACAATGGAAACAGTGACATACTTAATTTTCTTGGACTCCAAAACCACTGCAGATGGTGACTGCAGCCATGAAATTAAAAGATGTTTGCTCCTTGGAAAGAAATGCTATGACCAACCTAGACAGCATATCAAAAAGCAGAGACATTACTTTGCCAACAAAGGGGCATCTAGTCAAAGCTGTGGTTTTTCCAGTAGTCATGTATGGAAGTGAGAGTTGGACCATAAAGAAGGCTGAGGATCGAAGAATTGATGTTTTTGAACTGTGGTGTTGGAGAAGGCTCTGGAGCATCCCTTGGACTGCAAGACGATCAAACCAGTCAATCCTAAAGGAAGTCAGTCCTGAATGTTCACTGGAAGGACTGATGCTGAAGCTGAAGCTCCAATACTTTGGCCACCTGATGCGAAGAGCTGACGTATTGGTAAAGACCCTGATGCTGGGAAAGATTGAGGGCAGGAGGAGAAGGGGATGACAGAGGGTGAGGTGGTTGGGTGGCATCACTAACTCGATGGACATGAGTTTGAGCAAACTCCAGGGATGGTGAAGCACAGGGAAGCCTGATGTGCTGCAGTCCATGGGGTCACAAAGAGTCAGACACAACGGAACAGGGAAACAGCTTGCTGACAGCCCCTCTGACCAAGAATCATGCAGGCACATGAAAGACCAGAATGAAGGATAGTGAACTTTAGTCGTCAAGGGCCGAAGACCCACCGTGTCTTATTCCCAGTCTCCACATGGACCTGGGAAGAGGCATGAAGTGCCGCCACTGCCCCAGCGCAGAGCTCTCCATAAGGCTACACAGACACTTTCCATCAATCCTACCCCTCCCTTCTTGCTTCTTACGCATCAACAGCCCCTTGGAAGCCCTGAGGTACACACATCTGAGCTTCACCCCCTGGTCCTTACCTGGCCCCGTGGGATAAAGCCCTTTCTCCGCAAAGACCTGGCCTCTACCTGACCTTCCCCTTGCACAACCGGGTCAACGGAAACGCGAAAAGCGGCGGGGGTGGGGTTGGGGAAAGGGCGCGGGCGGGGGGGAGCTTGGCGGGGTAAGGTCGTCAGGCAGCTGAAGTCGGGACCCTCACTCCGTCCCAACTCAGCGAACCGGAAAGGGGGGCGTGGATGAGAGTTGGATAAGCGGGCACCGGCCATTCGGTGTCGCCAGTGTCGCCAGCCACGTTGAGGCCTTATGGCGACACTGAAGTTAATTTTCCGGAACCGGTATCTCCGCACGGTGCTTCTCGGGGACTGCGACCCTACGTCGTCCGTTCCCCCCCCCCCCCGCCCCCCCGCCCCGGGGACACCGGCGCGGAGCGAAGACAGCGCGCGGGGACGCGCAGACCACTGTGGGAGCACTGTCGCTCTCGGGGCGGAGCCCGACTAACGGGCTACTGCGCAGGCGCGGCCCCGCCCACCGTGACCTGTGACCCTGCTCTCCTCGCGCAGCATGGCGGCACTCAGGGCTCTGGCGGCGTCCAGGCTGTTGGTGAACCCGGGGTTCGCGCCGCGTCCCGGTCTATGGCCGCTGCCCTTCGGGGGACCGGCGCCCTCCTCGCGCGCGGCCCTCCATGCCTCCGCGCCGCGTCCCGGGCCCAGGGTTGCAGTGGTGAGCGGTCGCGGGCACCTGGGGAGATGGGAACCTGGGGCAGTGGGAGCCGAGGGCCGAGGCCCGCCTTCCCACCCAGTCTCTGCCCGCGATCGGCTCCCCTGCATCCACGCCCTTCCTCGGCTCCCCAGCCCTCTCCCGCCCCCGAAATCGGCCTCTCCCTCCGTTGGAGGCGGTCGGCCGCCCTGCTGACCCCTTGACCCTGGTGACCTGCCCTCCATCCCCGCAGGTGCTGTCTGGATGCGGGGTCTACGATGGAACCGAGCTCCACGAGGCCTCATCGTAAGCCCCCGGGCGGCTCACCCTTAGGAGGGCCGGTCCCCCTTTTCCTGAACCGTCTGGAGAAACGTTCCTTCTGGTTAGAAAGGCAGCGACCATGGTGGACGTGAAGGAAGACGTTTGAAATCATGCGTGTGAAATACAGGGAGGCACAAAATAAGCTTTTTAGCGTCACCTGGGATGTTGTCACCCAGCGTTAAACACCCCCTCCCCTCCTGTTTTTCCACACCACTGTGTTACACACGTTGGAATCACAAGATCCTGTGTTTTGGAGATAGAGCTCTATCCCATATTTACAGCGTGATTGTGAAGGGTGGTGCAATGACCTTGCTGTAGACAGGTGTCATTGGTGTAGCCTGTCAGTTGTTACCAAGTAGTTTATATTTTGGCTTTTCATTTATTTGAGAAGTTACTGTGAGCAGGACTGAAGAGGCTGTGAGATTCAAAGTTAGTTGGACTGGAGAGTTAGGTGGTGGTTAGGGAACACCCCCCCCCCCCCCCCAAGCCTGGGACCTCACTGGCCCCAGAGGACCCTGAAGCTGGTGTGTCTGCTGAGCCCTCCCATTGGGAGTGGCCAGCGTGTGCTGATGTTGGCTGGACAGGGGGTGAATTTCATGGGTTGAATGTATATGAGGTCCAGGGAGTGGAGACCAGATCCAGTGGTTCCCAGCCCTGCCAGGAGATGGCTGTGATCTCTCTTGGGGTCATGCTCTCATGCCACCTCCTTCCCTGAAGGAGATGGTGACAGCCCTGCCAGGGATGGACCACACACCAATGTTTGGACTTGGGCTGGCACCAAGCAGCCCTGGGCAACGCTGCTATCATCAGCAGCCCCCAGGATGCCTGCGTGTCTTCCTGCCTCCCACCCCCATGAGGGGAAGGTTGAGGGGACCAGGAGGACCGGGAGTCCCCCTCAAACCCTCAAGGCCAGTGTCAGCTGGCCTGTGGGAGGACGAGTGCCCAGAGGCCGCCTGGGAACCCAGACATCCAGGCTGTGACCGCAGGTGCCTTCCCATCCCCACACCCTGATTTGTAGGAGCTTGGGCACTGGCTGGTCTCCTCAGGCCAGGTCAGTGACAGCGACTCACATGGAGGGCATTTGGGTTGTTAGCGAGCCAGCTGTAACTATTTTCAGAGCAAGGAGTCTTAACCTGGGTGAGGAGTGTGCACCTGTCGGTCAGGTGAAACCCTGTGTTTATAAACCCCTGTGGGCAGGTGAAGTTGGGCTGGGCTCAGGTCAGTCTGGTCTGATTCCCCCCCCATGCAGGATCCTGGTCCACCTGAGCCGCGGGGGGGCCGAAGTCCAGATCTTCGCCCCTGATGTCCCTCAGATGCACGTGATTGACCACATCAAGGGACAGCCTTCCGAGGGCGAGACCAGGTACGAGCCCTCTGCCTCATCCCTCGGTGTGGATGGGGCGGGTTGAAATGCCCTGAGAGCCCGCCCACAGTTGCTTCATCTTAGCTGTGAGCCAAGTCCGTGTTCAGGTGGGCATCACAGCCTGTGATCCTGGGCTTGTCCTGGGTCTTGGGGTGTTCTCACTTCCCACGCTACAGGAACAGTGAAGGCAGGTCTCCCTGCGGGTCTCTTATACGTGCCTTCTGACCTAAGGCGTGTGCGTTCCTTTGGCCTTGAACCTCATCCACCCGCCTGGGCCCCAGATATCTGTGAGCAGCTCCCACCAGCATTTCTGTTCTGAGGGTATGCAGCCCTGGTCTCAGATTCCGTCCTGCCTGGGTTGTGGTGTATTGGCCCCTGGAGGCTGTGTTTCCCAGGTGCCCTCAGGCCAGGGTGCAGACAGTGAGGGACGGGGTGGTGGGAAGGAGGCGTGGTGCCTTCTCCTGGGACTGAGGGCCCCGATCAGGACCCTGGCCCTGGGCTGCCCACAGGGCGGGGAGAAGTTCCCGCTGCGGCTGGTCCCTCTAAGTCGCCTCTTAAGGCTCTGCTCACAGTTCCGTTCCTGAAAGGTTGTTGCTGAACGATTAGACGCGGGATTCTTGGCCTCCGGAGGAGACGAATTTAATCCGGGGCCAGAGACGAGGCTGGATCTCTCAGAGCTTTTGTGTAATAAAGTTTTATTAAAGTGTAAAGGAGATAGAGAAAGCTTCTGACATAGGCATCAGAAGGGGTCAAAAGAGTACCCCCCTCCTAGTCTTTAGCTGTCTGTTATATAGTCACTCACAGTCTGTTAATGAAAAGAATGTCATAAAATTTAGAATGACACCAGATAATTCATCCCTGGCCATAAAACGATTGACTTGAATCTTGAAGAAGGGCAGAATATTAACAAATAGTTTCATTTACATAGATTAGGGGAACAATACCTGAGTAAGTAAATTAGGCCATTTGGCTTAACCAACTTGAAGATAGAGTCTGGGGTTCATTAACATAGCTTAAGACAACATTTCCATACGAAAAAGAAACGTATTGGTTAACTCAAGGTTTGAGAGTAGTTAGCTTCAGGTGAGACCAGGTGTCATGGCAACATAGCACTTTAAGAGAAACCTCTTTTAAATTTGTATAGAGAAGGAAAGACATATTGCTGGTTTGTTTCTTCCTGCCGCTTAAGAGAGAGAAAAATGTCTGGCACCTGTAGCTTCTTTTTTCCATTTGGAGACCCCTGGCCTTCTTGCCTGTTACCCTCTCATCCCCATCTTTTCTGCTTGCTGAATGCCACCTGGTGGCCCTGCCTGGCGCTGGCATCTGAGTGACCGGGTGTGGTGGTTCTGAAGCGCCATTTGACAGGGTCTGGAGACTTGAGTGTAGACCCGCGGCGGTCCCTGTCACCGCGTGGCCTGTGAGCTGGGAGGATGGGTCCTCTTGTGTCATGGCAGCTCCACTCTGCCCCCGTCCATGCTGAGGGAGGGAGTCCGCACTGACCCTTTGGGGCCTCTGCTCATCCCCAGGAACGTTCTGACTGAGTCGGCGAGGATCGCACGAGGCAAGATCACCGACCTGGCCAAGCTCACTGCTGTCAACCACGACGCGGCCATCTTCCCCGGGGGCTTCGGGGCTGCCAAGAACCTGTATGTGTTGCTGCTCGGGCTCTCCTTCTTTTCCCCCGGGGCGCTGGGTGGGGACACGATGGTGACAGGAGCAGCTGTGGGGGGACAGTGACGATGTAGTTGCCCCGGGACAGGGGACCCTAGAGGGAGGAGGCTCCCAGACCAGGCCATCAGGCGTGGAGTTGGGGGGCCACTCCCCAGAGCTGTTCCCTGCAGACACCCACCCTCCTGTGGAGCTTACAGTGGGGAAACGGCCCTTCCTTCCCAGTGGGGCCATTTGGAGGATGGTCCTGATGAGACCGCGCTCCCTGTTCTTTCTGCCCCGTGGGGCACAGGAGGGTAACTGGACCTCAAGCCGGAGGCCGTCATGACCGCAGCCGTGACGTGTTTTGGCTTTCAGGTCCTCTTTCTGTTCTCCGTTCCTTTAAGTCTCTTCTCTACGTTTCATGGAAGTCCTCTTAGGCTGGCCTCATGGGCCCAGCACATCCCTTCCGCCTTGTGCAGGGCTGCTGCTCCCATGACGCAGGGGCTCGCTGCAGCTGGGGCTGTGCCAGGAGGCCCCAGACAGCTGCGCCCATGGCTCTGGGGCTCCAGCGCAGTGCATTGTGCCCAACACCACCATTCTCCTCAGCTGAGCCGTTCACTTGTGGTGGTTCTGCTGCAGCACGATTGCCTCCCAGCTGGCGCTTTGTCTGCCCGGGTGCCGTGCCCCCAGGAGCAAGGGCAGAGGCGCTTCCATTCCCTGAGTCCATCCCTGCCCTCGGCCCTTCACCTCCAGGCTCCTCTCTGCTCGTGGACATCCCCAGAGAGCCTCCTCTCTCCACATTCCCAGCGGTTTCCACAGTCCTTCCCCTGCACTCCTGCCACGCCTCGTGTCCAGTGCCTCTCACAGCCAGCCTTGGGGTGCTCTCCACCGTCTCTGTGCTCCCCACCGTCTCTGTGCTCCCGAGCCTCGTCGCAGGAGGCAGCAGGTCTCGTCTGCGTCGGCTGGGCTTGTCCCTCTGGCGGGACCAGGCTTCCGTCTCTGAAGGATGAGCTGGATTCACAGAGCCTGCCCCATCCCTAGACCCTGTCTGGTCTGAGGGCAGCGGCACCAGTGTGTCCTTGTGTGTGTGGCTTGGACGGGGTTGGGGTTGTGTCCCTGGTGTGGCTCATGGCCCGCCTTGGGTGACTTCACGGTCGTGAGGAAGCATCCTTGTCTGTGAGCTCACAGGCCCCCCCCTTGTCTGTGAGCTCTCTGTGACCTTTCCAGAAGAAAGGCCAGCTCCTTGCCAGTGGTCTCTGTGGTGCACGTGGGGCAGCAGGCGAGCTCAGTGTGACCTGTTCCCTGTGGAGCCCCAGTTGTTCCTGCAGGGGACCCCAGCACCCCTCTCCAGCACCGTTGCCAACTCTATGTTCTGCGAGGTTCACACACTTGTCTTAAAAATCCCATAAGGTGGTAGCCTCTTGTTCTGCACTTTGTATTTTTCAGTTAAAGCTGTGACTTGTGTGTTAACGGGCAGCCACACATGCAAATGCCATCATGTAGTGACGTGGGGCTGACGAGACTCCAGGACTCTTCGTCACTCGTGGGGTTTAGCTGAAGTGCGTGTGGTCAGAATGTAAAGTCTTGAGGCTCTCACACAGCCTGAGAACCTACCAGGGCAGAGGCCTTGACCACGTGAGCCTGGCAGAGGGAGCCAGGAGGGGGCTCGTGGCAGAGAGTGCTGTGGCGTCGCTGGGTCTGAGCCCACCCGCTGGAGGGGGACTATCTAGACCCTCGGTGCTCTTGTTCTGTGAAGAAGATGGGTCTTGTTTGACTTGACCCTCATTTCTGTTAGTGCCGTGCAGGCTCCGTCACAGGTTTCAGGCCAACGGCACGTCCTGCTGCTCTGGGGCTGACCGAGCAGACGGCTGAGCACCCACACGTGTTTGCACACGTGTCATTTCCTTCAGCTGCTGACAAGCTGACGGAGCACTCGGGATCCAGGAGGGGGTGCTCCCTAGGCAGGCGGAGATGGAGCCCCAAGGTCTGAGGAGCCCTCTTCTCATGGCAGGAGCACATTTGCAGTGGATGGGGGCACCTGCAAGGTCAACAGAGATGTGGAGCGCGTGCTGAAGGAGTTCCACCAGGCCGGAAAGCCCATTGGGTAGGTGCGGCTGGGAGGGCGGCCGTAACGGGCCGGTGGGAGGGCCGTGGTGGAGCCTGCGGTGTGGCCACGCTGGGTCCCCCAGCCAGGCGCTGGGCTTGGAGGTGTGGATTTGGAAACTCTCGGCCCTTTCCTCAGTGTAACTTGGGGTTTTGTGTGAGTTCACAAAGCTTTCCAGCCCTGAGAATTCTGAAGTTGTGTGGTTACATTAATGTTTCTGGGTGACATAACAGGGAGGGGAGAGGGTGAGTCTGTCCTTGTCTAGAAGGTTCCCTGGTCCTGCTCTGGCCCCAGCCTTTGCCAGGCCTCTCCTCGCTCCTGGCTCAGGCAGCCCCTCAGCTAGCTGGCCTGTCCTTCCTGGAGCCACAGCCGCCCTGAGCAACATGCCGGCCCCTGTGACACAGCTGAGCTTCCTTGGGGACTAGATCCTGTGGCGGTCGCACACTGGGCCCACACTCAGGGCACAGCCACTCCTCACTGCCTGGTCCTTGGTCCTTGGTCCTGGTCCCAACAGACCGCGAAGCCGGCTATAACTCACACTAGGAGGCTCTCAGAGACAAGAAATGGCCATGCCATCATCAGACCTGCTCGTCAGGCTGTCCTGTCCACAAGCATCCCCAGGGGGCTCCTCGGTTCTGCTTTACTGAGACATCGATGCTGGAGCGCGTGTGTCGCGTGCTCCGGGGTCATCCCTGACTGGGGAAGTCCTCCCAGGAGCACAGTGGTGTACAGACGCACCGAAAGCAAAACTTGCCAGGCCTCCGTCACAGCTGCTTACTGCTTTCTCCTGACCAACTGCATAAGGAGGTTGTTAGAGTGCTCAGTCTGGAGGCGGCACAGAGGCTGGAGAGGACAGCCTGCCAAGGGTTCAACGTCCAGGACACACATCCTCCTGTGCCAGCGGCCACAGCCCAGGACGGCATGTGCCCAGACAACACCTCGACCCCAGACCCTGGATGCTCCGACTGCCTGCGGGAGGCGGTGCTGAGCAACTGCAGAGCCCAGCTGATCGGCCCTGGCGCCTCGGCGAGGCGGGGCCTGCGCGTGTGGACAAGCGCCTCACACTCTTCCTCTAACAATTCGACGACACGATGAACAGGACGGGTGCCCAGGAGACCGACCCCCTCCCGGCGGGCGCTCCACCTCCCAGCGGACACTCCTGCTCCAGTGAGCGGACGCCTCAGCCAAGCCGCACGGGAGCTGGGGGAAGGGCGTGGGGCGGGGACGTCGCCCTGTGCTGGCTGCCAGGTCACTCTGGGCAGCTCTGCTCAGTGCCTCCTACAGCAGCTCGCCTGTTTCTTTCTAAAAGTGGCAGTGTCATTCGACCACGAGCAAAACGCCCTTGTCAGGTCAGGGCCCCTCACATCCTCCTTCCAAGGCGACCGCCCATCACTCCTTGGCCTGCTCGTCAGGAGCACGGACAGTGTCGGGGTCCAGCCAGCTTTGTGCCAGGCCTCTGCGTTCGTCCCCGCACTGCAGGAGCCCCTGGCAGCCTGCGGTGGTGACCACGGCCCAGCGTGCACCTCTGGGCATCGCCCACTGAGTTAGGTGCCTTTGACCTGGTGACATGACAGACCCCCAAGACATTGGTTCCGATGACGCTCACCTGGTCCAGGCAGCAGGGCTTTATCTTGTCCCCAGATGCTGTGGTACCAACTAGTGTGAAGGTAACATTCTTATGACGTTTTATTATAGGGGGTGCATACTTGGCCTTTAAGGTCAGCTTAGGACCAGATGAACAGGTGGAGGAGGTGGGGCGCAGCTCCTTGGGGGCATTTGGGGCCAGGGGAGTGGGACTGGCCAGGCCTGGAGCTGCTGTGGCGGGTGTCACACGTGCTTTCTTGGGGAGCAGGGCACTAGGGCAGCCCTGGCTCCCGTGGGCCTCAGTGTTTGCTGATCCAGGGGCCCAGGGGCTGCCGGTTGGGAGCCCCCCAATAAAGAGCAGGACCTCGGAGCAGGCACCCACGTGGCAGGTGTCCCCATGAACCTGCTGGGCGCCTCTGGGGACAGCCTGTTGTGGGGGGCAGGGGTGGGCTCAGCCCGCTGCCAGGACAGGGCCCTTGCCTCCACTCGACAGGCCAGGCGAGGCTGCTGGTCGGACCGCGTGCCCTAGCCCCTTGCTCTCCCTCCAGAGAAGGTGGTCGGGTTGGAGCCGGTCAGTACCGTTCAGCTTCTCTGTTGTGTGACAAACCGGCTGAAAGCCTCAGTCAGAGACAGTGCTGCCGCGTACGGTCTCCCCGGGACACAGGACACTGCGGGCGCCTGGTGCACACGTGGCAGCCGGGGCCTCCGCTGACGGCCCCCCCAGGCTCCCCAGCCTGGCGCCGGTCACCGTCACCACGGGCAGCCCGGGGTTGCGGCCAGACTGCGCCCTCGGAGCCGGCAGAGCCCACGCACGGGTTCACGCTCCTTTCAGAGGCGTATGTTCCCCAGGGGCCTCACTGTGCCCCTGGCCGGGCTGCCGCCTGTGGTCCTGAGCTGACCCCTTCTCGTCCCCTTTCAGCTTGTGCTGCATCGCTCCCGTGCTCGCGGCCAAAGTGCTCAGAGGCGTCGAGGTCACTGTGGGCCATGAGCAGGAGGAAGGCGGCAAGTGGCCGCACGCCGGGACTGCGGAGGTCATCAAAGCTCTGGGCGCCAAGCATTGTGTCATGGACGTGACCATATCCTTCCAACAGCCGGGGCGGCGTGGGGACCCCCTCCGGCCCCTCGGGGCCACCCAGGGCACCTGAGTGATGGGTGGGCAGCGAGGCTGATGCCGCCCCTGCCCAGTGGCTTCGTTCCCACATCCCCTCAGTGGTGCCCGCTGAGCTCAGTGCACCCCAGACTCGGGCTCCGTGGGTGGGGTGAAGAGACGGTCTTGGGCTCATTTCAGGGATTGGGGGGTGGTGGCTGTGTGGTGTGGAGATGCCCTGCAGCTGGCCCCCCAGTGGCTTCCCATGGGATGCGGGTCAGGAAGCGGCGCTCTGTTTGTGGGGGTCTCAGCAGCTCGCTGGCTGGTCTCGAGTCTTTGCTGAAGCAGCTCAGTCAGTGCCGGAAGCCCCTTCCAGGTGCTGTTGCAGCGCGGGAGGGGGAGGCACTTCTGGGGGTGTGGGTTGGCTCTGGACGCCAGACCGTCCTGGTCCTGGCTGCGGGTGTTTTTCCGTAACCTGTGTGCACGAGGCTCACGTGGACCAGAAGAACAAGGTGGTCACGACCCCGGCCTTCATGTGCGACACCGCCCTCCACCACATCCATGACGGCATCGGCGCCATGGTGCAGAAAGTGCTGGAGCTCGCTGGCCGCTAAGGCCTCGGCACAGGCCTGCCCGGCTCCCTGCACAGCCACCCTCCCGTCGGCCTGGGACCCTGCAGGGGCTGACTCTTTGCTTAAATGTGTAGGCATCGTCTTTGTAAGGAGGGCACTTCTCACACACTCAGGGCCGAGGGGCTGCTGACGTGAGATGGTCCCCCAGCAAGGAGGGAGGGGGCGGCGGGGCCCACCCTCTGAGGAGCACTGGCTACTTGCTCTGCCGGCTCAGGCTTCAGCTTGAATCTGCTCTTCAGCACACACAGCAGGTTGAGGCGACGCCAGGCCGAGGTCGGGCTTGCTTCGGGGCACCTAATGTAGTGTTTGGAAGGAAACGTTCTCGAAGCTCACAGATCTCATAGTTAGGAGACCAAAATACCATCTCATCGGTAATTAAAGATTCTCTCACCTGGAGTAGACGTGTCCTGATTAGAACGACCTGTGGCTTTTCTAGAGCAGCAGGCCCTCGGTTGGGAGGGTAAGCTCGTGTCTGAAACAGACAAGGGTGCCCCGTCCAGGCCTCCTGAGCCCGCACATGAGGGGCGGGCCCACGTGAGCTCCTCACCTTGGGCTCAGGTCTGCTTGTGTCAGGAAGGGAGGGTGGGCCCTGGGGGTCAGGCCCTGAGCAGGGAGGCAAGGGGACTGAGACGTGAGGGAGGAGCCGTGAAGTGTGAGCCGTGTTGGCTGGCGCCCTCCTCTGAGCGGGAGTGGTGTCTGTCCCCGGACAGCCCAGGGCTTCGCGCGTCACAGCACAGCCCTGCCCGCCTGTCGTCAGGCATCCGCCGTTCAGTGCCACTCCGTCCACAGCTGGGCCCGAGAAGGCTGCTGGGCCGGCACAGCTGGGCCCAGTCCACACAGCTGTGTCTAGGTGGCCTGGACAGGTCCCCCACGCTGCCCCCCACCCCACATCAGGTACGACAACGACGCCCCTTTAGCAGCTGTCTGGGTTCTCGGATAGCGTGGCTGGGGCAGGGGCTTGGGGAAGGCTCGGTAGAGCCTGAGTCCATGCCCGTCCAGTCCCCTCAGCGCCCCGGTGTCTTGTGTCTGCCGTTCTTTCCTCCCCAAGAACTCGTCTCTGGTGACCTGTCGCCCTCCCACGAGGCTGGTCCCCTGGGACACAGGCCCCTGGGCTCCCTTGGGGGCACCAGCCTGGCTGGCCAGGACCGTCCTGCCCCGGGCGGCCGCAGAGGGCTTGCAGGGCCTGCGGAGGTCAGGGAGCTGAGGGCGACAGCTCCTCCTAAGGAGCTTGTTCACCGACAAGTCTGCTGCAAATGTGTGTGTGCCCGTGAGTGCCTGCATGTGCACGTAGGAGAGTGCAGAGTCACAGGCATGCACCTCCCCTTGCTGCCTGCGTTTCTGTCCTGTGGAAGAGCTTCCTCTCCTGGAAGGAAGTTGCGTTCTCCCGTGCTTGCTCTGAAACCTGGATCCGCTGTTACTCTGCCTCCGTGTTAGGTCAGCGGTTGGTCTGGAACCCTCTGCATTCCATCCTTGTCTTCCAGGAATCCCGGGACCAGGCCTGCGGAGCAGAGCGTGGTGTGGCAGCCCGAGAACCATCACCACGAGGCCACCAGGGGCCCCGCTCGCTTGGGTTCATCCCACGACTGTGGGGGCGAGGCCTGTGGGCTGTGGGGCTTCGGTGTCCGAGGGGTGGGGCCCCTGGATTTCACCTCGTCGGCTGCCACCTGCTGTGAACTGGCCAGAGCGCAGGTGACCAGAGAGGGCAGGGAGAGCTCATGAGAAAGCCCCACAAGGACGTTGGTGTGGTCACGGGTCGTCACATGGTTCCCTGTTGTCTGCCCTGGACTCTTCCACACAAAGCACCTGGGAGTCAGGGCTAGGTGCCAGCCGTCACGCTTTCCTGTGGACTGTGCATCTGCCCGCTTAGCCCTGGTGCCAGCCCTAGCAGGGGTCCTCAACCAGGGGCCCAGGTCAGGCAGCAAAACCGGCAAAGAACGCGGCTCTGGAAACACCTCTAAGGCGTTCGGAAGCCCGGGAGGGGCCAGCAGGCCAGAGCCAGAGGGAGTCCAGGCACGAGCCCAGTTGACAAGGACTCAGTGCTGCCTCACGCCAGGCAGCGTCCCCCCGCTGGGGCGCGAGGGGCCGGGACACGCGGCGCAAGAGGGCCGTCGGGGCGGGGACGGCCACCACCTGAGCAGGGTCGACAGCAGAGCGAGCAGGTGGCTGTGTGTGGAGAGCGGTCCCGGCAGGGGTGGCGGTGCAGAGGCCCATCGGGGGGCTGGGCTCAGCATGGCACCCATGGTGGGAGGCACTGGTGCCTCGGCTGTGGGTCCCTGGAGGCTTCTTGACAGGCGGCCCGGCCACCAGGGGCGCTGCAGAGCCACCGCCAGGCCTGCCGCAGGCTCCAGGGCTGACCCCGCCCGGGTGGGCAGCCTCCCCAAGCCGCCGCCTCCCGCACCCCGGGGGCAGGGCGTGTCATTTCTGCCCAAGGCCCTCCTGGCCCCCACCGCCCCTGCCTGGGCCCCTTCGTGGGCACCTCCTTGCCACCCCTCCAGCCCCTTCCACCTGGAGAGCCTGCTTCTGGACTCCCGGCGCCCGCGGCCCTCAGCGCCCTGCCCCAGCGTCACCCTGCTGACCACGTGCCGCGCTGTCTGGCTGAGGCGGCGCCCCCTGGTTTTCCACCTTGAACTCGGTTTGTGACCTATGTGTGTGCGTGCGCGCGCCCACGTGTGCATGCCTGTGCACGTGCATCTGCACGTTCTCATCACTGGCTTGTCACTGGTCCCGTCCACAAGGACCGAGAGCTCCGAGAGAGAAGGCACTAGACAGCTGCTCCGTCTCCCCAGGACCATGCTGTGAACTCACCAGTGGGCACCGGAAGCTGCGTAGCTTGCTGGCCAGGGTGGGGCTCATACAGAGGCCCTGGTGCTGCCTTCCGCCTGCCCCGTGGCCCCTCGGCTGGATGGCTCTGCTTTTCCGCAGCTTCCTTTTCCTGCCGGACTTCCTGTGATAACATGGTTCTCTGTCTTACGCAGACTTTATTTCTTAGCGTGGTCTTAGGTTTGCAGGAAAGTTGATGGGAAAGTACAGGGTTCCCACCTCCCATGCGCACAACCTCCCCCTCTGTCAGCGACCCCACCAGATGTGCAGCTGCTGCAGCTGAGAAGCCTGCATGGCTGCCTCACCCCCGCCCAAGTCCACAGTGTACCCGGGGTCACTCCTGGTGTTGCACAGCCTATGTGTTGAGATGCACGTGTAATGACGTGTGATACCATGACGTGTGTAATGACAGTGATACCATGGTGGTATCATACAGACGGATTTGCTCTAAAACAGCTCCACCTGGGCAGCCCTCCCAGCCCTTCTGGCAGCCTCTGATCTTCCTGTCTCCAGAGTTGGGCCTTTTCCAGAATGCTGTGTAGTTGAAAGCAGTCTGTAGCCTTTTCAGACTAGCTTCTTTCACTTACTGTATTCGTTAAGGTTCCTCCAGGCCTTGACTTGATGGCTCATTTCTTCTTGGTGCCGAAATATTTCGTTGTCAGATGGGACCCATCGTTTATCCCTTTACCTACTGAAGGGCATCTTGCTTGCTCCCCAGTTTTGGCAGTTGTGGAGAAAAAGCTGCCGTGGACGTGTTGTGCAGGTTTCTGTGTGGACATAAGTTTTAGCTCCTTTGGGTAAACCCCCCAAGGAGCACGACTGCTGGATTGTATGATGGGAGTATGTTCAGTCTGAAAGAGACTGCAGTGCATCCCTCCCAATGGCTGTACCGTTCTGCGCTCCCTCCAGCAGTGAGGGAGGCACCGCGTCCTCCCTGGCCTTGGGTGTGTCAGGTGTGGGGTTTTGGCCCCACAAGAAGTGCTTAGGGGTAGCTCACTGCTGTTTGCATTTTCCTCTTGATAACTTGTGACATGGTGAATCTCTTCACAGGCTCGTTTGCCATCTGTGTATCTTCAGTGAAGTGTGTTTTCAGATCTTTTGTCCACTTTAAAATCTTGTTCATTTACTTTTTGTTGTGTTTTAAGAATTCTTGGTATGTTTTGGAAAACAGCCCTTTCTCAGATATGTCTTCTGAAATTATCTCAATCTGTGCTTTTCTCATTCTCCTGATCGTGTCTTTGTAGAGCAGAAATGTCTGTGCTGTACATTGTGTATACAGCTGAGCTATCTCAAATCCTAAAAGGCGATGCTGTTCAAGTGCTGCACTCATGATGCCAGCAAATTCGGAAAATTCAGCAGTGGCTACAGGACTGGAAAGTTCAGTTTTCAATCCAATCCCAAAGAAAGGCAATGCCAACGAATGTTCAAACTATTGCACAGTTGTACTCATCTCACACACTAGCAAAGTAATGCTCAAAATTCTCCAAGCTAGATTTCAACAGTACATGAACTGATAACTTCCAGATGTTCAAGCTGGATTGAGAAAAGACAGAGGAACCAGAGATCAAATTGCCAGTATTTGTTGGATAATACAAAAAGCCAGAGAGTTCCAGAAAAGCATCTTCTTCTGCTTTATTGACTATGCTAAAGCCTTTGACTGTGGATCACAACAAACTGGAAAATTTTTCATGAGATGGGAATACCAGACAACCTTACCTGCCTCCTGAGAAATCTGTGTGCAGGTCAAGAAGCAACAGTTAGAACTGGACATGGAACAACAGACTGTTTCATATTGGGAAAAGAGTACATCAAGGCTGTGTTTTGTCACCCTGCTTGTTTAATTTATATGCAGAGTACATCATGAGAAATGCTGGGCTGGATGAAGCACAGGCTGGAATCAAGATTGCCAAGAGAAACATCGATAACCTCAGATATGCAGATGACCACCCTCATGGCAGAAAGTGAAGAAGAACTAGAGAGCCTCTTGAAAGTGAAAGAGGAGAGTGAAAAACCTGGCTTAAAACTCAGCATTCAAAAAACGAAGATCATGGCATCCGGTCCCATCACTTCATGGCAAATAGATGGGGAAACAATGGAAACAGTGTCAGACTTTATTTTCTTGGGCTCCAAAATCACTGCAGATGGTGACTGAAGCCATGAAA